GCCATACGAGTCATATTATTTCTTTATTGTCATTGCAATCTGTGTCTCTAATTTCATAAAATATCTAAAAATTTCATATACATTTTGTACCATTTCATATTTATAGGACATTTACTAAAATAAATATTTAAATAAATATACAAATAAATTAGAAAATAGAAAAATAATAAAATAATAATTTTAAAATTATAATAAATAATTATAATAATAATTTATAATTAGACTCAATATTTTTTAATATAACTAATGTTTAACTCTTTTTTTGTTTCAGGTGAGTTTTTCGATGACAACTACTTATATTTGTTTAAATATAATAATAGTGAGTAAACTTTTTTTAAATTTTGTCAGATTTTAAATTTTGATTGAAACTTGCGGGGTTGATAAAAAATATTCTCCCTTCCCCCGCCCCCTACTTTAATTATTAGAAAATGGTACTTTGAAGTTAGTTTGTTAAGAAAGTTAATTTATTATCTAAGTTAAAATCTCGTTAAGAATCGTAAATGATGCTTGGCACCAAGTTTAATACTATAGACTTATATATCGAGTCGAAAGAGCGACTGTTGCTAAGAGCTCTGGCTCAGCAACCCATCCTAACTTTATCTCACATGCAATTAGTGATATATTTGTTCCTTAATTATTCTTGCACCAGTTTTCCAATATTCTAGGTAAATCATATTAATTCATGTCATACATTAATAAAACTATTTCAAAAAAAAAAAAAAATAAAAATTTATATTTCATATTTTAAAATAATTGCTTTTTCAAAAGAAATAACTATCTTTTTAAATGTTTAATAAAATATAAAAACTGATTTAGTACAAATTTTATGTAGACATTTAAAAAGGTTTTAAAAATTCAAGTCTCAACCATCACTTTTATAATATTTATTTCATTTTTACATTTTTTCCAATAATAGCATTAAGTAAAAATTTTTTTTTTTTCAAATAATTCAGACAAAAAGTTTATATTTTTCTATTGAATTTATTAAACTTGATCATTATTTTTTGATTACGATAATTGTAGGATAAGTGAAAATAAAATTATTTGATTCTAATAATCGACTATATTATATCAAATAAATATTTACTTGAAGGAAATAATTTTTCTAATTGTATTAAATAAACTGCGTATTTCAATTAAATTTTTTTTATTTGAAACAAATACCATTTAATTAATTTATTAAGTAATTAATAATTATTAATTAATTTTTTTTAATAGAAATAAATATTATTACATTCATAATAATCGATTATTTGAGTAAAATAAATTTTTTTCCAGTTTGTTATTTCAGTAACATTTTTTAATTCAACACTTTTCATTGTTCTTTGCTATTGATAATCTCCATGATTCATATTTAAGTTATTTAGAGATCAACAGCTTTTACAAATGTAAGATCTAGTTTTTCAAGGTTCATGATTGTAAATTCCAGTTCAAGAACATGTTCTGCTCACGTAACACCATGTCATTCTTTTATAAGATGTAATGGGATTATCATATTCATTCGGAATATATATTTCGCTCTTCATATCATCTTTTCTTACTCTCATGAAAAGTCAATATCAAATTTATATTTAAAAACTTTTTTCTAGAACATCAGAAATATATTCCATCAAGATAAACAGAATTTAAAATAGAAATGATTTTTTTATTTTTGTTTGCGTTAAAAACTATTTTTTAGTTTGAGGTTTCGTTACTGTCACCATACTCATCCATAAAGTTCATATCGATTAAAAGTTCATACAAAAAAAATGAGCCAAAAGGTTTGAACGTTCAAATGAACGAAATTTTTTTTGTAACTTCTTTAAGTATGAATTTTATTATAAAATATTGTTTTAAATATCTAAAAAGAATTTATTTAATTTAATAATTGTTTAATTTATTGTGTTATTTTACATTGACATCATAATTTTTAATAATTTGTAGATTAGAAAATATATTTCGTTCATTTGAACGTTCAAAATTTTTGGCTCATCAAAAAAAAAAAAAATAAAATAATCTTATATAGAATAAATTTTACGAGGGTTGTGTGACCTCTTTTTTTTTTGCAAAAAACAGTAACAGAAAAAGTTCTCTAACCGTTTTGTCAACGGATATAGGGTCCAAAGAAATAGGGTCGATTGTGTTTCGGAGGCCATATATTTATTGACATAGCGAAACAGAGGAGAGAAAAGCGAAGCCAAAAAGTATTGAGAATTTGTTGTTTACTATTTCTCCTATTTTGTTGCGCGAAAACGCTGTGAAATTCCGGAATAAAATGTTAGCTCCTTCGAGAAAATCTCATATTTCAACACAGCCAGATACCAAATCATTCTCCAGTTTCTGCCATATACCAGAAATCATTTGAAGTTCCTGATTTATTTATACAAAAGCAGTTTTTCAACCGTTCAAAACTCACACGAGATATTTTCCGCTTCAAAAATGTAATTGCATCTTTCGCAGGCGAATTTTCCTCTTATATCAGTAAAATTTGATTATTTTTCAAAATATGTGTTTTATAGGTCGAGCGAAAATTCTTCGTCTCTTAATTAAAATTGAAACCGAATTGAATTTGCCATAAAAATTCATTGTTTAGAAATTCCGGTTCTTTTGCTTTCAATTTTTAATGAAATAAAATTGTTTCGATTTAATATTGTTAGTTAAAAATTTTTATTTTACATACTCAGGGATTTGTAAATTAATTAACCGACTACGCAGTTACAAATCCAATCATGTTTTATTTTTTTTTTTTTTTATTCCTCAAAATAATTTTATAAACAGCATTCGTAAATGTTAATTTAAATTTTTAATTAAAAATTTCGAAAAATATTTGTAATTCACAAAATGTGTTTTATAAATATTATTTCCCTGAGTGTGGAATTAAATTTTGATAATTTGTATACACATATATAAAAAATATTTATAAAATTTTATTTACGAATTTGAAAATAAGTAATTTAGCTAGGATTATAATATTCATTTTCAATTGAAACTTTGAGTGTGACTTGGTTAACGGTCCTTATAAAACTACCTCAGATATTGTAATTTCAATTGAGGAGATCTAATATTGCAATTCTCCTGAGTCAAGACTTGAGTATTTCAACACACAAATTGTATTTTTCTATTCTCCATTAAAATGGAAATCTTATTTTGCACTTTGTTTACTATTTAAGGGTTGAAAAAAACAATTTTTCTTCTTTAAAGGGAATTTTTTTACCATTATTATTTTTCTATATTGTTGAAATAAATTTTGTATTTTTCCTTTATTTATTTACAATATGAGAGAAAAGTTTTTTTTTTTTTAAAAAATAAATCATATTTATTTTTGCAATTTTAATAATCATTTATGGAGCTTGAAGGTAATGTTCTCTGAAATGTTTAAATGTCGATAACGAAGGCTTGGGTTTACTGTGTATATATAGTATAAGCTGCATATTCTCCATCGTCGTATTCCCATTTGGGTATTATTTCGGATTACTGCCTCATGGGATTTAGAGTAAATCCGTTTTTACTATTTTAATTTTTCAAAAGAATTCTAAAAAGTACTTTCTCAGCTATCTAAAAATCTGTTTTTGCATATTTTTCAAGAACAATTACTATTTAAAATTCATTTACATTAATCTTCACATTCAATATAATGAGAGTGATTTAAATTAATATGCTTGCATTTTATTACATGAAACCGGAAGTTTCGAAAAATAAACCCGCTTTTTCTCTTTTTAAATTATTTTTATTTTAATAAAAAAAAAAAAAAAAAAAAGAAGATGCGATTAAAAGATGATATTTGAAAGATATCAAAGAAGGGGGATCAAACGAATTTTCAAATCAAGAGACAGACATATAAAAACTCCCCTTGTTCAATTTTGCTCGAAAGATCAAACTTGATTCAATTCTCTTCAACACGTTTCGACTTTCTATAATGGACTCTTTACGGGGATTAATGTTTTTTAATTTTTTTTTTTTTTTATAAAATACCAAAAATTATAATTGCAAAATTTTATTTTGTTTAATTTTTTTTATTGCTTTTTATTTTTTAAACTGTTTTTTTTAAATTGTCTTCACGTTATATTAAATAAATGAAACACAAAAATTTGGTAAAAATATAATCCAAGTCAAGGTAAAAAATAAAACATTTTTTTTAACGTTCAGTTGTCTGTAAAAAATTTATTATTAAATCTGATCAACGCAGTTGCATCTGGTTAACAGTCTGATAACAGCGTGTAGTAGCTGAGCTGTTTAAACGTTAAAAAAAAAAAATTGAAATGTTTTATTTTTTTATTTTTAATTGAATGGATTTATATTTTTTCCACTACCTATATTCATATTATTCTTTTACCAAATTATTCATTAATAAAATGAAAAAAAAATTGATTAAAATAATCTATAAATATTTCTTTGAACAAAATAATTTTCGAGTCTATTTTGTTTAAAATACAGAAATTATTCGTACAAATCAATTATTTGGTTTTAAAAATTATTTACTATTTATTTGATAATAATTAATTATTTGAATAGAATAATTTTTTTTTCAGTGTAATAAATAATTAAATTTTAATTAACTAAAAACACAAAAAAATACAAAACTGTAAAAGCAAAATAAAATAGTAAACACTTTATATTTTCTCATTCGAAGTACATTTGAAACACATTTTATTGCACTAGTACAAACTCAACGTTCCATTTTCGAAATGGACACAAGCTAGCGTAAAGCATGAAGGAGGAGAGAGAGAGAGAGAGAGAGAGAGAGAGAGAGAGAGAGAGAGAGAGAGAGAGAGAGAGAGAGAGAGAGAGAGAGAGAGAGAGAGAGAGAGAGAGAGAGAGAGAGAGAGAGAGAGAGAGAGAGAGAGAGAGAGAGAGAGAGAGAGAGAGAGAGAGAGAGAGAGAGAGAGAGAGAGAGAGAGAGAGAGAGAGTGAATTGAATCACGGTAGTTGAAGTGTAAAGGGGAAAGTATAGTGTTGTTTGTGGTCTATCGTTGCTGAACGGATGTGTGTAAAATGACAAAATGAAAATTCGTCGAAATAACAAGGAAAACTGGACGACTCTGGCCCGAAACATTAATCTTCAAACATATATGTATTTCCCTGTACAATATAAAGGGTTGTCATGGTCAGAAACCATGAATATCATTTTCAGTCCCAATTCAACGGTTTAACACGACACAGTCTACAAAATACTTAATAAATTCAGTAATTAACTGGCGCAATGTAGAAAGTAACAATTTTGCATCTATTCACTTTTCACTTCAACAAAAATTATTCAAATATTACTTTTTGCAAAAGAAAAAATTTTTTTAACAATTTAAACAAATTTATTCTAAAAAAAAAATTCTCAAATAATAATTCGCGGGTTTTTTTTTTTTTTTTTATAAGGATAGGATTTGAAATTAAATGAAAGGATCAAATATGTGTAAACTTGAGAAGCGTGCGAGCATTTTTTTTTTTTTTTTGGTACTCTGGAACCTCTGTAAAAGTCTGGTTACTCGGGATTAGATGAGAAAAGTCTTTGTGATTTGTGACGCGACCGGTGCAGTTTTTCCTTTTTACGTGACAATGATATAAGAGAGTTAAAAAGAGCAATGACCATCTCTGGGGAAGGGCCTCCAAAAGGATGGTCAGTCTGGGCAGGTCGAGAGAGAAAATTCTTTTTTGCGGAGAGAAGAGAGAAATATATATACTTAAAGAGGGTAATTAATCAGCACTCAAAATAAAAGGAGAGAGAACTTTTAATCTATACTATTATATAACCTTTGAGTTAAAATGTTCAAAAGGAACATTGCGCACACCTCTAAATAGTTAAATTAGATAATGGACGGTAGACCAGCGGGGTCAGTGCTGATTTGTTGCGAACTTAGAATTAGGTCAATTGATACCTCCTCCTCCTCCTCAAATGGACTATTGTACCTTTATATTCTTTTAACTCACTATCTGTTTTTTTATCAATAATAAATCTCTTTTTACAATTTTAATAAAATTTATATCTATACGATAAAATTTTGAGAATTCTGTGGAAATTAAAAAAATACAAAAATTCTGTTCACTGTCTCATAAAAAATTATAGTGAAAAATAAATTTATTATTCAAATAATCGACTATTATCAAATAAATATTTATACTTTAAATAATTTTTATTTAAATTATTTAAATTTAAAAATACCCACCTTATGACAAAATTTTATGTATTTTTCGTTTCATTTTTCAAAAACTTTAAAAAGTTACGTTTTATATAACTTTGTAGAAGAAAAAACTTTTCTGCTATATGTAAATTTAATAGGTTAATTTGAACGATCGTGTTTTATACACCGCATCAGGAAGGTGATAAAATTTATCAACCGTATAAGAAGCATCGTCTCTTGCATCTCCTCAAAATCAGAACAGAAGTTTTTTTTGGAGATTTTAAACATATCACTTGGAAAATAGAAGAGAAAGAGGTACTTGAAAGAGCAAGGGACGGAGAGTAAATACCACTTTCTGTGTATTGGAGTGTATGATCGAACGATGCACCGGAGTTAAGCCCCGTTTTCAGCTTTAGGCACGAGAGGGTAAATCCTCGCGCTTTCTATCTCTAGTGAATTTCACAAAAATCTAACTTCTATATTTCTAAAGTTTTCTACTAAAGAAAAGGTGAAAAATCAATTTTTTTTTTGGTAGCAAAATATAATTAAAAAAAAAATTTTTTTTAGTTATATTTTTTTATAAACAATTTAAATATAAAAAAATTCTAGAGACAAAGAAATTAAAAGTCGATTATTTGAATTAAATAAATTTTTTTCAGTGTATGTATTTTATAACGTGATGGAAAATGTTGCAATATGGGCTTTTTCGTTTTCCCTCTGTCGTTAAGGTGCGGAAAAAGCTTTTCATATATGTCTCGGTATTCAGAAAGGTATATAGAAGAAAAATCTTAGCTCCCTGGTGCGATTTTAGATCCTTGAGCATGCCACATTATCGTAGTCTTAGCTTATAAAATTCACTGCACGTAGGAGACATAGTGGTCGTTGGTGTGAATTTACGAGAAAAGGTTTTTTTTTTTTTTTCCAAAAACGAGAACCATCATATCTCATAATTTAATTAATCTCATCTAATTCCTCACTTTTTAGATCCTTTTTTCATGAAAATTTGTTTTCAATTTCTTCTTTATATATCTATTATAAAAAAAAAGCACATTAACAAAAATAACAAATAAAGAACTTAAAAATAAATAAATAATAATTTTTTTGACAATTTTCAACCTCGTGAAAAATGTTGCAGTAAATTTTTGAAATTCCTTCCTGAGAAATGGTATATATAAAAGAATTTAATTTGTGAAATTCTGCGGACTCATGATTGTGACTGGAATTTGAAAAAAAAGCATAACATGAAAAAAATCTCATTCTTATTTTTCAGTTTTCCTTCTTCTTTTTTTTCACACACAGGGGGTTTGCTTTAATTAAATCACTGTATATGAAAGAGAGACTTTAAATTTTATGTAGGGTAATTGAAAGGCGCGTTAAAGTGTCGGTCTGCTGGCTGCAATAGCGCAATGCATTTCCTGTCGAGGTTACTTACCCCTTTCTAACAATTTCTAGACAAGGACAACGACGTCCAGGACCCGACGACGACCGGCGAAAAGCAATTTCACTCTAGGGATTTTTAAAATAGCCCCGGACTTGTCTTGGGAGAATGTTAACTGATAGTGCGAGAGATGAAAAGAGATGCTCACAATAGGGAATAAGCACTTTTCATTAAATATCAAACGAGGTTGCCACCCTTTTATATATACATCGAGCAGAAAATGTTCCTTATTCAATAACGTCCTGACTCCATTTTATTTCAACTTGTTTATCTCACTGTAGTTATATATATTCGAATGCTAATAGAAATTCTTGTTTCTCTACAAATATTTCTCTAATTTACTTTCTTCTGGAATTGTAATTGAATTCCTTCAAAAGATAAGAATTATTTATTTTATTGTTTTTGAATCGTTTTATATAATATACTTCACTCGATATTTTCACTGAAAAATTATTTTTAAAATTTCTTTGAATCCTATAAAAAAAAAAATTTATTAAATTCAAATAATTTAGAGAGGTATAAGTTTTCAGATGGTTATGCCCCCTTTCTTTATATGATTACTTGTTTCCAAAAAAAATATATATATATTATAACAATTTGATATACCTTTTGTTCGGAAACCGCAGAATAATTATTTTGAGCAGCGTATACTATCCTCTCGAAACTGCTTCCGGTTTATTTGTGTTTGTGGTCTTCACTGTACTTCCGCTATGTCGTAAATTGACTGACATAAAATTAGATGGAATGTATATATATACCAAAGCTTCATAGATCTCTCGAAATTTATATCTGAAACATGGATTATCAGTAAAATAACAATTATTTTAATAATCTTGTCATTTTTCAAATAAAAATTGAAAATAACGTTTCTCTCTAAATTTATAAATCGTTTCTTATATATTTAGAAAAAAAAAATTTAATTAAGAAAAATCAATCAAAAGTAAATTTGGTTAAATATAAAAATTCTATTAAATGCTATAAATAAATTTGGTTTAAATTAAAATTTCATCAAATGCAAATTTGGTTAAATAAAAATTTAATCAATAGAAAATTTCGTTAAATAACAATTGGATTAAATGAAAATTCGATTATATGATCGATAAATACTCGTGTAGTATATAAAGTAAAGAAATTAAATAAAAAATATGCCTGAAGCTTTGAATACGTTCAATTATTGAACAAAATTTGTCGAGCTATATTTTCTAGAAATTAAATTTTAAAAAATTGAATTTTTGTATTGCACTAAATTTTTATACCTTTAAGAATATTTATTTTATTTAACAGAACTATTTTGCGAGTGATTGAACATAAGATAAAACACTAAATACACAAAGAATGATATTTAACAAAAGAATAAAAATCGTTTTATCGATATTGAAAGTCGTTTCATTTAACAAAACATGAAAAAAAAGATCTTATTAAATACGTGCTAGATAGTGTACGATATAACGTGAAGCAATTAATCTATTTCTGTTATCATTGGAAAGCCACAAAAATTAATAACTTTGGCCACATGAAATAAAATCGTGTGACTATCGATACGAGAAAATTGATATACCGCGAATAAATATAACATGAGCAAAAAAGCAAAGTCAAACTAAACGGAAAAAAGGAATTTTTAAAGAAACATTATTTTAAATAAATTTTTGTCAAAAAAAAAATTTTTTTCGACCTTTTTTGGTTCAATACAAGGTGAATTTTGAAATTTTTCTAAATAGAAATTCGACGCCACAAAAATTCTTATAAATTCCGTGTGGATAATATTTATGCGAAAAAAGATTTTTGTGAGAATCGATTATGAATTCTATATAGAATATCGTTGATAATATTGTCAAAGTTACTGAGATCCCAAAGGACCTGTCTTGTACAAGGTACAAGATATCCCAGTAAAGTCCCATTGAAATTCATGTACTAACTGCGCGAGAATAGTCTTTGTCAAAGAATATTCCTTTTCTTAGATACTTTCAAAGTTTTATCATATTCTATCTACAGAAGGTGGTTTATATATATACTTATATTCGTACTCAAAAATGACAAACTGTAAACGTTATTTTTTTTGCTTCTTTATAAACAACTGTTCCAACAAATTTTGACGTTTTTATAGGTTAGGTTTTCCAGTAACAGTAGAAAAATATTATTTTAAGTTTTACCTGTATATAACAAGGGATCGAATATTTTCAATTTCAAATTTCCAATTTAGTTTTTAATATAAATTAATAAGTCGTATTACAGTATTTTATTTCAATAAGTGTTTATAATAAACTGTTTATAGTCGGAAAACTGTCAAATGTCAGCTGACTTGCTGTTAAACCAGAAATTAAAAATTCCCTAGATATCACTAGTAGCAGACAGATGTAAACAAAACACAATGTTAAAGAAAACAAATTGTTTTGATATCATTTTTAAAAAATTAAACACATATTGCAGTATTTCTGATTATAATGTCTATAAATATATACTTCTATTTTTCTGCACTCAAGAATTTTATTTAGTTTTGTCATTATTTTTTTTTATGTATAATAGTTATGAAAGAACAATGATTTCTTAGGTTAGAAACAATTTCGTCTCGCCCCAAGTGAACAGTATTTATTATTATTATTATTTTTTATTACTATTATTAAGTTATAAATGACATTGTTACTTAATTTTTTTTTATTGTTTTTACTGTTACAGCTAGTCGACTGAACGAATACATTCGACACTTCGAAGTTCTTAATTATCCTACTCACGAGGTCCATCAAAGTCATTTAAGAGCGAAAAGATCAGTTACCCGTGACAATACAGTCTCGTTAAAATTTAGTGCTCACGGAAAAGACTTTCACCTTCGACTTAAACGCGATTTAAGTACATTTAGTGATAATTTATTGATAGAGGGTCCTTCCGGCCAGGAAGAGGATCTCGACACTTCCCATATCTACGAAGGACACCTTGAAGGTAATCTTTTATAATTTATGATCAAAATTATACACTTAAACTAGAATTGCATTCTTGGACAAACTTTATATACTTTTTGGCTTATTTCCAATTCACTAGATTTTGCGCCTCAGTTTGAAAAGTTAAGTACTTAAGTATTCAACAAAACTCTGATGAAAACTATAAAGTTTGCCGTACATTTTAAAAATCGAAAAAAAGAATTTATTTTAATTGAATCTTTTTTTTTTTGTTTTTATTATCAAAATTTTTTGTTTTTTTTTTTGAAAAAACAGAATTTTAAATTAATTTAAAAAAAAATTACTTTTGTAGACATTTAATTAAAATTAACTTTCACGTTACTAAATTATTAACAGGCTACTTTTGTTTTATGCAAAAACCAAAATGAAATACATATCTTTCAATATTGGATTATATAATATAAATAGAACATTGAAACTGGAAACTTTTCAACTTGTCTGGAATTTAATAACAAGTCGATACGGTTGATCACTCTGAGAAGTTGGTAAAATTAATCTACTTCAAATAATATAGTTTAATTAAAATGAAGTTCATATATTGAAATTAAGATGACATTTATTTGGAATAGAAAATTCAAATATTTTTAATTAAAATCTATTTAATGTAGATAATTTTTTTTTTTATAAAAATAATTATGTAATTTTAATTTTGCAAAAATAATTCCTAATTGTGTCAGCAAGTTTTTTGGTAAAAATATTTTATTTTCAAATTAAAAAAAGAAAACTAAAATATTTTCATTGAAATTGTATAGGTGATCCTGGCAGTCGGATTTTTGGAAGTATAAGTGATGGTGTTTTCCATGGAAAAATTGAGTCACCACGGCATGGAGCATGGTTCGTAGAAAAGGCTCACTATTACTTTCCTTCACATGAAGTGAATGAGACATTACACTCGGTGATATATCATGAGAATGATGTTGGTGATCCCTACGCTGACATTCGAACAGGTGAGAAATTTTTAAATATTTTGCATGAAACTAGAAAAAAATATAATTTTTTTTAAATAAGCTTTGTCGAAAATTTCCACTTTTATGAATCAACATCATCATTAATATATTATTGATATAATTATAATAATTTAATGTTAATTCTCTTAATTTTTTTTAAATAAAAAAAATTATTTTTAATTTAAATACAATAATTATAAATCGAACATAAAATTTATAATACTTATTACTAGTAATTCCATTTTTTTCCGTTATTTATATTTAATCTTTTGGAAGACGATTGATGAGAAAAAAACTTCTTTTTTTTACAGTGAATGTAACTTTGTGAATTCATATCATTTTGATCAATACTGTGTTACTCTTTGCTCTTGTCCTTCCACTCTATTGCTCAGCACCCTTTTCGTGGTAGCAGGATCTGTCTTTTCAGCCTTCATCTCGACTCATAAAATCCCTCTCTAATCGTATCTGCCAATTTGACAAGAAATCTTATCTTTTTAGAGAAACTCAGGAGCAGACATCGAAAATATTCATGCAGATAAAAATTTTCCCCAAAGATTTTCATTAATTTCTAATTCAGTTCGAGAATTTAAAAAAAATTTTTTTATTTTTAACAATTTGTTAATTTATCTCACTTGCTTCTATTTTAATTTTCATTTCCTTTCTTTTTTGCGCACAATAAAAAATTTTTATTCCATTTTTTAAATTTATTTAAGAAATTGTTTTGAAATTTTTTTTAAAAGATTCTGGAAATAGTTTTAATTTTATTTCATTATAAAGTTTCAATCTACACTGACTTTAGCTCCTCTTGGTCTATAGTTGCTTCTTCACAAGCGAAATTCCTGCATTATCTATCTCAGTTTGTATTTTCTTTTAAAACAAATTGCTGTAGTGTCAAAACTTTTTATGAAAAGAAAAGGAACAAAAAAAATTTTTTGCTAGCCTTTTCATGAGTATAAAATGATGAAAATAATTTTATCTCAAGTATAATTTGAATATATATAGATATATATATATATATATACTTTATTTTTGTCGGTGAAAAAAAATTGTACGGACAATAATTTGAATTCTACTTCCAAGTGGATTAATTTAAGAGATTTAATTAAAGTCCGTGGAAACACTTATTAAATTTTATGAAATTTATAAGTGTACCATAGCGGTGTGCTAATGTTGCAGATTTATAATACCACGCACCTCGTGTTCTAGTACAAACAGATAACGAGGCTAAGCAAATATGTTTCAACGTGAGTGCATTCGTGAATCAGTTATAAATATTAGTACTGAACTATATATATATATTTATATAAGCTGAGATAAATAATGTTATTACATACGTTTAATAAAATTATTATTAAATTTTATTTTAATCTTCTCTGTACGTGAAATATTATATTTATTTGAGAAAATAATTTTTTACAGTTATGAGGTAATATTTTTTCTTATGGTTATAATTTCAGGTTCTGGAGGCTGTGGTATTAACGAAGAGGTGATACAGTGGATGAATAACATTCAAAATTCCGGTGAACCTGATCCTCCACCACCAAAAACAAAAACGAAACCGGATGAAATTCCAAAGGTAGAATGTTCATTTAATCAATAATGTGGACATAGACATCATATTCGCCTATATCGCCAAATTTTATACACTCTTTTTATTAATTTTTTTATTTTGAGAATTTCACATTTTTTATTTTAACAAAATTTGAAAAAATATCTAATTAGCAAAATTTAGAAATTTTATAAATAAATAAGTTTAAGAAAATCTATTATTAGTAGCAACTATTTTAAAAAATTACAAATATAAATAAGTAAAAAATATTTTTTTTAAAAAAAAGAAAAAATGTACCTGGTTCTAAAATGTACAAGTTTGTTTTAATATTATAATCAATAATTGAAGGTAAAACCTTGGAGTGGAGATAGCGAGACTCCAAGTCATAAATACAGTAAAGAAGCCAATGAACATGGTAGTCGAAGATCGAAAAGAGCTACGAAACCAAAGGAGGAAAATAAAAATACAACATGCTCACTTTTTATTCAAACGGATCCTTTAATATGGAGACATATAACCGAGCAGGTAGTCAATTATTAATTCAATCTCGCATTTAAAAAAAAATTATTTCTATTTATTAAATAAACCTTTAATTTATTTCTCAAGCTTCATCAAGATCCAGAGAAGACAAAAGAAGAAATTTTATCTCTAATCGCACATCATGTCACTGCCGTTAATTATATTTATAGAGATACAAGATTTGATGGCAGGGAAGAACACAGAAATATTAAATTTGAAGTTCAGAGAATAAAGGTAAATTATTTTTGTACAAAAATAATTTTAAAAAAAAGTTACAAGTAAAAATAATTATTATTTATTTAATTTAAAGATTGATGACGATTCGTCTTGTACACCATCACACACTGCTTTTCGCACAACATCTCGTACGACATCTCGTTTAACATCACGTACAACGCCTCCAAATAATTCGGAACAGAATCAATTTTGTATGGAGAATATAGATGTTAGCAATTTTTTGAATCTTCATTCGTTGGGAAATCATGAGGATTTTTGCTTGGCTTACGTTTTCACTTACAGGTAAATTATTTTATTTAGAAAATTTAGAGATAATTTAATATGAATTAAAATTTGAAGATAATTTTAATTGTTTGAATTATTAATCATAATTGTAGAGATTTTACTGGTGGTACCCTTGGTCTTGCGTGGGTAGCATCAGCGTCTGGAGCTTCCGGTGGAATCTGTGAAAGGTACAAGACCTACACAGAAACAGTTGGTGGATCATATCAATCCACTAAAAGATCCCTTAATACCGGGATCATTACTTTTGTTAATTACAATAGTCGAGTGCCTCCTAAAGTATCTCAATTGACTTTAGCCCACGAGATTGGACATAATTTTGGCTCACCGGTTGGTTAAAAAAAAATAATATTATTATAATAAATTAAACTATTAATATTTTATGATTTCTTTAAAATTTAAAAGAAAATGAAATTTTTCTAATTCTGAAAATAATTTTTTTTATTTTTCAGCACGATTTTCCACCAGAATGCAGACCCGGTGGCCTTCATGGAAATTATATAATGTTTGCCTCAGCAACGAGTGGTGATCGTCCAAATAATAGTAAATTTTCAAAGTGCAGTATTGGAAATATCAGCAATGTGCTAGATGCAATTGATGACAAGAAGAAAAAGAATTGTTTCTCAGCTTCCGCTGGTGCGTTTTGTGGTAACAAAATTGTTGAGGCAGGCGAAGAATGTGATTGTGGCTACGATGATGGCGAGTGCAAGGAAAAGTGCTGTTATCCACGAGTATTGTCTGACTTGGATAAACTAAACAGCGATGCCAAAAGTTGCAAGAGAAGAGAAAAAACACAATGCAGGTATGTAATAAATAATTTTTTCTAAATTCAATGGATTATTAAAATTATTTAATCTTTAAGTAAAAAATTAAATCTGATTTAGAAAAATTTTAATTGACTTGCATAGAAGTAATTTGAAAATGAAATTTCTGAAGGTGAAAATTAAAAAAGCTTTTAATTGTGTCAATTGAGCGAGGAAGTCGTAAACTAGTTTTCAAGATTGTTGAGAATTTATTATTAATGGTGACTAATCGTTTATGTTAGATTACACTTGCATTACGTTTTTTTTTTTTTTAGTCCCAGCCAAGGTCCTTGTTGCTCAAGCGAAACATGCCAATTTGTTCCACTCTCTCATAGAGTTCAATGTAAAGTGGAATCAGACTGTAGCTACAATTCCACCTGTAATGGAAGATCGCCTGAATGCCCTGTACCATTGCCTAAAGCCAATAAAACGAGATGTAACGAAGGAACTCAGGTTAATTTCACATTTATTGAATTTACATTTACAATAAAACTATTTAGTATAATGTTTTTTAAATAAATATTTTCTACTTTTTTCTCTCACTAAATATCTTTGTAATATTTAAATTTTGCTATCAAAGATAATAAAACTAATGAATAAATAAGTAGATAAATAATTTAAAAATGTATTAATTTATAACATTCTTTGTAGTTATGTATTAATGGAGAGTGCACTGGATCGATTTGTCTGGAATGGAATATGACTGAGTGCTTTTTAACTAGTAACATAATTCCAAATATTGACAAAAGGAAACTATGCGAGTTGGCATGTCAAAATGGAACCGACACTTCAACATGCCGTAGTACCAGTGAATTTGCTAATGTTGTTGGATTACCAGATGGTGGAATTAGTTTGAGGCCTGGTTCTCCGTGTGACAATTTTCAGGTAATTTTTCATTTAATTTTTATCGATTAATTCGTTTTCATTATTTAATAAATATTTATTTTTTACAGGGCTATTGTGACGTATTTTTAAAATGTAGAGCAGTCGATGCTGAAGGTCCACTTGCCAAGTTGAAAAATCTACTTTTCAACAAAGATACTCTGTCGACTGTTGCACAATGGGTTACGGTAAATTAAAAAAAAAATCTACACTTGTAATTTATTTGAAACCAGTGTAATTTTGTAATATAAAGTAATTTAGAAATAATTTTTATTTTTAAGAATTCAAAATATTTACTATGAAATTTTCTTAACAGGAATATTGGTGGGCTGTTGTATTGATGGGAATAGCCTTTATTATTTTCATGGGTTTCTTCATAAAATGTTGCGCTGTTCATACTCCTTCGAATAATCCAAAGAAACCACCGGCTAGAAGAATTAGCGATACTTTAAGAAGGCCGATGAACACTTTGAGACGCATGGTAAATAAGTATCCTAATTAATTTGACAAAATTTTGATATAATACTTTTTTATTAAATATTTAAGTTCTAAAAATAAGTAAATAAAAAGTAAATATACGAAAAAATAAAGTAATTCAGTGAATTAATGATATATAAAAATTTTAGCGACATCCACATGGCGGAGGTGCAGGTCCAAGAAGTGTTCCACCAAGGCAAGGAGGTCAAGGAACTCGAGGACCTTCTCATGGTTACGGTGAAAGAAGAGGTGCTCAATATTATCCTAAAGGTATGTTTGTTAAATAAATTTTAAATTACATTTAAAAAAACAAATCTCAATAAAGTTTGTTCAAATGAATTTTTTTTTTAAATTCCTAAAATTCTATTGATATGACAGTAATATTTTTGGTATTTCAATTTTATTAATTAATTTATATAATTAGAGAATTTTTTTTAAAATATATGAGAACAAACTTAATTGAAAATTACTGTTGTACCTTCTTTTGGAGTGACCCGCAACTACATTAGATTTTTCTCCTTTTCGCATCCTTCTCGCATTGATTGACGCGCATCACTAATCGACACTACCCTTCCACTACAGAGGTGAGCTGGGGCCTAATATATTCTCATAAATAGGAGCAAATTCACGAATACAATTCGCTTGCACTTAATAAAAAGGCCTCAGCGATTTTTTTTCCATCAAATAATGTTTTTCAATTTGTATATATATAAATTTAAATCATTTTAATGCACTTGACATTCATGTATTTGCTCCTAAAACAGTAGAACGCTTACCTGAAAAAAGATCAACAATGCTTTATATTTTATGTATTATTTTTTTTTTAATTATGAAGAAATTACGCTGGAATGACGATTATTGAAATTTCTCAAGTTGGATTGAATTATTCAGAATTTGAGAAGATATATTTTTTTAATCATGCAGTCAATACTCCAGTGCATTTTTAAAAATTCATGGACTTAATTCATTCATACAAAAAATAACTTGAATTTTATTTACAAGGAACACTATATTTCATTTTTAGATTTTTAGATCTAATTTTAATATAATAATCGCAAGGTAATTAAAAATTGAGATAAAATATCTATTAAAATTAACTTACGCACCTCCTTCATTCCAGCTTGTGTATATGTGGGTTTTTTTTCAATTTTTTTTTTTTATTTTAGTCACATTAGATATTTCTAAACTTTTAAACAGGATATCACTCGGTTCCCACAGCTAGTGCGTCACCAAGTAGCGGTCCAGCAGCCAACCACAGTCGTTCCAACCACCCCGAATTGTACGCCGGCGCCTATTCGGGCTCCGGGGGAGGCGGGAGGTCCTCAGCCTATGAGATGAGACATCACAACAAGGTCTGATGAATATAGACTGCTACTGTAAAAAAAAAAAAAGAAGAAAAAATTTGATAATCAGCGTTGTGTAGCTTGAAGAACTATATAGTGACATAATTTGCCTCAGCAAATTATCTAGAAGCGACAAGAAAATATATATTAAAAGATGATCGCCAATGATCAAAGTCTATACTTATATATATATGAGGCAAGTATTTTCTGTCAGTTATATTGTAAGGATCTTTCTCAGTAGATTTCATGACTTCTGCAATGATCTATTCCTTACGTTGTTGAATCGTTCACGAAGACTACTTAATCTCTTTAATGATTTTAAAAGACCAAATGAATGCTCGATGATCAAAATCCGAATAAATGAAATGAAAAATTCATTTCAAAATGATTCCAAATCGCCAGGTATTTTTTTTCTGGAGATATTCATTTTTCTTCTTTTTTAAATAAATTTTTACTGCCGAAAAAATTGTTTTCGAATCTAAAAATCCAAAAGAAAATTTATTTTCTTTTGTTAGAACAGTTTGATTTAATTTTAAGTCCCATTTTGTGTAGATATTAAAACATGAAAATGAGATTTATATTTTCAAGAAAAAAATCCTCTTGCTTTACTAAAAAAAAAACACAATATTCTTGTATATATTTAATTTCTTAATATCATTGATTTCAAAAAGCGACGTTCTCGTTTTTTGTAATCGCACTAATTCAAGGCCAAGATTTTTATAGTTCTTAATTTTATGATCTATTCTCGGTGATTGAAGTTTAGCTGTTAAAGAATTGCTAAAATGAAATCTAATTATTAATTCATTAAATATTAATGTAGAAGAAAAATTTGTAGGTACCAATTTTAAAAGAATTTTTTTTTTTATTTGAATTTTACATCTCTTTATATTGATATTTAACAAATTAAATTCTTTTCATAATTGGTAGATTTTTTTTTTTTACTAGAAGGCAGATTTCATTGCAAATATCGACTGACTATAAAGAAATATCTGGCTTTCAGCATTACCAAAATATTTAAAGGTCATTTGTTTGATCTCTGTAACATTATAGTACGAGATTCGCTGTAATGTACATCTTATTCTTATACTACAGTTTATTAGCCAATTGATGCAAAATTTCCTAATGTTAAATAGGGAAAAAAAGATATAAATAAGAAAGAAAATTTATTACTACTATTATCTTGGTTCCATGTAAAAATATCTTTTTATTGAGTCATCAATAATAAATATCGACTTGAGAGAAAAATTATTTTTAAAAGGAACCTTAAGGGTGTTCAATAAACCAATTTTTAGAATGTTTTTTTTTAAATCAGATAAATAGTTTTTTTCCAACGCTTTTTGCAAGAACCATTCATTTATTTATTAAACAATATTTGTTATTTACTCAATTATCGATATTTTTGATAAGTTTTAATTCCTCAATAATTTTTACGTTTTGAAATTATTACAATAAGAAAAAAAAATGTAAATTCGTTTTGTAAAATGTAATGAAGGCTCTTGCAAAAAAATATGTTTCAATTTCTAAACTTGAAATTATACGAATGGGTCGAACAGTCTTAATGATTCTGTGTTAATGGTTGTGTTGATTACGATCATTATTGTAATATTATTAATTAGTTGAATATTATTCGTGATCATAGATTACGTTTAATTTAAAGCAAAAAAAAATTGTACATTACATAATTTAAGCGAAACCTTTATTTACCCTTTAATAGGAATTGTAGTGTTAATTATCATTAAAAAAAAAGCGTCTGTCTGTTATGTGAAAAAGTAGCTTATTAAAAAAAAAAAGAGATCGATTGTCGAAAAATCTACGATGCGTCAGGAAAAATGAACTATGAAATTAATTTTAAGTATGATTGTGAATCTTACGTTTAAAGTTTTTTTTAGGAAAAGTTTTCATTCGTTAAATTATAATATAAATGTATTATAATTATACGATGTTTTGTAAAAAAGCATTTAAATTTAAGGCTGATTGAACACATCACGATAATTTTTCGCTTAATGCCTTTTATAGTTATATTAACTTCAAATGGGCAAATAATAAATTTTATTAGTAGACTAATTTAAAATTGAAAAAAATGCTCTCTTTTTAATCAATTAAATAGTATAATTCAAATCTTAAGTTTTTGAGAAAAATAGAAATGAAAATTCTTAGTCTTCTTTTTAATATGAACATTAACTCTGAAAAATATGAGTTTTATTAAATATTTTTTAAACTTTAAGCACAAATAATGAAAGAATCGATTGTATGAATCGAACTTGATTTCAAATAATTATATTCGTTGTTTTTCTAAATAGAAATGACGATATAGCTACGTTCCAGTTATATGAGACTTTGTCTAAACAGTATTTTATATGAGAGAATTAGAAATTTCTTATTAAATGACTGAATTTTTCTTAGGCGCACGTATTTTAGTGTATTTTGTATAGATGACAAAAAGAAAAAGGAGAAACGTGATTTCTAAAATATTCTTTTCTTATGAATTTATTGTCCTCTATTAGATATATTTAATTTAAAAAAAAAGAAGTCGACACAGTTTTGAATTATTGTGTGTAACTAACTGAAAATTTTGAGGACGTTTATTAAAAAAAAATATTTGGAAAGAGAAGGGCCAATCGAAAGTCGCAATGATTTGCGAATTTGAAAGGGGAAATGTACAATAGACGCAATGTGATGATTATTGAAAAGAATGTAAAAGAATGAACGAACAAAAAGGTATGAATCGGAAGTAATTTTGAAAAAGAGATTTAAAGAAAATGTGTGTGAATACCATTGTAAATAATTTAACATATATATATATATATATATTATACAATTACCAACGGTATAGCGAAAAAAAAATATTTGTTTTATATCAAACCTGTATTATAGTCGACATATTATTCTGTATTTTGTATTCAAGATAAACAGAGAGAGTTGAACGCGAGTGTGAATAGGTGAGAAAGCAAATTGAAGCTTTTGAAATATTTTAATGTGTCTCAATTTCTGGCAGATGCGTAAGAATTGCGTTTCCTCAATAACGAATCAATTTTCTTAATTAACAAATTCATTTATTTTGTTATATAGTTAAGAAATTTAAACTATGCATCAGGTCCCGTTCATTGCGATCTCTGCGAGTTGATTAAAAGAAAAAAACTTTATTACTTTAATTTAAAAATTTCTAAAATAGACAAGTAAATGATTTTGTTGAAACTCAAACATTTTTTATATCAAGAGTACAAAATTTTGTGCTTTTAGAAAATAATTGTTCGATATTAATAGATAAACTCAGAGGCGATTAGTAATTTTAATTAATTTTGTTAAAACATTTTTGTAAAGTAACATTTTTTAACATTATATCATTGTCAGAAACTGCCAAAGAGCTCAACGTAATGAAAAGAAAAAATAATTAAATGTTTAAATTTAATTAAAAAATTAGATGTTTTAATTATATTATCAAGATATTACAAATTTCACTGCCATTTACTTTGGTAAAGTTTTCAATTAAAGGGTGAATGGATGGAAAAAATCCAACGAATCGCAAGAACGGGACCGTAAATTGATTAGTTTCAATTAATTATTTGTTGCGTGAGAGGAAACCAAAAAAAAAAAAAAATGCATTTCCTATTCTTATAATAAATTCTTCATCCCTAGAGGCTTAATTCGGAGGTTCCTCTTTTAACAATTTATTTTTTATGACATAAAGTTAACTTTCCATCCCGAAAAGTTATTAATTTTTCTTTAAAAAGCCAGGAAGAAGGAACGTTATTTCATTAAAAAAAAAACCTGAAGCATAATGTTCTATCACATGTATATAATGTGTCAAGAAAGATAAGAAACAAAAAAAAAATTGAGAGTTATATTTTTTCTATCAATCCAAAAATGTAAAAACACACGGTGACCTATATATTAAATTATGATTGAGCATTTTTAACATAATTTCAACAACATTTTATCTTTTTTCCTCGTGAATAACTATGTCTACTTACAATGCGAGAATACTCTTTTAAAAAAAAGTTGCTTGGATATCATAAACCACCAAGTGGCCTTTTTTACTTTCGACGATTTTCATTTTTAATCAACGCTCAATAGAGTTGAGATTTCTTGTTTCATTGTGTACCTAAATAAAGTAAGATACTGACCAATCACCCGAATGTAGCTTCAAATTTTTCTCTTTTCAAAAAAAAAAAAAAAAACAAAAACAAAAAAAAAATGTTAGGATGTCGCGTGTATTATGAATATTATTATAAATAAAAATAAATTATAATTGTGAATATCTCTTTTGTTAACGTTAATGTGATTCAAGAACGAAAAACACTACTGTAAAGAATTAAAATAAAACATACATTTTACACTTATATGTGTTACTTTTTATTTCACTATTTTTCAGATAACTTTTCTATTATTTTAATTTATTATTGAAACAATAAGTATTCCCTCTAAGGCAAAAAGTATAAGAATTTTTTTTAAACTAAAATTTTCATAGGCCAAATTTATAAAACCAACAATAATCTTTTAAATTTTATTTATTTTATAAACTATTGTAAAATTATTGTATTGTACATATAAAAAATTTGTGGTTAATACAATATTAGTCGTGTAAAAGTACACTGGAGTTAAAGAATGTTATGGACAATACCGTTTTCACAGTGATACACCAAATACTGGAGTAAAACTTAAGAATTAAATGCTTTTGGTTCAATTTTGTTTTAAACAATAATTAAATTTTATTCATACATCACCACACTTTCAAATAGAGTTTTTGCCCATTTAATAAAGCGATAGACATTTGGAAAAATTGTAATTCCTATGTGAAATTGCTATTCCATACTCAGAATATAAAAAGGGAGTAAAGGTGCAAGGGGCTGGCAACTCACAAATAAAAAATATTTTTCTTAAATTATTTTACATACACGCAGAAATTTGTGTTAATTTTTTTTTTCTTTTAAATTTATTTCAATTTAATCAGTCGATTTAGTCTTGTAAAGACGTGAAAAATTTCAGTCTGATTTGACAGACTAAATATAAACTAGATATGATGTAAGATTTTTCTTAAATTTGTAAATATCTGTTGAATTAAATTCTTTCGAAAGAAATTAACTTTTGAAGTCTATGAAAAAATATAGATTCGCGTTTTTTTTTTTTTTTTTTTTTTTGATCATTTGGTTTATTTTTGATATTTGAAATTTTTTGCGGAGGAAAAAATGAATTTCCAAAAAGAAGAAACAATGTCAATGATTTTCATATGTAAAGAATAAAAATATTTTTTTTGCAAAAGAGAAGGTATTTTTTTCAAAAGATTCAATGAAAGAAATTTTTTTAGAATTAAAAAGAAAATTCGAAGAACGTGTGAGAAAAACTTGTTTTCAATAAAATTAATTATAAATATTACGTAACAATCTAAAAAACTGTACATTTTGCACTTTTCCGTAAGTTACAAACGGTTGCAATTTTTTTGCTGACTCAGCAACATTTCATTGAAAACATTTCTATACAATTTTTTTTTTATTTTTTCAAGAATAGCCTTTTTGACAAATTTACGTGTCAAACTAGATTACTCTAGTTTAAAAATAATTTCAATAGGAGAAAAAAAATAAATAAAAAATACGATTTAATGGTGAAGTAATTTTTTCACCCTGATTTTAAAGTCTTTTAAGGTTGAGCGTGTTCCAATTTATAAACATCATGATAAGCATTACGAATTAATGCATAAGGGAAACAGCTCTCAAGCAGATCCATAGTGAGAAATGGAGATTCTTGAACAATTTGATCCAAAAGAAGATAAACCGATTCTCTATTTCTTGTCGCTTCCTTATCAGCTTCTTGACCCAATCTCAATAAACTTGAAGAAGCTAAAGCAAGAAATTCTTTCATTCTATCCTCAATATCGTTTTGTCCGCAAATGGTGAATAGTGCTCCAAAAATATTATTGATTGCAGTAGCCATGCAGTGAATATTATTTGAATGACCCTCAAGTGATGCTCTATAAAATGAATTTTCATTTTTCGCGAGTTTAGGAATTGAAACGGCTACAAAGACCATTAGAAGACAAACTAGAATATGTTCATCTTCATCAACTTCAGCTTTTTGACTTCGAAGAGCTGTTGTTAAAGTTGGATCCACTTTACAAGTGAGACCAGCGGCTGATGTCATTTCCGAAACCACTCTCATTGGATCACCAGACGGAAGATGATGTTTAAAATCAAGAATTGAACTCAATAAAAATGGAATTCGTTCTTCTAGAACATCAACAAGTGCAGCTTGTGAGAGTTGTCTAAAGCTAAGAATTACACCGATAATTGTCACTCTTTGAAGAACGTTATCAACTTGTTGTAATTTTTTAAATTGCTCTTTCATCACTTCTGGCTTATCAAAATTTGTCCTCAATGCAACTAAAACTTCTTTATTCCCAGCGACAAGTTTCTTCAATTCCTGCACTTGACTCGCAATATGCCACATTAAAGTCTCATTCAACATTTTCATTCCTGTAAAATAAAATTATAAAATATATTAATTATCAATCTTTATTATAAAACTTATTTTGATTTCATATAATAGAAAATCTTACCATAAGGTCCAATAAGTTCTGATAAAGCTCGCAGTTCATTGATATCAGAAAATTCTTCGGCATTGAAAGGAATTGCTCCTTCAACAGTGAGACTGACAAAGGCTCTTTGATTTCCAGAATAGCAAATATTTCCAGCGCTAACTCTTCTTAATAAAACTTCCGAATACCATTGTGTATAAAGAGCGGCAATTGATTTTTCTCCATGACTATCCAAAGGTTGTGTTTGCTGTAGTAATGCATTATTAAAAACCCTTGTAATATCAATGTGAACATAATTTTCCACAGTTTGAAGAACATTCATATAGGCTCGTACACTAACAAATAATTCCGATGGTTTTGCTATTTCACTTGTATCAGGATTGAACATGACCATTCCAACTAAAGCCTGAGCAAATCTATTCTCAAGATGTTGATGAAGATATTCCCTTGGGGCAAAAGTATATTCCCAAACATTAATCGTTGGACAATAATTAATAGAATAACAAAGTTCAGTTAAGGCCATATGTAATTTATCCATTGTTGTTAATTCTTCTCGTGTTTTTCTGTAACTCTCAATTCCTGGTTTGTGAATTTCAATCATATTCTTCTTGTTCTTATCTTTCTTCTTACGATTCAATGTTTGTGAAATAAGAATTGCACAGTGTTTTGGAAGAAGTTTATCACTCATATTACACTGCTCATCACATATTGTTGTAATAATATTCTTTGCCTCTTTTGCCATTTCATCAAGGAACATATTGACAACTGACAAACTTCTCTCTCTAATATGATGACGTTCCTCTGGACAAAGTTCGTGTGTACAACTTTGAAAATGACTGCAAATAAGAGGAAAAGCAACGATATAGCGATTTTGAGCTGGAAATTCCAGACACATGTGAAATTGATCCTCGAATATTTTACTGTAAAAACAAAAAATTGAAAGATCAGAAGTTTCAACAAGAACATCGTCGAGATTATCAACCATTTTTGTGTGAAAAATAACGGTATCCATAAAGGAAGTAAGTTCCCTATTATCAGCGAGATTCATTCCACTCTTGGAAATTGACATATAGGCCTGAAGTCTAAACCAATCGAGTCTAAATGCTCGAAAATCAAAAAGTTCATTATCCTCGACTTGTTTAACAGTGAGACTTGCAATTTGTGAGCATAAATCGCTTAAAATTGCTCCCTCTTCCTCGGGACAAACTGGAAGATTTTGGATCATTTGATGCAAAGCTGGTGCATCAAATCCAGAGAGAAATTGCACGTAATATCTCTGAAGAACTTGAGAGTATTTTCTAACAAGAGCACGAAGTTCCTCGCAATGGAAGAGCAATTCTGGAAGTTGTCTATCGACCAAGTCTTCGCCTCCACGACCTTTGCCTTTGCCTTGATTTGGAGGATTGTCACGGTGACGCAAAAGCCAAAGAACTTCGTCCCTCGAGTGACAGAGTCCCATTAAAATTAAAAGCACCTTTGGTCCCAAAAGACCTGGTTGATCAGTTAAAATTAATCCCAATTCTTTAAGAGCTGTTCTCAGGAATTTTCTCCTCTCTCTGTGACGATAGCTGGCTTTTTGAATCGCATGATTGTAGCATTCCTTCACCTCAGAGACTCTCTTGCCGTAGCCTTTGATACCTTCAAAAAAGGCTTGAATATATTGATGAATATAAATCACTTCATCGCGAAAGAGAGCGAGGACCCAACCGGATTCCAAAGCCGTTGTCCAAAGTTGATTAGGTTGTTCCTGATTGAGAAATGAATGACAAAGAGTAAAACCGAGAATTATCCATTTCTCAACTCGATCCAAATTTAATGTTTCACATGACATTGTATCAGTTGCAGCTGCTTTCAAAATTTGTCCTGGACTCCCCACGAGACTGAGTTTCTGATCTGCTCTCCACGTATCGGCTGTTAAATTTCTTCCAGGATATATTGGCCACAATGATGTTAAAGCATTCTTCAATAATTTCGAGTGTGGCACAAATTCCTCTGACAATTTTTTCAATGGCGAATCATAATCCATAATCATTTGTCCCAGACGTGGAAAACTTTGATCCGACTGGCTATGCACCTAGAAGTAAAAAAAAAAATTACATTTAAGAAATATTATTTTAATTTCTTTTGACGTTAAACAAATAATTCACTCACCATTTCATGAGCAGCATTGAATAGTCCAAGAACTGCTTTTCGATCTTCAACCTTCGACAGTAGTATCATTAAACTTATATAAGTTATAACAAGATCCAAATATCCTTTTGTCAAATCAAAATTAATAGTAATATCCATATGAACTCCACAAGCATCCATTGTTGTTAATAATTCACAAACATTATCTTTAAAATCCAAAAGATCGACAAACGTATAATAATACAATGACAGTGATTTGATAATTTCATTTCTTAAATTTGTGATTGTTTGCAATCCTTTGATGTCAATATTAGGAAATTTCCTCACTATTGTTTTTATAGATGATTCCAATGATTTGTCAGAAAGAAATCCAGGTTTAGATTTAGCATCCCCACAGGCTTTTTTAATATTGTATATACGTGTAAGCATACCAATTCCACGATCATTTAAAATAGTTAACTTTTCAGCCAGCTTTTGCTGGCTAGGTAAAATCGGTCGTGCCATGATTTTTATTTTGTTTTAATAAATTTACTAATAGAAAAACTCACGAAATAATCATGATCAATGCGGTTTCATTCACCTGCACAATTTCCTGTGTGACAGGAATGCCCCACCCCGAGTTCTTATATACTTTAACCAAAAATAATTAAAATTTGAGCTAAAGTTCTATAATCTGAAATTATAATACTTTTTATCAGATAAACAAATTTTAACAATATTTAAGATGTAGTAAAATTTATTGCACAGTGAATTTAAAAAAAAAATTGACAGTAGTGAATCACTATAAACCGAAACACCAATCTTTTTTATGTCGTGAAATTGGAAACTAGTGAATTAAAAGTACCAACAATATGGAATTCCCTATAGGAAAATTCCGTTCCGTTCCGTAGTTTTTAAAATATAGGGAATAATTTTACTGTCCATCGATAAGTGTCAAAATGGTAACTAAAATCGAAAGACGATAAGTTAGAAGTCTATAAAAACAAACCACCTTTGTTACAAATACAAGAAACGTATTAATTATAATTAATTATGATGTAAAGTGTTAATGTAATTCTATCATTATATTTATGCAGTGACGATCTTTCTTTATCAAACTTAACTCAGCAGTTTTGTAGTGCTTTTTTCAAGAAGTGGATTCAACTTTTTCAAGTACTTTTCCATATTATTATATTGTATTGTTAAAAACTAGTTTAGTAAAAAATTTTCAAAATATTGGTCAAAAACATCGCATGTCATTATTACTAAACAATAATAAACAACAGAATTTACTAAAAAAAAATGGTTCAAAAATTTTTCAGGTACTCGTAAAATTGTATTTTTAAAAATGAAAATCACTTTATTTAAATATCTACTTCTTAAAATACTTCAATAATGATATACATTTTTTTTTGTTATAATCAAAAAAAGCGCAGGAATTATTGCAATTTTAATGCAATTATGTCATAAATTCATATTCAGAAATATTATAAAAAAACACGTCCTTGATAGCAAAATTGATTGTATAGATCTCTCAACATTCTCAACACCGGCACGTACGGCACCGGTTTTACTATGCGTTTCCATTTACACGCCCTTCTCTCCTCTTATATTCAGTTATGCGCGCAACTCCAAACATTTAGGAGGTTTGTTTGTCGCAGTTAAAACTTGAACTTTTATTTGAACTTTCATCACTTTCCCTTACAGTATAATATATCGAAAAATCATGACACAAAAAAAATCTCCTGTCTTAAGTGAAGCTACGCATTTTTTTTAACGCTCTGTATTCATTTTTTTGAAATGTAAGTAAAATTTTTTTTAAATATTCACCAAAAAACTGAGAATAATTTCTAAAAATATCTATAAATAAATTAACAATAAATTAAGATTATTAATTGATATTATTTTCATGTGTTATATATATATATATGAGAAAGTAACTATACACTATAAACATATTTCTCAATAACTTTTTAAAATGCGAAAGCGGTCTCTTTAATTTCACTAAGAATATAATATTCATCTGTAATTTAGAAAAGAATTTTTTATTTTTTCATAAAATTATTAAGGACGGTTTTTTTAATGGCAAAATTAGTGAAAAAATTATACCTATTTAGAAAATTTAATTTAAAATTATATTTTTAAACTAAAATCTTTCATATTTTCTAATATACACTTTCTCCTTATCTACGACGAGAATACAAAATTAAAAAACTTTTATTATTCAAGAAAATTATATAAGTAATTATAAATTACAATAAATATAATAAATTATTTATTAAATTACTATATTAAATTTATATAAAGTTGAAGTAAACATTTCTAAAAAAAAATTGATATAAAATAATAAATATTCCAGTTTCTTTCTATTTTTGAAATTAGTTATCTGAACTTCAGTTTTAAAAAATATTTCCAGGGTCACATATATTGAAAAATTGCATATTGAAATTTATTACACTTTAATTATTTGCGTTTAAAATAGTCTTTCAATGATACATAATATGTAATTGTCTGATAAGCAAACTATTATTTTTTATTTTAGCAATAAAAGTAAGTTTTTTTAAGTATTAAAAACATTATTTTATGGACTTTGTTTGAAAAAAAATACAATTTTTTGAAACATTAAATTTTACAAAAACAAGTAAATTAAAATATATATTATTGTCAAGTCAGATCATTACGTAAATTTTGTGATTTATTATTTAACAAAATAATTTTTAAAAGTATTATATTTTTTCATGTTCGTGAAACATTTTTCTTCAATTATTTACTTAGAAGCAAATTTTTTATTTGTATAATTTAAACAATTATGTATTTATATTTGATTTGCAAACATTTTTTTTTGACCTAAGAGTGACTTTTAAGTTTCTGAAATTTTTTGACCCTTGCAAATTTTAAGAGTGTGTGATAAAAAAAAAAAACTCTTTCCTTTATATTATGTTATTTTTGTTATAAGATTTTGATATGGCAACTTTGGGTAACAGAAGCGAAAAAAATATTGATATAGAATCATCGAGATAGTGATCTGTTGTCTTGCCGTAAGAAAACAGGTATTTTTAAAGACGTAGAATTTGCTAAAAAAAAAAAAAAAGATAATTATATTTTCAAAAGATTTTATCCTTAATTTTTCTACAATCTGATAAGATAAAATAGTTAATCACACTTGTGGTTATATTTGCGTTCTGCACGTGAAACGCGACCATTCACGTGCAAAACATATGCACGTTTTGGCAAAAAATTTTTTTAAAAAATTTAATTTCTTTAATTAATAAAAAAAAAATCTATTTGTTTCAGAGCTTTCGTTAATTAATATATATCAGGAAAAAGAAAAAAAAATGTCTCTAGCAAGTAAAATTAAAGTGCAATCAATTTTCAATAATTTAACAATGATTCGAGCTTTCTCAGCAAAACCAATGCTCAATACGAAAGACGACAGTAAAGAAGTGATAATAAAATATCTTGATGGCAAGGATAATGGAATTGCAGTCATAGGATTAAATCGTCCAGAAGCTCGGAATGCATTTGGAAAAAATCTCGTGTCACAATTAAGTGAAGCAATTTCGACAATTCGTCAAGACAATAAAGTACGAGTTCTCATTGTTCGTAGTTTGGTACCAAAAATATTCTGTGCTGGCGCAGATTTAAAGGAAAGATTGAAAATGGATAATTCCGAAGTAAATCCATTTGTTTCTTCATTAAGAAATCTCATGAATAATGTTGAATCCCTACCGGCGCCTGTTATATCGGCAATTGATGGCTCTGCACTTGGAGGAGGTTTGGAACTTGCTCTAGCTACTGATATAAGAACAGCAGCGTCTGAAGCAAAAATGGGTCTAGTCGAAACCAAATTGGCAATTATTCCTGGAGCAGGTGGAACTCAGAGACTGCCAAGAGTTGTGGGACCTGCAAAAGCCAAAGAACTTATATTTGCAGCTCGTGTTCTTGATGGTGAAGAAGCACACAAAATTGGACTTGTTAATCAAGTTGTTCCACAAAATAAGGATGGTGATGCTGCTTATCAAGCTGCACTGTCAATCGCAAGAGAAATTTTACCAAATGGTCCTATTGGAGTAAAGTAAGTTCATTTGTTATACAATTATATAATTTTACACAATAAAAATATTTTTAAAAAATTCAAATTTAAAAATTAGATATTTTAAAATTAAAAGAATTTTTTCCAACATACCTCATTATATAATTTATGTTTTAAAATTTTTATCATTTTAATAAAAGAAGTATGGAAAATGCCGGTAATTGTTTTATTTATTACGACGTCAAGGTCTTTTTAAAACTCATCGATTAACTTATGACAATGTATTCATTAGCATAAATTAATGACTCAAGTGGTTATTTTTAATAAACAATTCTTTTATTCACAATTCCCAGGGTTGTAATTGAAGGAAAAACTTTGTTCTACAATTTTAACTCTTGTAAATATATTTTCAATTTATTTCAGATTAGCGAAAGTTGCAATCAGTAAAGGAGTGGAAGTACCAATTGAGGATGGATTTGAAATTGAAAAACAATGTGTTTCTCAGCTTTTGGAAACGCAGGATCGAGTCGAAGGTCTTGCAGCTTTTACTGCAAAACGAATTCCAATTTACAGAGGTTTGTAATTGAAAAAAATTCGTTACCTTATTTGGAACTGACTTTTTTTGTAAGTAAAATTGACAAAAATGCGTTTTTTAAAACAAAACTAATTTTACGAAAAGAGCATATAATTTATAAGAATCAAAGTTCCAAGATACTTGTGTACCATTATCGGGAGGTGGTAATTGTAATATTTTGTAAAAAAAAAAAATTATTATTTTCTACGCTGTAATATGTAATTTTATCAAAGAATATCATTGTTAATTAGTAAAAAGTTTAAATCTTTATTGTTAATACTATTTTAAAAATGTAATTTTTATGACCTTTCATAAGAATAAATCTTTTTATTATTTTTTATTAAAAATTCATATTTTTTTAATGCTAATATAATATTTGAGCAAAAAGAGTTATTTTTAAACTAAAAGTTTCGTCGAGTAAAGTGAAAAAAGAAATACAGAAATTGCTTTCATTTGGTTTTATTCATTTGATTTGAGTTATAATTAGACTATAAATAAATCAACACTATTTACATAAAATTTAATTTTAGAGAAAAAATGCTTCGTGGAATAAATAATTTAAACGCAATGCATCGGTGCGTTTGGGCATTCTTTATTTTCAGATTCTTGCACTAAAATTTGCAGTACTTTTAATTGATTGACAGTATCTTCGGGACCAGTTACACGATGTCCAATTGTCATATCACTTTCATAAATTTCATAGTCATTTCCACCTTCTCTTACTTTGTCACCGAAAAAATGTATTTCATCATATCCTTCAATATGTTTCAGACAATAGGTTTTGTCCCATCCATTAGGAAAAACATCAAATGATATTTGTCCACCTTTTAATTAATTGAAACAGTTAAAAAAAAATTTTTTTTTAAATCTTTTATGTTTGCTTTCATTAAATTTTATTTTGAGAACTCTACTGTCTGGTTAAGAAGAATTTTTATCTTGAATAAATGATTTTTGTTTTACGATTGTATAAAGATAAACAAGTGAGATAAACTTACCAATACTGTACGTCAATGCTAAATCTGGAAATTCTTTTTTCAAGGCTTGAATGAATTTTTGGCGAATTTGATGTTCGTTATCATATTCATAGAATTGAAGACGTTCTTCTTGTGAACAATTTCTTCCAACCGGTGAAATATTCAACATTCCTGTTCTGAATTCGACAAATGTTCCTCGTTTAAATGGCAATTTTAATTCGGAAATATATTTCAAAACAAAATTTATAAAATCCTGTAGAGCCTCTTCTCCAATTAATTTATGAATTGACTACGAAAAAAAAAAACGAAATTACTATAAATGAAGAAATGAATGAATAGTTAAACTTAAATTAATACTTACTTCGGACGATAATTGTTTACCATCTCTGAAAGAAACTAAACCATTTTCAGAAAAAATATATTTATACTTCTGAAAAATATCGTCGCCACCTAATTGTTTTTTAATTTTGTTTAAATCGGAGCCACCAATAACAGCGAGGTCAAATGTTTTTTTCACTGATTCTTGCAAAAATTTATCAACATTAGACTTGATTACCTGTAAAATTTTCAGTTCTAATTAAATTTCAGAAAAAAATATAAAAAATATGATGTAAAATAAAATAAATTACCTGTTGAGGAACTGTAAGAGTCCCATCGACATCGAATAGACAAATAATCTTTTTCGCCATAGTTACCTGGAAAATAATGATTCATTAAAAATTAAATGCATTTAGATGATACAATTTAGAAGTAAAAAATATAAAAAATTGTATACGAGTAAATACTCGAATAAATAATCCAATACGTTGAAATGAAACAAATTAAATGATCCTTAAATAACTAAATGATACACAATCACGTGCTTATCCTAGCTTGTTATGGTAATTTACAAACCCCTTCTTATTTCTTTATATCAATATCTCGATACTCCAAATTGTTAATTTTAAATTAAATGATAAAATGTAATTTCACTTTATCTTTCGTATTTCAAAAATAAATAAAAATATTTTAACAATATTTAAAACAACGAAATAAACACCAAATGTCAATAATCCTACACCCACGTCACTGACGACAGAACCACCTGTGGTAAATTATGACAAAAGAATTTTGCACATTTTTTTAAAAAAATCTATCTTATAAATGCGAAAAACAATTTTTTTTTTGAAACTTTCATTACAGAAAATGGCGAAAATTGTAAAAGCTCCAGAAAATTACCTTCTCTATTTATTTATAAGCAATTTCAAATGGAATGAAAGGAGACGACGTGGCCTACAACTTTCAGCTGCTGCCGGTACTAATACAAACGAACTGGGAGTGTCATTATATCGTTCCCTTTTCTATCAGGAACGTAATTTAGAGGTGTATATAAAATTCTTCATTTACTAAATGAATTACGAAACTTTACAGAATCTATCAGCAATTTTTCAAAATATTAAATAATCTTTTACATTAATTGTAAAAAAAAATGACACATTAAAAGAACATTTTTTTGCATGATCTTAAAATTATTTCATCTATTTTGGAGTTACGTTAGTGATGAGTTTCACTTTTAATTCCTTCAGTATAGCAACAACAGTTAGAACGTTTTAAGATGTTTAAGAATTTTATTTTCATTTTAATTTTTATTTTAATAGAATTCAGAAATTCTAATGGACGAAAATTGCAAACACAACGAAATGTTGTTTTACTTTTGGGTAAAGTTATTTTTTTCCAAATGGATTTACTAAAAACAAATTTTAAATCGAAATAATTATTATTTTCAAACTTGTGTATTATTTTGTTTGTATATTTTGAAAAAGATTTTTTAAATTACAGCCGACGATGGAGGTTTCGAAATGCGATCTTATTTAAATAAAATTTGTCAAACTCCCAATTTAGACAAATTAGCAAAAGAAAGTTTGATTTTTAATAATGCTTATACTTCAGTCAGCAGTTGTTCACCTAGGTAATGTATGTAATAATAAGATTTTTATTTTAAAATCATGGTAAGAAAGATACTCTGTCATTAAACATCGATTTTAAATAATCCCTAACTTTTTTTTAAATGAAATTTAAGTTAATTAAATTTTGCAATATTTAAATTTGAATTTAGTCGTGCTTCACTATTAACGGGTTTACCAAGTCACCAAAATGGAATGTACGGTTTACATCAAGGAGTACATCATTTCAATTCATTTGAAAATGTTCCTAGTTTATCGAAGATATTAAGACGTAAAAATATAAGAACTGGTAAGCTGAAAAATATTGATTTCACTAACAATTTTACAAATTAATGAAAAACACAAATTTTTTTTTTTAGGTATTATTGGAAAAAAACACGTGGGACCAAATAAAGTTTATCCCTTTGATTTTTCCTATACGGAAGAAAATGAATCGACTCTTCAAATAGGAAGAAATATTACGAGAATCAAGTTGCTTGTTAGAGAATTTTTATCTCAAAATAAATCCCAGTATGTAATTATTTTTTTCCTTTTTAATCGAAAGGTTTTTTTTTAAAATAGGAAATTTTCATTTTCATAGACCATTTTTCCTGTATGTTGCTTTTCACGATCCCCATCGTTGTGGACATAAAAATCCAAAATACGGAAACTTTTGTGAAAAATTTGGCAATGGAGATGAGGGAATGGGAACAATTCCAGACTGGTCTCCAGTTTATTATCAATGGGAAGAAATAAAAGTTCCATATTTTGTTCAAGATACTGAAGCTGCAAAAAAAGATATAGCAGCTCAATATACAACAATATCTCGATTAGATCAAGGTTAAATTATATTTTATAATTTATATTTTAATTAAAACAAAAAATATCACTATGAGTATGACTATAAAAAAAATGATGTGCCAAATTTTCAGGAGTAGGATTAGTTCTTAAAGAATTAGAAGATGCTGGATTTAAAGACAATACTCTAGTGATTTACTCGTCAGATAATGGAATCCCCTTTCCTAATGGACGTACTAATTTGTACGATTCTGGTAATTTTATTTCTTTACAATAATTAAGATGCTGAAGATCATCATTTCTGAAATTTGTAATTAATAATATTAATATTTTTAACAGGCATTGCAGAACCAATGATGATTTCTTCTCCATACCATAAGGAAAGAAGAAATGATGCAACAAAAAGCATGACTTCATTATTAGATGTCGTTCCTACTATTCTCGACTGGTTCAAAGTTTCATATCCAAATCGTACTCGTAATTCAAATCAAAATCAATTCTCATTAACTGGAAAATCACTTCTTCCTCTATTGACTAAAGGTGAGTTCCAATAATTTCTAATTAATTTTCTTTATTCTCGTTCGTTAAATTCATTTTAAAATTTTTAGAGCCACAGGAAAAAAATACAACAGCAATATTTGCGAGTCAGACGCATCATGAAATTACCATGTACTATCCAATGAGAGCAATTCGAACAAAACGTTATAAACTTATTCACAATATAAATTATAAAATGCCTTTTCCTATTGATCAAGACTTCTACCTATCACCAACTTTTCAGGTAAAAATTTTGTGTAGAAATTTTTTTTTAAATTAGTATAAATTTTATATTCTTATCTAATTATTATTTCTTAATAGGATTTATTAAATAGAACACAATCAAATCAACCTCTTTGGTGGAATAAGTCATTAAAGAATTACTACTACAGAGATGAATGGGAATTATATGATCTAAAGCATGATCCAGAAGAAATTAAGAACATTGCTAGCAAATCATCAACCAAAGTAAATTTCTAATATTTTCTTCCTCTATCTAAATTTTACCTAGTTTCATTTATTATAATATAATTATATTATAATTTAAAGTAACTATTTTGAATATTCATTTTTATCTACAGGCAATTTTCATTGATTTGAAAAAGAGATTGCTAGACTGGCAAAAGGAAACAAAAGATCCATGGCTTTGTGCTCCGGAAGGAGTGTTTCAATCAGTTGGAAATTTTAAAGATAATCCTCAATGCATGCCTTTATATAATATGAATTTTTAAATTTCTATTTATATAGTAATATACAGTGACAATTGATTTTATACGAACAAATTTTGTGATAATGCAAATTTTTTATAATAAATGTTTTTATAAATTTAACGATATTTATTTTATATTTTATTATTTTTATAAAAATTTGACAGTACTTACATTTATGATTTACTAAAAATTTCCCAATTGAGATTGTGTAATATTCCTCATTTTTCTTTCGCGTTGTTTAAAAATTGCCTCATTAAGTTGATGTATGATAGTTGACGATTTATTAGCAGATTTTTCTATTTCAGTTAATTCTTCAGATATTTCGTGCATCTATATTAAAATAATTCACATATTAATCGAATTTATTATAATGAATAAAAAATTTCTCAGATAAAAAATATGTAAATAAAAGGAAATACAAAAATAATCATTATCTAATATGTGTGTACAACTTAACCTCAATACTTACAAATTGTCTATATCCTTGAAGTCTATTATTTTTCTCATGATTATTGTAAATTTGTTTAAATTGTAGCATTAACATGAGACAGAGAACAAATCCTCCAAGAGAAAGTAATGTATTGACATTTAAAATGCCACGTATAATTAACATAACAATTAACATATAAGTTATAATCACATGAATATTGCAAAGAAAATAAGTGTTTTTTTTTTTAATGTTTACAAGTTTCGACACACATTTAATATGAGAATAATTAAGCTTTTAATTATTATGAATAATTTGGATTGTTATTAATAAAAATTTTGTTTTTTGTTTTTAATTAAAATTGAACAACAATTTAAACTTTAATTTTATCATGTTAACTGTTTACACTGTGAGTTTATTTAGGGTGAACCGTGATTGGTTGATCCAACTAAGATGTTCATGTTGATTGGCTTATTTTTATGATAAATAGATAATAGTTTTTATCTGAACGATTATACGCCACTAGTGGTAAATTCTGAAACTAATTTTGACGTTTTAACAATAATGTGTCAAATATAAATATTACCTGAATTAACAATTTACCTATGTATAAATAAACTACTGTAATTGTAAAGTTACATAATGTAGTGCAATATGTAATTTTACAAATGCTAAAAATAATATAGGGAAATAACACGATTGACATTTTTTTATATTTGTTATTGTTATTTTATATCTCAACATAACCTATTTAAAACTGATAATATCGGTATAGTGTAAATTGCAATTTTTTCTAAAAATTGTTATTTACTAAACATAAAATAGTAAGTCTTTAATTTTTTATTACTTATTTATTTTCTAGGTCTGAAAATTTGGCCTTAATATGTTTAAAACCATATCATCTTGCAACGATTCAGTTGAGATTGATTTGCTGATTACTTTGTGATATAATACAATTATTTGTAAAAATTTTCTATTTACACTAATTTAAAATGCTGGAAAAAATAGAAGTTGGTAAATATATTTATTTGTTTCTATGTGTTTAGATTTGTTTTAAAATTTTTATAAATAACATTAATACTAAATGACAGGTTTATAAAATAAAATTATATATTTTTTTAACTATTTCAGATGTTATTCCTCAAGATTTGCGACACGAGGAGACGATTATTCAAATTGCAGATGCTTTAGATAATTTAGAATTTGCCGTTTCTCATACTTTCAATTGCATCAACAATAGAATATCCGATAATAGCAAAAAGTAAGTTTTTTTCAATTTTTAAATTGAAATTTAAATACTTTTGTAAGATTAAAAATAAATTAATAAATTAATGATTTTATTATATTTACAGGCTAGACATCATTAAATCAAGAGCAGAAAAAATTCAGGGACAACTTGAGTACCTTCAAACAAATTTGAGTTTAAAGGCAGTAAAAATGTATTCAGCGGCAAAATATCCAGCCAGTCATGTTTATAAAGAATATGAAAGTATAATGAAACCAAATATAAAAAAAGAAACTCTACCATCAATTTACAAAAGTTCACTACCAATTGCCGATACAATTGATATGCACTTAACTGCCGGTAGTAAAACTGAAAATGGACAATACGCGACTAATATTAATCTTCAAGAAAAATTACAATTTTATTATGTCAAATCGAAACCCTATAAACGAATAACAGATAGAGAAACAAATCAAGAACGTATAATGCCTGGACCATCTTCTATAAGTGCTCTTATACTTTTTAACAGTTCTAAAGAATCTGACGATCGAATTCATTTATCGCAAACCAGTGATAAACAGAAACTTGAAGACGCACCTGATTCTATACTTCAACCTTGGCACTCTTCTGAAATAGAATCACCCTCTTCTTATTTATATGCTCCTACTTTAGGCGAGGTAAATAATTTACAATTTAAAAAATTTATTTTCAATTGGAAAAATATTTTTTTTTTGACTGTATTTAATCGATTTTTTATTTTCAGGTTCCACAAATAAATGTCCCACTAACACTACCAGATCTACCAGGAATCGTCGATGATGAAAAATTCGTTCTTGATTTAAATTCCCAAAGTCCAATAGCACCATCATCGGCAACAGTAACTCCAACCGTTAGAATAGATCTTCCCACTCCAGTATCAACAACAGATGAAATAGATGTTCCCTCAGTTTCGGAACAAACTGTACAAAATTTGCCAAACTTTTCAGAAAGTAAAACAATTACGTCGGAGGTTATTTCATCGCCGCCGCCACCACCTCCACCTCCGCCACCTTCGAATCAGAATCTTGAGCAGAAAATTCCTGCACCTTCACAAGTATTGGTTCAAGGTCCTCCTCCTCCACCGCCACCTCCTCCACCACCACCACCTCCACCTCCGCCACCTTCTGCTCCACAGTCAGAAGGAGATACGAAAAAAGTGGAAAAGAAAGCAGCTTCCCCACAAATTCCAAAAGTTGTAGATGATCGTACAAATTTGATGGCAGCAATTCGTGATGCTGGTGGAGTTGGAAGAGCAAAACTTCGTCCCACTGTTGCCGCTGAAAAGCCAAATGAACGATGGGCATCAGCTTCAGTTGGTGGCGATTTGATGGCCGATCTTCATGCTAAATTATCACTGAGACGAAAAGGTATCGCCGGTGGTGGTATGAATGCTTTTGAAAGAATGTCCAGCATGATTCCACCACCTCCAAAACCTAGTGAAGTTTCTGATAGAAACTCAGCAACAAGTGAAGGTGATTCACAACCTGATAATGACGATTGGGAGGAATAACTTCTTTATACATTCCAATTTGTAATATATACATATATTTTACATATTAAATTCTTTAATCATTGTTTAATCAAAATTGTTCTTTTTTATGCGATCCCACGTCATTTTTCTCAATCATTTTGAAACTACTTTTATAATAAATAGATTCATTCATTAACTAATATAAAAAAAATAACAAAACTTTCTAGAAAAATATTATTGAAAATTGTTGAATTTTAAGATTTAAAAATTCTCTTCAAACAGGACTTTGAAATTACAGGTTCTAAAGATTAAGAAACTTAACAATTAGTAAAAAAAAATTTCATGTTTTACTTTCATAAATTACATCCTATATAATGGCAGTAGAAATATTGAATCTTCATTTTTGTCTTTTTTACAATATATTTTACCTAAGTTTATTATAAACTTATTAATCTATTAAAAAGTTGTTAAATATCAAAATTTTAATTGAGCTCAAAATATAATTTATATAAAATGAATCAATAATAAATTTCCTTAAATTAAATTAATTTTTTTCTAGATACTATGTAACAGAAGTCTTCAATTCAAAATGAAGACACGATTTAAAAAAAAAATTCCATAACTGTATAGTTGATATGTATATAAAATTAATTGATTTAATATTATATCTAATTGTAAACATATTTCAATTACAAAGCTCGTATACTCCAATGTTTAACAATTGATAAACTTTAAATACAAAACTTTATACTTTCGAATACTTTCAGTAGCAATTTTTATGCGTTAAATTTTCAATATTCACTTACATATTTTATAGTATATTAAAAAGTGGTAATTAAAATATATTCTGACGAAGGAATGTTTCAACACTAATCCTTCACCTTTTTTTTCAAAAAAAAAACCTGTCGACTATTTTAAATTAAAAAAAAAAAAAATTTCTAAAAATTTGTTTTTAAATATATCAATTGTATTTAGTAGCATCTATTAATGAATTAATTATTTAAAAACAAAATTAAAAAAATTTGCACAATGAAAAAATTTAAATAGTCGAAATTTTGATAATAGAGAAAAACAACCGTTCTTTCAAGAATAAATTAAATGATTAAAAAAAAAAAAAAAAACTAGTATATTTACAGGATTTTTTTTATAAATTAGGCGTGGCCCAATTTAAAAATTTCATGGCCATTTCAAAGCCAAGGAAGCACGCAGCATTTGCCGGAAATGCTCGCAACATTACAGGAACGACTCCTCTGTAGAGAGCGAGAGCTCCATCTTCTTTCATCAATTTAACAAAAACTTCACGAATTCCTTTTTTATATGTTCCCTCGGGTGCTGAAAAAATAAACCATAATTAATAACAATATATTTTTTTCAAAAATTAAAACCATTTAAATGATGCGATTTTATTTCTACTATAAGATAATAAAATCATAAATAATAATTCCTTTTTTTATTGTAAGATTTAAATTAAAATAATTCAATATATTACCTGTTTGCAATCGACTCTTCAGAACATCGGGAGGCATTCCAATAATCCAATTGGCAATACCAGCGCAACCACCGGCGATTATCGTTGAAACTAAACTGAGTTTTCCATCCTCTGGTGTCATTAGCCTCTGAAGTCCTTCATAAGTCATGAAATACATTCCTGAGGCAGGCATATCTGTAAAAAATAAAATTGCCCCCAAAAAAATGAAAAATTTTTTTAACTGTTTTCCTCAGGAATTAATAATAGAGAGTAATGTGTGTGGGTTGTGAACAGATAGTTTGACATCCTGTTTGATAGGAAACATCAAGGCAGACAGATAAGAGTCAACAAAACTCAGTTTCTCTTTAGTTCGATTCATATAATCAGAGTCATGAAATCTTTCTTTTAATTTGTTAAAATATTGGAAATATTATGGCAATTTTGTATTTCATCTTCACTCTATTTACACTGGTACGTGTCATGAGTAAAAATTCACTTTTTTACTCTCTGTACTTTTTTATTAATTTAAAATTGAAATAATAAAATTTAGATTTATGTATTCGAATATTAATTCTAAAAAAAAATTTTAATTATAAAAATTTTAGAGTAATAGTAATAATAATTATAGTATTTAATTTGCTGTTTATTGAAATTCATAAGGAAGAAAATTTTTATTTCAATGCGATAAATTTAAAAGAAATTTTGATAAACGTTTATCGTGAAACGTATCGTTTAAGTATAAAAATTGAAATATTCTAAACAATTTCTTAAACTTTAACGATAATAAAAAAGAAAAATGTTTTTTTAAAATTGCAAAATTGGAAATAAATTTAGTGTTGACTGCATGTGTCGATTAGGGACAGTATGCAGCACAAGTAGTTGATATCGGTGGCGTGTGGGAAATAAAATGTCCACAGGGATGCTCCTGCCAAATTCTGAAATTCGAGGATTTATCCCTTCATCAATGGCTCGATCCAAGGTCACAGAATAAGGTACGAAAAAAGGGAATTGCCGAAACTGGTTTCTCGAAATAATCTATTTTGTTGGAATTAGGCCGTGGATGATGATGATGATGCTGACAACGAGACTGGATCCATTTTCACCACTGATTTACTTAAAGTAGCAACGTGTGTCGTAGCTGAAAATCCATCAGAACTTCTCGCCAAACTCCCTTCCGATTTACAGGTCCTTCAATTACTAAGACAAATTTTGCTCCAAAGTTAATTAAATTCAAATTTTTTAAATTCTTTTATTGATTTTATTATTTAATTTCAATTAAATCGTTATCATTAATTTTTAAATAATTTTCCAATTTCAAGGTATTCACAATTTTAGAATCTGGAAATGGAGAATCAGATATTGTTCTTCATTCATCAGACTTTCAGCGTTTTGGAGATTTAATTTCTCTGGAAATTCAGGGCCAGGAAATTGGCAATATCACAAAAATAGTAAATCCTATAAAAAGAGGAGGAATTATTTTATCAGCAGATACTTTACTTCCTTTGGGAATGACATTACTTTACCTAAATCTGGAACGAGTGACATTGACGAATTCAAGTTTGACGAACAAAAATAAAGCAAATTTAGTAGTGAAACCAGCAATTTCTTCAACTGAGGATTCAATTTTTCCAAAGAACAATTCAATTAATCTCGCGGGACACAGATTAATTTTTCTGAGTCAACAGGTGAATGACAGTAAAGATGATATGGAAATTCTTCCCTACGATATTTTTAAACAGGAAGTAGAAGGACGAACGGATATTGGTGGACTTTTTACTGGATTAAGTGTTTTAACACACTTGAGAGTTTACGATTGTGAACTCAAGGACATTTCTTGGCACATGTTTGATGGTTTAGAGAATTTAATTTATCTCTCGTTGGAAAAAAATGATTTAAAAGTCATTCCTGAATTTTGCTTCTATGGAACTCCGAATTTAAAAAAATTGTCTCTCGCCGAAAATCAATTATTGACACTAACCAGTGTCGATCTTGCAGGACTTTTGACACTCGAGCATTTGGATTTAAGTGGAAATAATCTCACATTTTTATCAGAATTAACATTTCCTCCATTTCCAAATCTTCAAGTCGCTAATTTTGAGAGAAATCCTTTGGACTCAATTTTTCCCAGGTATATAAATATTACAATTTTATGAATACAAATTAGAAAATTAACTCGTAAATTTTTTCTAGCACTTTTGAAATAATGAACACAACTTTACAACTTTACATTGGAGGCGAAGGATCAAAATTAAAACTTCAAAAGAACTCATTTTTAGGTCTACGAGAATTAGAGGTCCTACATCTTTTTAATGTTGAAATGGAGAATTTAGAAAGATTTTTTCTACAAGGAATGCCGGCACTCAAGCAACTTAAATTACGAGGAAATATTTCGAGAATAGAATTCGATGCATTTATTGATTTAATTCAACTTATTGATTTGGATTTAAGACATTGTCATTTGAGACAAATTTCAATGGACGCATTTTATGGTTTGGAAAATGTGAAACGAATTGATTTATCCTACAATGATTTGGATTACATTCCTCCAGGTTTATTTGCCATTCAACAGCAAAAAAGTCTCAAAGAAATTATTCTCAGTAAAAATAGAATAACTACATTGCCACATGATTTTTTCAAAAGTTTAAGAAACATTAATAGACAGCCACAAATTCAAAATCTTCGCTTAGATGGAAATCCCTGGGATTGTAGTTGTGCAATGGAAAACTGGAATCCTCACGTTGTAAGTTTTTTAATATATTATTTTTTATTTTTAAGTAGAGTAATTTTATATTTCTTTGTAGGTAAATAAAACTCGAGAAACAACACCGAGATGTTTCACACCTAAATCAGTTCAAAATTGGGGAGTTTTTCACGCTTTACGTAAAGGAGGACTTCAATGCAAACGATTCAAGAGAAGACAAATCCGCAAGTTATCTAAAGTACCAAATATGGAGGAGAATAATATTAGTTAATTGGTATTTTTTAATAAATAAGTTTAGAAGTAAGTCTCTTTATAGAAAAGAATCAAATAAATTAGAATATAAACGAGAAAATTTTTCATTAATTTTTTTTATCTTTTAAGTGTGTATTTAAAAAAAAAGAAAATTAGTTTTACCTCTTAAAAGAGTGGCACAGGTTCCTTTATAAATACTTCGAATTCCTCCTTCTCTGTATAATTGTTTAACTACATCATTTGGACCACTATATTTTGGTTTTGCTTCACCATGTTGAATTTGTAAAAGACATTTAATTCTTTCGCCAGGTGCCATGATAATAGTCGTAAAAATACCGCTAAAAGCCCCAGCGTAGAATAATTGAACAAGTGTTAATTTTTCATCAGGGGTTTTTTGCTGTAATTTTTTTCCCAATCCGTAACCTAAGAAACTCATCGCAAAAATTGGAGCAACTCCAACAAGTGGTGCTGCCATTCCTGTAATGTAAATAAAAAAAAAAAAAATAGATTAATATAATAATAAATAATGTTTTTTGCAAAACAAAAACATATCGAAAATTATTTCTATGTCAACAATAAATGTACCTTTATATAAACCTAGAAATCCTTCCTTAGAAATAGTTTTTTTAGCACAGTCAAAAGTTCCTTTATAAAGGGGAGATTCATTTAAACCTGGTTTAGGCATTGTTTGCAGGCGAACCTAATTAAAAAAAAAAAAAATTTTAAATACTAAAAATTGCTAAACAATATTTAAATTTAAATATAAATAAATTTAGAGTGAAAAGTGTTTTAATAAATTAAATAATTAGAATAAAATTTACAATTTGGTAACAAAATATCTAGAAAAGAAAAAAAAATATATATATACTTTACAAAATAAATGAAAAATTAAAAATAATTTAGTTTTTAATACAAATTTTATAAATTGCAATTAAAATATAACCTCACTTTTATTGTATCAAGAGGATGACCTGTTACAATTGTACAGATTCCTCCAAATCCTCCACTCAAAAAATATTTCACGGGGCTCACGTTTTCAGACATTTTTATTACTTTTTTTTTAAAAATATATTTATAAGTATAAAAAAATAATTTAAATTATAAAATTCAACTACTTTTCAATATAACTATTAACAAAGTTGTGTGCCAGAAAATAGCACATTATTTGTAATTCGTCCTCTCCTCTGACGGTCAAAGTCCATTTATAATGTATCAAACTGCTCCTCTGTAACACATATTATTCATTTTATTAGGAGCAATTGATATGTACTTGAATGACACTGGCAAGCTGAATTTGCATTTTCATTTTATTCTTATTCAATGCTAAAAATTGCATATAGACATAAAATTATACAAATATATTTCGTTTCAAATAATTATTATGTAAGTTATACAAGTAAATTCATTTTTTACAACATAAACTGATTTATAATTTAAAAGACGGAAATATTTATATAAGTATTAAAAAAATTATTAATTATAATTATATTAAATATTCATAATTAAAAATATTTAAAATCTTAAATAGTTTTATAATTAACAAAGCCTATGTCAAAAATTTGTCTTTAAAATTAAATTTGTTAACGGACTTATTTGTTTATATGATTCTAATAAAATAGCAGTTTTTTAATTAAAAAATCACACATAAACATATATACATATCAGACATATAGGCATAAAATGTGTTTTGATTTAAGACTTGTTGACTAGAAAACCAAATGAAAATATAATTAAAGTGTCACGTGTATTTATGTCACGACATGTGCATCAATGACAATAAAATGAAGAACATAAATTTATAGTAAATATTCGAAAATCTTATCACCTTACGACAATTCTTGTTACTGATCAGCTGATTCAAATACAAATGTCCATTAACAATCAAATATAAAAGTACATTCTTATAAAATACAAAATAAAAAATTTGCTTTACTCTTGACAGTATTTACTATATTAAATACTTTTCAACATCACAAATTTTACCGATAAAAATATTATAAATATGAATCAATACAAATGATAAAAACTTCAGTTTGTCCTCTTTCGGTTTTGAGGTTAGGGTATTTAGTTTTTGACAAAATGTCGTGTTTGTGACGAACATCTGTTCATTGTTTATGACTGGTTCATGATATATAAAAAACATGTAAATAAAGTGCCAGTAATTAAAAATTTCCCACGAAGTGTTGATTGAGGTATTTAAAAACATTTTTTTCATTATAATAGAAAACTGAATTTCAGTCTTGAAAAATATAAAAATTTTTGTCTACATATATTTTATTGAAGTTATATTTTTATATACTAATTTTGTTAATTTAATTATAGAAAATATAAAGATTAGTTTCATGAATTTCCTCATTTTTAATAATATAAAATTTTCTCAGTTATGTAAAGAATCAAATTGAATAATTGACAAGTTTTGGTAATACATTTTTTTTTGTCACTCTCATTTGTTTAAATTTGTACAACAATCATATTCTTTTCATATTCAAAATAAACTATATATTTCTCAATACATTTATTTACATTTAAACTACAAATACAGTAGCTTGAAAAGAATGACGAAAATTGTTTAGACTAAGCATAATATTATTTGTTAATTTTAGATTTTATAATATTTACAGAAAATCTTAAAAAAAATGACAGACAAAATGCAAAGTAGTCAATCTCAGCCAATTGTTAAAATTGGTCATTATACATTAGGACAAACTCTTGGTGTTGGAACTTTCGGGAAAGTAAAAAGTAAGTAAATTTTTCTAGAAAATAATTTTTCTTAAATCGAAGAATTTATTAATTTGGTAAATTTTATCTTTATTTATTAGTTGGAGAACATGTGTTAACAAAACATAAAGTTGCTGTAAAAATTCTCAATCGTCAGAAAATCAAGAGCTTAGATGTCGTTGGAAAAATTCGAAGAGAAATTCAAAATCTTAAATTATTTAGACATCCGCATATTATTAAATTGTAAGTGAATTTTTAATTGTTTCTTCTTTTTTAAAATTACATTTTTTTTCCCATTTCTTAGATATCAGGTGATTAGTACACCGACGGATATATTTATGATAATGGAATATGTTTCTGGTGGAGAATTATTTGATTATATTGTAAAGCATGGCAAACTAAAAGAATACGAAGCGAGAAGATTTTTTCAACAAATAATTTCTGGCGTGGATTATTGCCATCGTCATATGATTGTTCATCGTGATTTAAAACCTGAAAATCTTCTTCTTGATCACAATTTACATGTTAAAATTGCAGATTTCGGTAAAGTTGATAAAATTTTTTTATTTTCTATTTTATTTATGCTCCGAAAATTAAAAAAAAATAAAATAATTTCGTTTTAATTATGTATATTGTTTTGTATATAGGTTTATCAAACATGATGATGGACGGAGAATTTTTGAGGACTTCTTGTGGATCTCCTAATTATGCAGCACCGGAAGTAATTTCTGGAAAATTGTATGCAGGTCCTGAAGTTGATATTTGGTCATGTGGAGTAATTTTATACGCATTATTGTGTGGCACATTACCATTTGACGATGAACACGTACCAACTCTTTTTCGCAAAATTAAGTGTAAGATATCCTTTTTAACTTAATAAATTTTGAATAAAATATTTTTGATTTATAGAATTGATTAAATTTTTCTTAAATTTTCAGCCGGTATTTTCCCAATACCAGAATATTTAAACAAAAGTGTCGTGAGTCTTCTTTGTCATATGTTACAAGTTGATCCCATGAAACGTGCAACAATCGAGGATATTAAGTAAGTTTAATATAAAAATATTTTAAATATTTCTATTAATGTTAAAAAAAAAATAATTTTTATTTCAGAAAACATGAATGGTTCCAAAAAGATTTACCAACATATTTATTCCCTTCGCCCGTTGAACAAGATTCATCTGTGATAGATACGGAAGCCATTAACGAGGTTTGTGAGAAATTCAACGTTCAAGAATCGGAAGTACACTCTGCATTACTTAGCTGTGATCCTCATGATCAATTGGCAATAGCCTATCATTTGATCATTGATAATAAAAGAATTGCTGATGAAGCTGCAAAAGCTGAATTAAAAGATTTCTACGTTGCTTCAAGTCCACCTCCTGTTGCTTTCAGTCCTAGTGAGTCAAACAACAGTCCCTTGCGCCCTCATCCTGAAAGAATTGCTCGTAAGTATTTTCAATTTTTTTTTTTTTTTAACTAGAACTCTATTAATTTTTTTATTGTTTTCCTTTTGTAGTCACGTTTTAAAGTTCATAATAATTTTTTAAACTCGTAAATTTCTGTGCAAAGAATATTTATTTTCATCAAAGCTTTCCGCGATCGTCAAGGTTCTTTAGGCAGTGCTACAGCTCAAGTTCCGGGTAATAGAAACACTCCTGTCAAAAGGGCGAAATGGCATTTAGGAATCAGGTCTCAATCTAAGCCACATGACATCATGAATGAAGTGTACAGAGCAATGAAAGCTCTTAATTTTGTGAGTTAATTCTTTTCTTTTAATAAAAAAAAAAAAAAAACTTTTAGATAAAGTACTAATCTATCATTTTTTTTCATAAGGAGAATTAAAACTAAATTAAAAATGTCTAATCAATATAGATTAAAAATAATATAATTCTTTGATCGTAGGAGTGGAAGATTATAAACGCATACAGTGTTCGAGTACGACAGAAAAACAAAGTCACAGACAGGTACAGCAAAATGTCTCTTCAATTGTATCAAGTAGATTATAAAAGTTACCTTTTAGATTTTAAATCACTTTCGAGTGAAGAGAGCGAAGACATGATGGTTTTAGGTAAAATTTCAAACATCAATAAAAATATTTTATATTTACTTTTAATGTTAATTAATAATTATTATTATTTTAGATCCAACTCTTCCTCCTCCTCAAGCGACTGGTCACCATACAATGGAATTTTTCGAAATGTGTGCTGCTTTAATTACTCAGCTAGCACGATAAAAGTTCAAATAACGCTAGGGAAAACGGGGTGTCGGTAAAGTAAAATAGTAATAATATTAATAATGAAAATAAAATTTAAAAAGTATTTTACGAGTCAGTAGTCATTTTATTTCATGTACATAAGTTTTTATAGCGTAATCTTACACAATATTCTGATTTAAATTAGAATTTTTTGATGTGACCCTTCATTTTTAAATTGAAAACTAAATTTAAATTTTTAAATAGGGTCAAATTCATCAATTCTGATTCATTTATTAAAAGGCAAACTTTTTGCATCGAACATGTTTGTATTTAAAAAAAAAATTGTACTAGTTACCAAAAAACATTATTTCCAAGTAGAGCATTGTAGATAGTTTTTAATGGTTGTTTTATTTTCTTCTTCTTTTTTTTTTACAAAAAGGTTCGCTTTTAATAATAAGAATATTGCATATTTGAATTTTGAAATTATGGAAAGTTCAATTCTTAGCGCGGAATACTGCTGTTTACATATTACTGTAAATTTTTATTATTATATACGACGAATTCCGTTACATTGTAATTATTATCATTTATTATAAAACGATTTTTTTGGAGTAACGGAGCTTAATTAAAGATTGATCATTCATTAATAAAATTGATTTGTTATAAAAAAGAAAATCCATGCTTAGAAAAATATACATTGTCCTAATGATCATACAATTGTTTATCTTTTTTTCATGTATACATCACACATACAATTAAAATTCCTAGACTAAAAATATATATTTATATATTTTATCGAATACAAAGAAATGCAAACTACAGATGTGTATCGTACAACTGTGGTCAAATAATTCTTTAAAAATCTTCCAAGTTAAATTAATGTACAGTTATGCATTAAATTATAAATGAGATAAGTTTAAAAAAAAAAAAGAAAATACTTTTTTCTTTTTTTTATACTTTCCTCTAACTCTTTTTATTATTTGGTGATTTGGCTTTCAAGATAATAATTCTTGACATTAACAAAATGTACAATAATGGCACCTTCACTTCAATATTCTTTATACAATTAATTATAACTAAAAATTCTCTGCTGCCCAATATAACTGCCAGTTATTTCTTTAATAAATTTCATCACTTAAATAAAATTGCGCACATTTATTGATATGAAAGTTTCTCTAATTCTAATATTGTGCTCGCTTGTTTTTTTTTTCTTTTGGAAGATCTAAAAATTGATCTCTGGGGGAAGCGTTTAAAATCACTCTTTAGGCTGGGTGTGTTTAATTAAAAAATTGACAATTATGTCAATATTTAAGGCTCAAAAATTTAGCAAAATAAAGTTCGTACCACACAATACGATTACCTATATAGTTGTTAATCACAAATATGCCCTTACGTTTCAATATGTGTGCTGGTAAAATTATACTGACTAATGAACATTTCCATCACACACACATTTTTCTTTTTAGTCTTTTCGATATCTTTCAATAATTTTTTGTTTAGCAAAAAGTTACGTTTTATAAATACTTGGCCAGAGGAGAAAAACTATAACGTTCGCTAGAGACGTTTTAAAATTCAATAAAATATAATTGCGAGTATATTTTTTTTAGAATGAGTTTTGTTAAATCTCCTGCTGCGCCTCTTCGTTGGGATCGTTGTCAACAAATTCCACATGCGTGAAAGGAAAGTGACCAACTTTCCCATGCAATTCACCCTCCCATTGACCGTTAATATTTGTTTTTGTTACTTTTATTATATCGCCAATTTCAAGTTTCAAAGCCGTTTTATCGTAGGCATTTGGCTCACGTGCTTGTTTTACTTTTGCGAATGCAGGCAATGTTCGCTGAATATTTGCACGTCGATTTGTTGGTGTTACTGAGAATTCTGGATGTGAAGCCTGTGTTGTTGATAGACCTAAATTTGAACTAGAACCTGAGCTTCCTCCACTTTCGGGTCGTTTACTTTCAACGTGTCCATCCTCGTCGTATTTTTGAACGTAGGGAACTGGTACTGATCCCGATTGTCCGAGACTGTTTCTTGCTGTCCACCATTGTTCCTCGTCTTTTGATATTATCGTCAAAATATCTCCTGTTTTAAATAATTAAATTAATTAAATTGGATTTTCTAATGACGCATTTTTTTTTTTTTTTTGAAAAAATAAAAATTACCTTTTCTAAATGGCAAATCATCAGGATCGTTTCCTTCGAAATCATATTTTGCAATTACCCTGTGTAATTTTTTGAGTGCTGGCCTAATAAGTGGTGTTGTGTCAAGGTAATGAAGTTTATAAAACGCTAATAGAGTGGGAATATCGGGAAATATTTGTTCACCTATTCGATATCGAATTTGATCGCCTTGTTGCATTTTATTTATGATGTAATGACTAACTTTGCTGTCCTCCTTAACACAAAGTACGAAATCACCATGTATGGATTTACTGTCTCGAACTAGAAAAACACCACCTTCTTTTTCATTCATTAGCAAATCCGAGGCATCTTGTCTCGACATTGCTCCAAAATACCAACTGAAATAGTTTTAATTCATTAAAAGCTAATTAAGTTACAAAATATATTCCAAATAAAATGTGTAAATTTAAATTAAAAATTCAAAATAAAATAGAAAAAATAATAAATATAATACAAAATCGGATAATTTAATCAGTCTCATATAAATTTCTGACATTTACCCAAAATAAACAATTCATGCAATTAGTATCAAGAGAATAGATTATACAATTCGTTTATGTCTTTTTAAATAATTTACATAAATGAAATCGTAAACATCTTAAATTCTTTAAGTAAACAATAAGAAAGGTATAGAAAAATGTCATTGAAATTACAAGGTTAACATTAAATTACGTCAAAGACAATTACCTAGATTTATCATACTGATCAAATGTAGCAGCCATTTTTTAAAACCTGTTTCACTTATCAAATTTCACTGATAATTAGCAGCCTCCCTGTCAATTATAATATGATCAAAGTGATATGAAACACAGACGAGATTTTCAAGTAAAACATCTTCATATCGAAAGGCGAAAAAGAATCTATTGGTACAAATAGAAATTTTTATTGGAAAAAAAATTCTCACAGAAAAAAACTTTTAATTAAATATCACGTAATTATTTAATATCCTCGAGTTCAATTTTATGATAATTTCACTCTTAAAATATAGTCACAACAAAAGTTCTCTCAAAGGGTTGCGTTTTGAGGTAGGCCGTAAACATTCCAAACAATTGTTATTTATTACTTCATAAAATGTCACTTTATCGTATTTTTTATTTCCAGCAAATTTCTGTCTATAACTACTATATAACTATCACACATTATATTTACAATTCAAATTTTTAACATATGTAAAACAGTGTAAACATTTGTTCCGAAAAACGGAGTGTTGGAAGTTTGCCATACAAAAATGGCTGCCACCTGCCCTATTATGTCCAGTTCACATGCGCAGAAAATAAATAGAGGATTAAGCTTTTTTTCCGCGAATTTTCAAAAAATTGCAAAATTAAAAAAAATTATTAATTTGCAAATGGTGACTAACTAATTATTTTTATTATAAATTACAATTATTTTAAATTATTTATTTTTATTAAAATTATATTTTATTATTATTAAAAAAAAACTTTAAAATAAATAAAATTACAATTATTTTTCAGTTTTTATATCGGTTTATTAAAAAACGACTTACAATATCCTTCGGACTTGTTATAAACTTGTTTACATAGGTAGAATATGATCTTATAAAATATGTAAACAAAATTATTTTAATTTATTCTTAGAATATATTGCTCACCATTTGGACAAATTATGTTATTTCATTTCCAATCTATTCATAAATATATTAGAATTAAGTAAAATTATTTATTTAATTCTTATCTATTCATAAATATATTAAATGATTGCATTTTTCCAAAATTAACCGAACCGATGATATTTTATTTATTTTACGTAATAATGTAAGTATAAAACATAGTTAAAAAGTTATACTAACAAATTTTTAATTCGATGTTGCTATTAAATTAATAATATCTAAATGCGTACAAAAAATTAGAATAAAATTTCTAACAGAAAAATTCGCTGTTAAAAATGTGTAATGATTTTTTTCTTACTCTTTTTCTTTATGGGTACAGTACCACATTTAAGCTACTTTAAAAAAAAACTTATTTTAATGCTAATTTAAATTGTTAATTTAATTACTCATTTTAATTCTCTTAAGGCTAATAATTATTTACTAGTTTTAATTTAAATATCACACACAGTCTTTTCACTGGTTATTTAATAAATCAGTTTAAACTAATTAAAATTATTCTTATTTAAGCTGCGATAGCTGCTGGTTGAGCTTTTGCTGGTCGTGCTAAAAATAATCAGAAATTAATTATTATATCAGTAATATACGTACATTAAGTAAAATTTTTCTACTTTAAAAATAAAATTTCTTACTCATGCAAGATTCAGGTTGAAATTTGATGTCATCAATGGCAAAGCCTCCATTACTAGCGGTTCCTTCTAAAATAAGACGATAAGGTGCTCGAGCCTCTATTGCAAATTGAGCAGCTACCCAAGACGGTCTAATATTATTAAATCCTTTTGCCGTCAATTGCCAAAGCTACATAAAATTCCAATAAAAAGTCATTATTATTTTATGAAACTTATTTATTATTTGAAAAAAAATTTAAACCTTACCAATTCTTTATCCTGATTCTCATCATCGTCACTGCTTTTTTCTCCATCTACTGAAACTTTAATAATTCTCAAAGATGTTGATTCCTCAACACCAAATGCCGCAAACCAAAATGTAAAACACAATGCAGTTTCGTCAGGGGAATTATTAATTATTGGCGATAAAAGTTGAACTTTTGCTGATTTTTGATTAGTGGTAAAAATATCGAAGAAAACAAAATCTCCCGTTGCACCAAATGTTTTATCCAATAATTGTGCTGGTCTGTGTGTTAAAAAAGCTCTTTGCCATGTCACAGTTCGATCATTTACAGCAGACGTTTTATTTTCCCATCCACATAAACCTTTCTCAAAACTACAATCCTCTGCCTTTGCGATTGCACTAATTGGTCTCACTAAAATAATTTTAAAAAAAAATTAATTTTGTATTTTCATTACTAAATTATTAATTTATATTAATTACCAGTGCAATTTCCAGTGTAAAAAGCGACATCGTCAATGGCAATGCTTCCACTTGCTCTATTCGGTCCCCAAGTTCCTTCGAAAATTATATTAAAATCTTTTCTTTCATTGACACTTGCCTGCGCAAAACTCCAAGTTGGTCCTTGATTATTATAAAGTTGCCAAATTGGATTTGCATCTGAGGAACTCTCTCCGAGACTTTGCACCAAAACACGCAGAACGCCTTTAAAAAAAATCAAATATTTCTCGTTTCATACAAAATATTAAGAAGAGAGAATTTTTGAATTTCTAATTTAAAGATTTACCTAAACTTGGACCAGTTGAGTCGATAAATGATTCAAACATAAAATACCAAAAAGTAACGCAAAGTGGATCATCAGAGCCTTTGAATTCACGACTCATTAATTGTGCAGTTCCTCCTCCAATATTTCTTAATCCTCCTCTCGAGCGTGCTAAACCCAAAAAATATTCATTTCGACGACTCACAGTATGTCCATTGCTATAAGGTTTTCTCTGATTTCGTGGACTCAACGTTGAAATTGATATTCTTTCCCATTCCACACGATCAGGATCTCTCGAGTTTACCCAATCGCATTCATCAATCTCAAATGTACAATCTCTTGGAATAGGAGCCGCAACTTGTGGCATTGCTGTAAATACAAAAAATATTAATAAAAAGACGAAGAAAATAAATTTAAAAAAGAAATATATAAAATTTCTAACTCGGACAAACGCCAGGAGTGAAAGTAATTTCGTCAATTGCAATATCTCCCATTCCAGTGTTTCCCACAGAAGCCTCGAAGATGAGTTGAAAATCATCAAGGGAACTAATAGTGACTTCCGATTTAAACCATGCATTGCCAGCATTTCCACTGAGTGCCCAAATCTCTTGTACTTGAGCGTCCAAATTACGAAAATGACGAAGATGAACTTTCAAATTTCCAATTCCTGAGCCAAACATGTGAAACCAAAAATGCATACACATTGGAGATTCAGGTCCCGTTCCAGGAAAACTGATACTCATAAGTCTTGCTACGTCTCCAGGTCGTCGAGGATATCGAGAATCAATATAAGCATAACCACCAGCTGTTGCTCGATCGCTGGAACTATCCATTGCAGGTCCTGTCGTTGGATCATTGCTTCCTCTGCTCTAAGAATTTTTTCATTTTTAATATAAATCTTTATAATATAAAACATGAAGATCCAAATAAAGGAAAACAAAATTGACTTACAATTATCCAATCAAAATCATCTTCAGCATCATTGGTCCAGTCACAGAATCCACCTGCAAAATTACAAAATCCAACACATGAGGAACCTGGTTGAAGATCGATATCGTCTATTGCAATATATCCTCGATAAAGTCTAGAAGGATCAGCAGAATCTACAGGCACACCTTCGATAACGAGCTGAAAAAAGGGGAAAAATTACATTTTTTATAGAAAAAAATAAGAAAATGAGATTTTTTTTTTTTAAATACCGAATGTAATTCAGGATAAGTGTAGAGAATTTGAGCCTGCTGCCAAACTCCAAGAGTATAATATTGTGCATGCCAGAGAACTCTTTCGTCTCCACTATCAAAAGGTTTATTTGTAAATGTAGTGGTCACAGTTGTATTTTCAATTGGTATCTCATCGGCTCTTTCTTTTTTTATTGAATATTCATCAACTCCCATGTGTAAAAGTATTCTAAGACCAGCGGAACTTAAACCATTTATCGCATATTTGAACATAAAACAAGTTCCAAAAACTCCTGTACTTCCTAATTGAAGACTGTGCAAAAGACCACCGTGACTTCTTGATTTTTTATCCTTAGGTGGCACATGAGAGGTTTCTAAAAAGGCATATCTAAAACAATTTCATAAATATTTTTTTTATTTAATTATACCAAATGATAGAAAATATATTTTTATAATTCTCACCCTCCTTCCATGGATCCAGCAGTTGAATCAATTGGTGGACCTCCTAACCAATTGGTACTTAGACCAGTTCCCGTGGTCCATGGCAAGGCTCCATTTCCATCTTGCCATTCACAAAGCGATTGCACTGGTAGAGGACCAAAATCACAAAATACTTCATCAACTGATGCTGTCGGAGGAGGTGCAGTAATCACTGGATTTCTATTTAAAAATTAATTAATTATTAATTAATTATTAATTAATTATATTAATTAAATAATTAATTAATTACCCTTGAGAGGAAGGATTTCTTTGAGCAAGAGTTGTCGGACTCGTAGTTCTTCCTGATGGGAAAAAACCTCTTATTGTTGTTGCACTCGTTGGAAAACCCTCTGTTTTGTCTGCCCATTGTCTGGGTTCAATATTTTCCACTTCATCAAATGGTTCTCGATCATGTTCTCCAGTATCACTGCGAGCTTCTGGACGAAGAATGTGAACACCCAAATCCATTGGATTTGGAGAACCTATTCCGTCTGTAAAAAAAAATTTTAACTATAGAATTTAAAAAAAAAAACAAATTTAAATTTTTAATAATTAAAATTACCGATTAATATAGATTCACTTTGATTTTGTGCAAGCGAAACATTGTCAGCCCCAACCAAGTCGATTTGTTCTCCAAACATTGATTTCAAAGATTTTGGGTACCAATTGATGGCTCCGGTACCCAGAACAAAAAACAGAAATAAAAAACAAACACATTCTGAGTTTTTCATTATATCGACACTCAATATCCATAAAACAATTTTTTTTTTTTTTATTCTATTTCAAAAATCTGCATTGCAAAAAAAAATTATTCAACTACTATTTTCACTTGATAATAAAGAGAAAAATATAAAAATTTGAAGTCCACATTATTTTAGCTATAAAAAAAATACGTTTTTTATATTTTATTTTTTAAAAACAATCACAATTATTTATAAATATATATATTAAACACACTTGTCTAATTTTTTTTTTAATTTTGAAAACTTTTTGACTTGAAAAAAAATGAGCAAGGGGAATTCAATCGATAAATGGTTTAACACGACCACAACGCTTTCAAAGTGTGAACTGAATGATTGTCAGAGTTAGAACACGTTGAATAAGACTAAACGAAATGGGTCCTCTGTTGTTCCGGTCTTTACTTCCGGTCGTCACGCTCCTAGTCCTCGGAGTGTTGAAGTTCGATAACCGTTCATCGGACAGTATCGAATGAGGCAAAGCATTTAGAAAATTTAAATTTAATCAAATCCAAAAATAGAAAAAGTAAATTAAAAATTAAATAGAAACAAATTTTTAAATTTATTATTTTTAATAAAAAAAAAAAATTATATTTCAGATGATGAAGGTTGCAATTATTCGGGTTAGACAATTTTAATATGACTTTAAAAAAATAATAAAATAATTAAGTAAAATTATTATAAAAATTTAAACAAACAAAATGAAAAAAATAAAATGAATAAATGAAAATTGACACAATTAAATGAATTTTTATTCACCCGGCATATAAAAACAAATTCTATGATTCTGAATTCTATGCGATGTTTATCGGTCCCTTAGAACCGATATCATTGTACGATTTGAAAACCTTTGTTTTCTCCGAACCATCAACGGACACATGTTGTGTCAGAGGGAGATATACATATAATCATTCTTCGATTTTTCCGAGTGTAATATGCGTTTTAACAATAGTTGAACTAAATTTGTTCTTTTCCCTTGCGTGACTTAGAATTTCATATTTATTATTTTTTTTTTTTTTGTTGAAAACATATAAAAGAGTCCATGTCATTAGATTTCTAATATAATAATGTCCAAATATAATAAAAACAGAGATATAATAGTCTCGTAAATTAGGTAAAAAAATAGAATTCAAATAATGACTCTTAAATAAAATTATTAGTAGATTAAAATATTTGTAATTTTTCTAATGAAAAATATTGTAAAATTTTCATTAAAAAAACATAATAAATAATTTGTCACAATGACCAGCATATGAAATTTAAAAAAAAATTTTTAAACAATTTATAAGTCTTAGAAGCTATTAAAAAGTTTTAAAATGAGTAAAAAAAAGAGTTAAATTTCGTCTTCAAGCTCTTTTACAAATTATGCAATTAAATTAATGCAATATTAAACTTTTTTTGTGATAGTAGCAGATTTAGGTTTTAAAAAGTTTAAAAATACTTTCGGTGTAAGCTCATCTTTTAAATTAGGATGGCAACGACCGACGTTGAGGTAAATTTTTACAACAATATTCTTCAAACACGGTGATGAAATAAGTAGCTCTGTCGATGGACGTAGAATTGCTTTTTTTCTTAACATTTTTGAAATCATACTAATCAAATTTTCACTTAGGCCTATTGAAAAAGGTTTTGGCTTTTCGAGCATCACCATTTTTATTAATTCCGGAAGTGTCTGAAAAAATAATGCATAATAAATATTATAAAAAATAAAATTTCAAATTAAATAATGTAAAATAAAATTTTTTTTTTCTAAATAATTTAAATATAGATATATAGATTTAATTTTCAGTTTAAGACACATTGTAAAAAGAATTATTATACCGTAGCAGGAAAAGGAAGTGTTTTTGTCACCATTTCATATAATACGACACCCATACTCCAAATATCGCATTTTAAATCATAAACCTGGCCTTGCAACATTTCCGGTGCCATGTAAAAAAAAGTTCCTGCATGACTTAAGATACTTCTAAAATAAAATATAATACATTTTTTTTTAAATAATTTGAAAACAAAAATTATTTAAATATCTTGAAATAGAATAAATATTTTTATTTAAAGAGAATTAAAAATAAGAAAAATTTACTCTTGATTATTTTTTGAAAGTCCGAAATCAACAATTTTAACAACATCCGCATTTCGCCCAGTGAGCATAATATTTTCTGGTTTTAAATCTCTGTGTAAAATATTTTTCGAATGAATATGATTGACTCCTAAAACTACCTGAGTAAATAAATAAACAGCATCCTGAAACAAATATTAATCAGGGTGTCTACAATTTGGAATTATCGGAGAAACTAAAAATAGTTTTATAAAATTATATAACTAGTTTTCTTTTATTTAAATTTTATTTTATTTGTACAATTACCTCTTCTTTTAAAGGCATTTGTCGTTTCTCCAATAAATCCTTTAAAGTTCCATGTCTTGCAAATTCCATCAAAATAAAACTTCGTTTACCTTCCAGCCAAGCTCCACGATAAGAAACAATATTAGGATGCCTCAGTTTCCGAATGGAATCAACTTCTATTAAAGCCATCTTTGAATAACAAATTTCTATTATAAAAAAAAATCTAAATTCTATCACAAAATTAATAAAACAAATACCTTAAAACTCAAAAAATTCGTGGCGCTTAATTTTTGCTCTTTAATAACAAATGGTTTCCAGTCACTTTTTCTTCGTACTAAATGTACCGTTCTGTAGAAATAAACAAAATTAAAAATTTCTTTCGTCAAGATCTTTCTTGACAACTTACCCAAATGTTCCGCTACCTAATACACTTTCAAAATTATAATCGTCGGAATTCATTTTCATTTAAAAATATAAATTATAAAATTTGTCATAAAATAAGAAAAATTAAAATCAAATAGAAAACAAAACTATAAACGGAAAGACTGACAAGTGTTTACAATTTCTAGGTCAGCCATTAATGTTTGTCCTTCGTCTTTAAATGATAGATCGTTAATAATTCGACAGGAAATTAAATTCCCTAAAATCAAAATTTATTCTAAAAGCGAAAAAATAATAATTAACAAATAATTAAACGACAAAAAGTTAAATTATTTTTACATGCAAAAATAATATATTGTATTCCATAGAAAACTTGATTTGGTAGGCAAAATGAATATTTTCATTTTATTTTTCTTTTTTATTATTGTTTATTCTGTTGAAGTGTAGAAAATTATAACTTACTCTTAATCACAAAAAATTGAGATATCCGGAAATCTTATTACTTTAAAAGGCAGCCAACATTCTTTTTTTTCGATCTTACTATTGATCGAAAAATATAAATACGTACTGTAATTCCTAATATTTTTGAAATTAGAATATTGTACAGCAACAATTCTGATATTTTTACCAGAGATGGGAAATTAGCAATTCTAATATTTTATTCTTGAAAAGATATACAAAAGTGTATTATCTTTTTTTTTTTTTTTAAAGAAAATGTATAATTTTTTTATTAATATTAATCGTAAATTGATATTAATAATTAATTATTAATATAATTCTCCATTTTAAATAAAAATTAGTAAAATACCAGAATCAAAAATTTGATTTTTAGTATATACATAATACTTGATTTAATTAAAGAAATTTTTTTTAGCAAGAATGTTTTTTTTTTTTTTAAAGACAGAAAATATGAGAAATTATTTTTTGGCAAAAGAAATTTTCATTGCGTGAGAAGGTGTGATTTTGAAGCCTTGAAGTGCATCTTTCGCGGCTCCAGATTGTACTTCATTTTCAAATTCAACGAAGGCAATGTCGTGTCGATTGGGAACCAATCGGACTTCTTTAAAGCCAGGGAATTGATTAAACAACATGGACAACATCATTTCGCTCGTCTCATCTGGTAAGTTCGTTAAGAAGAGAATTTGATTTGGTGGTTGTTCGGGAACTGCAGCATTTGCCAAACCAATATGTTGAGGAACACCAGCGGTATTGAAACCAACTTGTTGTGAATGTTTCGATTGATCCTTGGCACGTTTTTTGGCTCGTTTTGCCTCTTCTTCGGCCGCTGGTAAAATACGTTTTGGTTTTTTTGGTCGCTCAGCAAATGTGCCTTTCATTTTTGCAATCATATCACTATCTTGTTTCGAATATTGTATTCTCTATAAAATTAATTACGAATTAACAATAAATTCAACAAAAAAAATTGCTAATAATGTATTTAAAAATTTTAATTCCACAACGCAAGGGAGAAACTGATCAAAAATTTACATTACAATAGGAGAATATTTGTAATTTGCTGAAGTGAAACGGCCTCGGAACTTGACCTCTTTTTCAAGTAATTTTAATATTAAATTTTTCTTTTGTACATTTTGATGAGTTGTAAACTCAATGCCCCAAAATATATAAAAATCAAAATGTTTATGAACATTTTCCATCCACATTATAATCATACAAAAAGTATTAAAAGTACATTATTTATGATCCATTCCCCAAAAATTGTTTATTTTATAATACTATTCGAATTAAATTAAATATTCTTCGTAACAATCAAAACTTTACATAATTCGAACTGCAAAACTCTTCTATGAAGAAGCAAAAAGAAATAAAAAGTTTACTTACCATTGGTTTGTCATAAAATGGAAAACCTTGCATAGATCTTAAAGCGTTTGTTGAGCTAGCAATTTCTTTGAATATAACAAAAGCCTGACCTCGCATTTTTAAAGTTTTAAGTGCTACAATGTCCAAAATTTGTCCAAATTGACTAAATATTGCATATAAAGACTTTTTCAATTCTTCTTTCTTAATTTTCTCATTCAAATTATTGATATAAATTGTATTATTTGGCCTGATATCCATTGTGATCTTCTATATTTACTGTAATCAAATACATAACCTCTATTAAGTAAAATAGATTTCTTAATAAAATATTTAAATTTAAACTCAAAACATAATAATGAAGGATATTAAAAGATTTTATTACTTAAATAAAATTTAATATTGTTCTATTCTTAGTAAATAAACAAATGAAAAAAATAATTGATCAGTAAACCAAAATTCTATTTCTTTTTTAATAAACCAAATAATAAATAAACATAAATAAAAAATTAAACAATTTGTAAATATATTAAATTATTTATCGCAATGTAAAAATGTAAACAGAATCTTTTTTTACATGCGTTAATAATAAATATAATGATCAGGTGCATAAGTAAATTGTCAATTTATTTAAATAAAATAATTATGAAATAAATTTTCACTTACCCTCCTTAAGAAGTTATTAAAATTTCCTTGTTTTTAATAAATTTTCTTAATTTGTATAAATAATATTAAAAATTATACAATAAACAGAATAAACTTACATAAAATACAAGTCGGCGTTATTTTTTAGGTTAGAATCAAAGATGCAACAACGAACAATCACGATTGCCGACAAGCAGGTCTACCAATAGTAACAAAGTCGTAGAATCGTTAGTTTTCTAAATTTTCCTTTAAAAAAACATTAAATTAATTTTTATCTTCTGAAATTATTTATTCTTCAAATAAAAACTTTGGTAATAATTTAAAAAGTTTACTATTTTTTACAAAATGCAAAAATATCTTTTAAAAAATATAATACAAATTTAATGTATTATCTAGGGACATTTTGAAATACTTGTAACACTAGTGAAACTCTCTTTTCTGATTGGTAAAATTTGTCTACATATGTATAAAATTTAACAAATTTGAATATAAATTAAAATTATTTTAAACATTTTTAAGAAAAGAAATTTAATTTTAATTTAAGATATAAAAAAAGTACCTTAAATTTAATTTTTTAACAAATAAACTATTTTTAATTGAATATTTCAAAAAGCCCGCTATTTTATAACCAATTAGAATTGGTGTTTATAATCTACGGAGGAAATTTTAAATTTTTTGGAAAATTCCCAATGACTACGCCAATGAAGTAACTAAATAGAAAAGCTCTCACTTTATTTCTACTCTTTTATTATGGCATTGTATCTTATCAGGGGAAAGGGATTGCATTACGGAAATTCGCTGATACGTTTTTTCTCAAGCTGTTCAACCATGAAGGTAATGTTTGCTTTACAATAATCATTCATTTCTTTTTGTTATTTATAATAATATACTCTGAGAATTTTCTCTATAATAATCTTTGCGCGGTTCATTTATAACAGCAGGCTGTTTTTTTCGGAGTGGTATCAGGGTGCTGTTATATAGAAATTTGAAATAACATTAAAAGACTGCTGATGAATATAAATAATTTAATAACAATATGCCGAGTAACATCTGGTTTGAATACACTTTACACCCATGCAATAATTAAACAAAGTTTGATAATTAATAATGTCGATTGACAAAATTTTTGAATTTTTGATTCGCTTTAATTTTTAAATTATCTTTTTTTGTCTATGAAATGTTTCTTTTCAGTTCTTTTGGATATTTTATGTATATATTAAAATTAAAATGTAAATTCTAAATATTCATACATTCAAAGTGAAAAACGAAGATAAATCAAAACAATTAAATTTTCGACATTGAATGTGTTGATATACATATATGTATAGTTCTGTGTATCATCCAAATAGTGGGTCACTTTTAATAAAATCGTTAACTTGATGTAATATTATGATGATTTTATTTTGCTTTTATTAAGATTTGACTTTGAAAAGTATTTTCAACGTCAAACCATCTGTTACGACAAATGTTCATTAATAAATTCATTAGGTATAATGAAAAATTCTAAATATTAGAGATTAATTTTAAAAATAATTTTTTTGCATAATCACTATGAATTCGGATTATTTAAAAAAAAAAATGTTTATTTTATAATTAATTAATGTTTCTTTTCTTCAACAGAAAGGGTTAGTGCTCGGAATTTATGAAACAGAAAAAAAAGACGAAAATGAAAAGATTAATTTAACACCAACAGCAAGTAAATACAATGAAATTTGTGATGGAAAGCTACTCAAACAAATTAAGTTGTAAGTCTTTCACTTTCTATTACATTAGCATTCAATTCAATGTTGCTTGCTCAATTTGATATCTGCAAAAAAAAGTTTATTTGTTAATAAACAGAATTTATATTTAGTTGTTTGGTAAATTTTTATAAAATAATTCATATTTTATATTGATTTTTTAATTTCTCTTTTTTTTGTATACAAATGTTTAATTTTAAAAAACATTTTTTAAAATAACGATTGTTTCAGGAATATATTTTAAGTGTGTTTTATACATGATTTCTTCATTTTTAGTTAAAATCACAAAAAAAAACAATGATAAAAATTTGATTACTAGATTGTAAGATTAGATATATTAATTTTATTGATTGTGATAAAAGAAATTTTTTAGACATGCAGATAATATTTTGTTAGTAATTTTTAATTTCCATTTGTTTATTCATTATCTACAATTAATTTTCTTTCAGATCATGAGTCTACTAACCTTTATTTTTGTCTTATTTGTCTGTTTTCTATTAGTTATTTTTCTCAAATACTCCTTTAATAGTTAAGAAACTACTATTGCCCTCTGAATTAACGAATCCTTTTACACGTTTATAATTTCTTTTTTTTTTCGAAAAAAAATCTGATCGATTCACATTTTCAGCCTGAAACAATTGTCATAATGCTGCCTGAGCTTTTTCTTAAATCTTATTGTTCCATATAGTTTTTTTCTACATCATCTTTATATTTTTTTCTCTTTAGTATAATTTTTTTTTTTTTTTTTGTCAAAAATTTATTATATTTTTTTGAATAATATTCCCAAGAGAAAGAGAGAGAGTCTTTTGAAGCTCACTGGCATTATTTTGATTGTTTCAGGAGGAACTAAGCGGAGAAATCGTGAAAAAAAATTCTATTTGCTGGCAAATGAACTTTTAATTTTAAAAAAGCGTTTAATTATCGAAAAAAATAAAATAAAAATGGCAACTGGAGAAGCTGGAAGTAGTGGAGGAACCGTTCTCCATGGAATCGGCGGAACAATTGAGGATAAAAACAACGATTTTCTTTGTCCAATTTGCTTTGAATTGATATTCGAAGCACATATAACTCGTTGTGGTCACACATTTTGCTATCGATGTATAACAAAATCCCTTGAAATTAATGGCAGGTGTCCTAAGTGTAGTGATATTTTAGGACAACAGGATATATTTCCAAATTTTCTTTTAAATGAATTAGTCTCCAAGTACAAAACTCGTATTAAAAAAGTTGCGGAATTAAATTTTTCCGAAGGAAAAGTAAAATCTGGTATTGAAATTGTACCGCCTAATGATGGACTACGAGATTTTGTTGCTACAGAAAGTGCAAATCTCACATTACCCGATGTTAATGTAATGTTGGAAGTTCTTACACAAAGGAAACAATTACTTGAGGCAGAATCGTGTGCAGCACAAAATAAACTTCTTCATGAATTTTTACAAAATGTCCTTCAACAAAAAGAAGAGCGCGGTCGTCAATTACATAACGAGATTGCCCTCATTAAAAAAGATATGGAAATTGTGGAAAATATTCTTCGTGATGTACAAATGAAATGTCCACGTGTTGAAAATCTTAAGGCTCCAAGTGCCAATGATTCGGAACAAATATCAGATATGAGAAAAGAAATGATAAATATAATAAATAATATTGATTCAAATATGGTGAAACCAAACGATGGTGAGACCATGAGTTCATCATTGGCAATTCGTCGTAAAAGAATGCATGCACATTTTGATGATTTTGTTCAATGTTACTTTGATACAAGAGCAAAGGAACATTTATTTAATCAAGGAAAAACACCAAGTCAAGATCCATTGTCGCAAACAAGTTCGGGTCTTGATATTTTTCGTGAGAATTTGGTAAAATTCTCAAGATACAATTCTTTAAGACCTTTGGCAACTTTAAATTATTCATGGGAAATTTTTAATAATCCAACAATTGTTTCGAGTATTGAATTTGATAAGGATAATGAATTTTTTGCAATTGCGGGCGTGACGAAGAGAATAAAAATTTTTGATTATGGTGCCGTGATTCGAGACACGGTTGATATTCATTATCCTTGTGTTCAAATGGTATCGGATTCGAAAATTTCCTGTATCTCTTGGAATTCTTATCATAAGAATAAATTAGCCTCGTCTGATTATGAGGGAATTGTTGCCGTTTGGGATGCAGAGGCTGGACAGAAGACAAAAGTTTTTCACGAACATGAAAAAAGATGTTGGTCAGTGGATTTTAATAATATGGATAGTCGATTAATTGCTTCGGGTTCAGATGATGCGCGTGTAAAACTTTGGTCATTAAATATGGATTATTCATTTGCATCGTTGGATGCAAAAGCCAATGTTTGTTGTGTCAAATTTAATCCACAAAGTTCTCATCATTTGGCATTTGGATCGGCTGATCATTGTGTACATTATTATGATTTAAGGAACATGAAGGAGGCACTTTGTGTATTTAAAGGACATCGAAAGGCTGTGTCGTATGTGAAATTTCTAAATAAAGAAGAAATTGTTTCGGCGAGCACAGATTCACAATTAAAAATGTGGAATATAAATAATCCGCATTATTTGAGATCGTTTGTTGGCCATGTGAATGAAAAGAATTTTGTTGGTTTAGCGACCGATGGAGATTACATTGTCAGCGGTTCGGAAAACAATGCCGTTTATGTTTATTACAAAAGACTATCAAAGCAGCTTTTATCGTACAAATTTGGACCAGCGAGAAGTCTTTTAGAATTTCAAGAGAGGAGAGAAGAGGATCTCAATGAATTTGTTTCTGCAGTATGTTGGCGACAAAATTCTAATGTCATTGTTGCTGCCAATTCACAGGGATTGATTAAAATTTTAGAATTAGTCTAAAATGAAAACTCCTTATTTATATAGAATTTATGAACATTATTTTAAATTCCTTTTTTTTTGGTAAAAAAAATATGTACTGATGCTTTAGAATCTTATTGAATTTAAAGCCAATGAATAAGGCCTTACTTAATTAAAAGTTAAAGCCTAATTTTAATAAATAAAAGTCCACAATGTGATAAACAACGACAAAATGTTAAGATTATAATTTGTCCAATAATAATAATAATTTTAATCGAAATGAATGTGGAAAATTCATTAATTATAAGTCACGAAGCACAAAAACAATTTATCATTCAATTTATTGATAATGATATAATGCTTTATGACTTGTGCAAGAGACTTAAAATGAAAATTAATAGTTTTTACTCGTTTTCTGCGATTGTATCAAAATAATTCTTACAGTACAATCTAGAATAAAAAAATGAAAATTAATGATAATAATCGCAGAAAAATGTTCTTTACACTTTAAAGATACGTAGATAATGAATGTATCATTCGTTTGATTCGTTACATTGTTGTAATTTTTATTATTTTTTTTTTTTTAAAGAAAACAGACTGAACTGTAATGAAGTTAAGTTGTTGGATTTAGGTATTTTAACTGAAAAGAGATTGTATTAGGAAATTAATAAATCAACTTCAAACTGCAAATATCAATTTCAAAATGAAATATACGTGTAAAATAATCTCTGTAATTTCAATCAAAGTATAGACTTATACTACAAAATAGAAAAAAAAAGTTATTAAATTCAAGAAATTTTGATCGTTCAACTTTTCAGAATTCCAACTGAACAGTTGTCATCTAGAAAAATATATATGTAAATATGTTCCAAATAATCTCTTTTTTTCATTTTTAATTTCAATTTTTAAAAAAACGTTAATTAATAAAAATACTCTTAAAACAAAATAAAATATTAAAAAAAGAGATAAATGAATTCTAAGATAAATTTAAAAAATAGTATATTTTTAGATTGTATTTTAAATGCGCAGATTATGTATTTGGTCAATGTCCAGAAGCATTAGACTTCATTGTATGTATAAATAATAAATTCGTGATTCAGTGTTAAATGAAAATTTTAATTTATTTCAAGACCTAATAGAATTAATTTTTATTTTATAAAAATTACCTGGATTTTATTGAGAGAAATTAAATTTTTATTTTATATCTAATTGAAATAATTACTTTCTTTTAGAGCTGGTCCACAAATTAGAAAAGCACAAACAAGAATTTTTTGGGGTCTTGATGATTCTTTTGCCGCTGTTGCCGTTGTTGGTCTTGGAAAACAAAATGCTGGTGTTAACGATCTTGAGGAAATTCATGAAGGAAAGGAGAATATTCGCGCTGCGGCTGCTGGTAATTTTTTTTTTATATTTGTGATATTCATTCACAAGATTTTTAAATTTTGTTCTTTTTAATAAAGAAAATTTTATTTTTAGCTGGTTGCCGAGCTTTAGAAGCGGCGGAAGTTCAGGACATTAGTATAGAAACATTTGGAGATGCAGAAGCCGCTGCTGAAGGTTCAATAATTTCGACATGGATTTTCCAAGAATACAAGGCTAAAGACAAAAGAAAAACATTACCGAAAGTTTCTCTCTATGGCAACGAAGGAGAGTAAGTATTGTTTAATTTTTTATTTTTTTTTTCTATTTTAATTAATTTTCTTTTTTTTTCTGAAGGAAAGAATGGAAAATAGGTCAGATAAAAGCGGAAGCTCAAAATTGGGCAAGAAAACTATCCGATACACCAGCGAATTTAATGACTCCTACGATATTTTCGGAGGAAGTATCAAAAGTTCTTCAAAGTGTTGGAATTTCCGTTCAAATTCATGACAAAGCATGGGCAGAAAAAAAAGGAATGGGCTCATTTTTGAGTGTGTCACGAGGAAGTTGTGAGGAACCAAAGTTCCTTGAAATTTCATATAAAGGAAGTTCCGATTCTCCCATTGTTTTCGTTGGTAAGGGAGTTACCTTTGATTCTGGTGGAATTTCTCTCAAGGTAATTACAGAAAGAGTAAAAAAATATTTTTTTTTAATTTAAAAAAAAAATAGTCATTTTTTAAATTTGTAGTAATATATGTTAAATTTTTTTAGCCTGGCGCATTAATGTCTGAAATGAGAGCAGACATGGCAGGTGCGGCTTGCGTTGTATCAGCCATAAAAGCTGCAGCTGAATTAAAAATCGAGAAAAATATCATTGGTTTAATTCCCTTAACAGAAAACTTGCCATCGGGTCACGCTACCAAACCGGGAGATTTAGTTGTTGCCATGAATGGAAAAACAATTATTGTTGACAACACAGATGCTGAGGGTCGACTTATTCTTGCTGACGCACTGTGTTACGCTCACGAATTCAATCCAAAGTATTTCCTTTTTTGTATGATTTTTTTTTTTTTTACTTTAAAAATTTTTTAAATAATTTATATTCTTTTATAGATTCATTGTGGATGTTGCAACTTTGACTGGTGCAGTTCAAATAGCTTTGGCATCAGCAGCAACTGGAGTTTTTACAAATAATACCGAGTTATTTGAAACATTGAGAAATTGTGGAACTCTTAGCGGGGATAGAGCATGGAGATTACCTCTTTGGAAATTTTTCACAGATAAAATAGCAAGTAAGTAATTAAAAAAAAATTAATTTTTAAAACAAAAAAATACATGAATTATTATTTTTCAGAGGTAGAAAAAACAGCAGATTTAAATAATCTTGCCAAGGGTGGCAAAGGAGGATCTTGCGTTGCTGCTGCATTCTTGAAAGAATTTGTGGATAACAAAATGCCCTGGATGCATCTCGATATTGCTGGAGTGATGAGTGCCAATGACTATGGACATCCTTATATTCCTAGTGGCATGTCTGGACGTCCAACTCGTACTCTGATAACTTTCTTGCAACAAGTCTCCAAATAAATTTCTAGGACAGCTTTGATCACACAATTTTTACACTTTTTTTACAGTTTCAATTTATAATTTTTAAATTACATAGTTACATCAAGTCTAAATCAAAAATAGTGAAATCCTTTTTCAAAAAATTATATTTTAAAACATTTTAATTCTTTTAACATACATTAAGAAACAAATCTTGAAACTAAAAAGTTAAAAATTAGTTTTTGGAGTTTTACCATGAATCATGTTTATAAACAACTCACCATGTACCTTTTGTTGGTAATAAATTATCAGTTATATTCTTTATATAATTGTCATTTTATTTCAATTAAAATTATGAAGATAAAGAATATTATGATAAATAGAGTAATATTAATAATTACGTAAATAGAAATTCTTAATGCCTGAAAGAAACCGCGGTTTCAAACAAACTGACAAATAGCTAATCAAAAACCTAATCTAAGTATATTTTGAGGAACTTAAAAATATTTCGCAGTAGGAGTAATTTACATAGACTTATATACACATACAATAATTGCTGCTTTAATCAAAATCGAAGAAGCTATCCAGATTACCCAGATATTTACCACTCTTGCTCTTTAAATTTCCATCGTGAAGACAAAAATGACAATTTTCAACAAAAAAAGCCCTGAAAGTACCGAAAATTATAAAAAAAAATTATACATAATTTGCTAAAGAACTAAAATTAATAACTTAGAACTAAATATGACTATTAAAATTATTCTAATATTGGTCTGTGTTCCTTATCAAAAATAAGGCACTTTCAGTCTTTTTCAAGTTTTTGATTGGAATTTGTACTGTTGAGTTAATGTGTGTGTGTGTGTGTGTGGGAAAAAAAAGAAATAGAGTAATTTGTTTGTTTGTTTTTTTTTTAGGAGGAAGACAGTGAGAAGGATAAGGGAGTCTTCTACGATGGAAAAAAAAAAGATTAAGAGCAAGGTGGTGGTTGTTGCTGCTGTGAGGGAAGGGGCGCTGCAACGGAGGTCGCAGCAGCGACATAAGATGAAGGATCGGAAGGGTCAAGAAGGGGTGGTGGAGGCGGCAGATTTCCACCGGCGCCTCTACCTCTCCCCCGACCTCTTCCACGACCTCGGCCTCGCCCCCTCCCCCTTCCGCGTCAACTCCGCCTTTCCGGCATCCCTATATTGCTCGTCGTTTTCTCAAGGAATGCTAAATGACTTGGCAAAGAACCGCTTCCAACACCTCCAACTGGAAAACCAGCAGCTCGGCCACCCTGGCTCATAAACATCCCCTGTTGACCAACGGGAACGCCAACTCCTTGCATACCTGGTGGAGGTGGTGCTCCGGGTCCTTGTTGTACCTAAAAAAATTTAAATCTAAGCTCTACAATCTTATACACTTACTTTTAATCTTCGTTTTCCATAAAAAATTCCTCAAAAACAAATTATTATTATTTTTTTTCTCAAATTCATTCGAGAATTTGAAAATTTCAATTCGAATTTTTAACACCAACAGTAAACACAAATTTTTTCAATTTTTATTAAATTATTAATTAAATAATAAATTAATGAATAATTAAATTATTAATTGCATAATAAATTAATAAATAATTAAATTATTTAGTAAAAAAAACTCTTGAACCGTTTTATATACACGACATTCCTAAACTAATATTTAATTAAATCTTTGAACAAAAAAAAAAATGAAAATGAATGTTCGTCTTTATTTGAAAAAAATTAAAATAAATTAGAATCAACTTTTGCACCAAAATCAATTCCCATTGTGGAAATTGTTCACCATAACCGAAAATTGTGAAAAATCCAAAGAGAATTATACAAGCATGCATAAACTTTGATCGAATAGATGAATAGCAAAATACCCTTTTGGCGAATTACAAAGCTACAGGAATTAGGAATAAGGTGTCAGGAAGGCGATATAAATGAAAGAAAGCCACAATGGTTCACCGTGAACAGAGTTTTATTCTACAGTTATCTACTCGCACCATAATGACAACTTAAGTAGAAGTTTTTAAACTTTTATCCACAAACATATTATTTTCATTGGATATAAGCTTCTTTTTTTTATTATTAAAAAAACCTCTGGATGACAAAAGGGACACCTACTTATACTTTCGAATAATTATATACGAATAGACATTTGCAAAAAGAATTTTTTTTTAAATAGAATATAATTTTTTTCATTAATTCAAAGTTAATTAATTATTATTTAACTTTCCTTTCAATTATGTTGAAAAGTAATTAATTTTTTTTTTAATTAAATAACTTTTAATTAATAAATTTCTTTATGCAAATGTAAAGTGCATGCACACGTTCGACATGCAAAATACGTATGTCGTTTTGTAATTGAATTCCATATAATAATAATTATGTGTGCGTCCACGTGAAAAGCGCCCTTTTTGTCAAAATTTGAAATTTTTGTTTTCTGGAAAAAAATCAAATTAGTTTTCCATCTAATAAAAATATGTAATTTCATGTTTTTTTTTTTTTTTTTTTTTTTTTTGCTAAACAAGGAGTAGTTAAGGATAGGAAAATATTAAAATACATATAATTAATTAATTTAACCCTCTACAATTGCACCACTATTTTAGAGAAAAGGACCCACTTTATTAAATTCTTTCAATTTCTCCCCAGGATTAATATTATTTTTCTCAATATATTATCAAATTTTTGAGAAATGGGCCCTTTTCACATGGACGTACACATATAAGGGGATAACATTTCGAACAAATATCTCTGCAAATATACAGAAGATAATATATAATAGATAATAAAATAATGAGAGCCAGGATTTTCAGGCATTGAAGCAAGCAAATATATCCTAAAAAAACTAACAAAAAAAAGCGTCAAGATGAAGAGAGACAATTGAAAAATTGTCTTATAGAAGAAGAAGTAGAAGAAGAAGAAGAAGAAGAAGAAGTAAAAAGAAGATGAAGCAAAGGTAGGAAAAATGTGATCATCTTTTCATTTAGATGAAAAATAAGCAAAGCGACATAACAATAATTCTCAAGGAAGCAGTTTTTTATGCTTGAAAATCCAGGCTTCGTTGATGATAACAAGTAAAAAAAAAAAAAAACAAGGATATAAAAATGTGTAACACCAACGAACCCACGTACCAAATAACATAAAAAATCGACCTTATATTAAAATAAAATGCGAGTATTATATTATCAGATCATTTATCGTTGCTCAAGATTTGCATCAAGTTCCTTATTGTCTGATTCATTTTATCCTTTTTTCTTCTTAATTAATTTCTTTTTTTTTTTTTTTTTTTGGCTAAGCATTTGTACACGTTTCGAGTTTTATTTTGGCACTATATTTTCGAATCTAAATTCTAATTAGCTTCATCTTTTCAATATGAAAAGCAATCTCTCCATCAAATTAATATCAGGTGCAAGTTTTTTCTTATTCACAATCCAAGATTGCCAAAATGAAAATAAGTGCACTTATTTACTTTTCAATAATACAACGATTTCTTTTTCGCGATAAGGCACTAATCTTGATTGAAAAAAAAATTTATACTGTAATACAAAAACCCTAAATTTTATATATATATATTTATATATAGATAAATAAATATTAAATTAAATTAAAAGTCTTAACGATATGCACTCACTCTCGGATTCTCACATGCGCTTAAGTACAAATTAATGAAATTATACTTGCTAATGCAAGTAAATCTCCGTTGCAATCGAGATACAAAACATGATTATGTGATAATGTGAAATACAAGAACTGCATGATGTGATGATGTGCACTTGGATCTTTCTGTTAAATATTTCATTTAACATAAATAATATTTTTATAATTTTCTGTAACAATTTTCAGAACTCAATTCTTAAATAAAAACAATTATATCTATATTATAATTTGATTAATTTGATTTAATATCTAACATAATTTTTAGAAACTATGAAAAACAACATAATTATAAATTTCCGTTTTGAAGATCGTTACTTTTATTATCTAGATGATTTTAAATCCCTAATTTTTTTTTTGTTTTCATTTGGATATCCAATGATTAAAATTGGAATTACCAATTAATAATTTAATTTTTTTAAAATTGCATTTCATTGTAAGCGAGATTCACGTAAATATTTATTTAAATAAATTACTAATGAATAAAATATTCTATTCTAACAATATAGGATAACAAATAATAACACGAAAAATAAAAAAAAATTATTATCTCCTTTCTAATTTTAAATAAAAAAATTATACTCAAATTTCAAAAACTCCGAGCCCTGCATTTTTAAGTAAAATAAAAATAAAATAATAATTTTTTCAGTTAATATCAATTAATTACTTAATTTTCCTAACTTTCCTAAAGAATAAGTCTATTTAAAAAAATAATTATATTTATGAATTTTAAAAGTTCAATGTCAAATTGAATTATTCAGATAAGTTCTGAAATTTTTTACTTTTCATTTTCAGGAATAATTAATGTTAAAAAAGTTTCTTTTTGATTCTAATGTCAAAAGTCATGTTTAACGAATCATAATAAAAAAATGCTATTGCCTATGCAATATTTGACCTTTGTCTCAAATCGTTTGATAGAACCTTCAATTCGCAACATGCCGTTGATCAAGTATTTATGCACTTATCATTTTTGCGTCTACTTTCGTGCCTCAATGCTTTTTTTTTTTTTTTAACGTTGTTACTTAAATACCTGTTGATGAAGTTGTTGTTGCTGCATTTGATGCTGCTGAAGTTGCTGTAATTGCTGTTGTTGCAACTGTTGTTGATGTTGAAGTAATTGTTGTTGTTGCATTGTTGGTGCTCCACTGCCATTTCCTCCCTGTTGACCTTGAACACTAGACGTCCCATTGGCGAGACCTTTGAAAAATAAAAGAATAATAATTAAATTACAATAAAAATGCAAGTAACGAGGGTAAAATAAAAATTACCATTTGGTGCTGGACCTTGAACTGGAGATTTTGCCCAGCCTTGTAAATCGGCAAGGAGATTTTGCCAAACTGCAATTTTATCATAGTGTCTCTTTATTAATTCTTCTTTTCTCACAAGTTCCATTCGAAGATCAGCGATATCTTCTTTAATAATAAGCTCAGGTTTAAGGGCAGATAAAAGAAATCTTCTTTGTAAAAAGAAAGCTTCCACCTGCCGAGCCAAATCTATGAATCTTAAGGTAACTTGTTCCACTTCTCCTTTAGCTTCATCTTTATCCATCGACAAACTACAAGCGCAGTTGTTTCCAAGCCCTTCATCTTTTGTTAACATGTGTAAACATTGCTATAAATAAAATAAAGTAATGTACTGCAGTAACTAAAAAATATTGATTATTCATAGGCTGTGTCATAACCTCAAAAAAAATTATTTTTTTCTATTAATATAAATAAAAATTAGAATACTATAAATTAAATACTCTTTTTAATTACCTGAAACGCTTCTTCGAATTCATCGACCAAATTGCCGTTCCCATTCGCAGATGTAGCCATTCTATTCGTAAGTGCGTTTGTGCATACATAAATATTCGTTACACTAAATGAAAATCACTATAAATATAAATCTATATATTTTATAAAAATAATAATTTCTAATATAGTCTTTGGTAAATTAAACTTGGCCACGCACTCATTTGACACTCTTTTTTTCAAGATTTAATTAAAAATATTACATATTTTCAATTGTTTTAAATGGACCCGTCAATAATTTGGCGTGAATCGCCATTTTGAAATCCTAAACTAACAGTGCCGTACTGTAAGTTCTGGCACCTCGAGATTTTTATATAAAATCCTCAGTAATTTATTTGATAATAATATTATTAATATTACCAAATTTTTCATTCTCGTTATTATTTTATTAATAGTTCAACTGGAAATAATTAAATTAATAAAAAATAAAAATGAAATTTTATACTAGTTTTAAATTTGCCGCCATTGTCAAAAACAGCAGACAATAAATATTTATCACCTGTCAAATCAGTTAATTGTCACAATTAAAAAAACAAGAATTTACATAATGTTGTGCTTTAATAATTAAACAACTTGTTCAATATAATGTTAAATAAGAATAATAATAAAGGATAATGGTGATTTAAATGAAAACATTTGAACCAACGAAAAAACTCCAATCCTAACCTAAATATTTTGCAGTATTTTTGGGTTTTTTTTTAAAAATAATTGATAAAAAAAAACGCAAAAAAATGGCAAGTTCTCAGGAAGTATTAGAAGGTTTTTTATGTCCAATTTGTATGACTGATCTAAATACTCCGCAGCAATTGACAAAACATTTTGAAGAATTCCACAATGAAGACACTGAAATTTTAAAATCTCTCAAAGGTATTTTTCATTATTTTTCCTGACCTTTGTTGGTTTTCTAAATATATTAATATTCATTTTTATTTCAGATCTCTTTGGCAAAGCAAAGAAAAAGATTTTAAAACAAAACGAATCAGCAGAAACTTATAATGGTCCAATTTTGACAGATAATCAAAAATTTAAACAAGAAATTGATTGGGGAGAACAAGAAATTGGTATGTATTATTTCTGTTTTTAAATATTTAATTCACTTTCAAAAATAAATGGGAAGTGGATTCTTTGAAATTAAAATATATTTCTATTTTAGGTTTTATTACTGACCATACACAATATTTTAAGGAAATAAGGAACATAAGATTGGAAAGATATTCTTCTGAAACTAACAAACTACTCATAAGATTGGACAAATTGTTAAACAATTTACCCTCTGATCCTAGTGACAGAAGAGGTTTTAAATTATTTTCTTTTATAAAATTTATATTTAAATTCATTTTATTCTCATTTTAATAGTAATTGAAAATTTTTTTAGCTCATGAACGTGCAATTGTTCCATGGATTGATGAGAAAGATGTAAAATTATGTCCAACTTGTGCTCGAAGTTTTCACATGGCAAGACGAAAACATCACTGTAGATTGTGTGGTGCTATAATGTGTCACGATTGCACTGCATTTCTTTCAATAATAGAAGCTCGTATGTTTTTTTTTTATTGTATTTACAATTAATATCATTAATCCAACTTTCTAATTAATTTAAATTATACAATTAAATAATTTATAAATTTTCACCATTTAAGGAAGAATGACTAGTCCAGCTTCGATACAAGACGATTCTGCTCTATCACCTGTGTCTCCGGATAAATCTATAAGTGGACGTTTTGTACAAACGAGTCTTGGTTTAACGAAATTAGTAAGATCACCTTCTAGTTCAAGCTTAAATAATGTTTTGTCATTAATAAGCGATTCCTCTAGTAATGAACACAATTTTCGATTATGTGAACATTGTAACAATCTTCTTGATGCACGAGAAAAGCTAAAGGCAAGACAATTCGACAAGCCTATTATTTATCCACTTTATGAGAAAATGCGAACCTACATGACAGAAGCAAAACGTCATATTGAAATGTATAATAAAATGTGGCAATCATTAAGGTAAGGATTTTTATCAAATTTAAAATAAAAATTTACTCTTTCAGAGAAAAACTAATTAATTTTTTCATTTTAGTGAAGGTGAAACAACTTATGAATTACGTGATGCACAAGTTTTACGAATGAAAATAGCAAAAATTGGAGAGAATATAGACTTGATTAGTAAAAAAATGTTGGTTATGGGTTTAAACGATAATAATGATGCACAACAACAACAGGAACGAAGACTTCGTGAAATGGTTCGAACGTCAACTGTGATTTTTGTCAAGGATCAATTAGTTGGCATGCCAAGTTTACCATCAGAAGATGAGTATGCTGAATTAAAGGAAAAGAGACAGCAAAGAATCGATTCTAGAATTGCGTATGAGTTACAATTAGAAATTGAAAAAGAACAAAGACAAAAGCGTAAAGATTTACAAAAGGATGTTTGGAATTCTCAAACTGATTCTCCCAAGACAAATCAGGTTTTATATTTTTCTATCTAATTTTTTTTTTTAACAAATTAAAATTTTTTTCAATATGTTATTAAAATAAACACAAATTATTTCAGTTAATTATGGATAAATCGAAAGGTTGGGGACCTTCAGGTGCTGCGATAATGATTTCGTCAAATAAAGCAAATATGGATCCAATTATAGAACAAATGAGTAATTTAAAAGCTTATATAAAGCAAGCAAGAGATGATTGTAAATATGATGAAGTTGCAACGTTAGAAAGTAATTTAAAAGAACTTCAAAGCGCTTATTTCGATATGCAACAAAAAAGCAATGACACCTAGTCATTTAAAAGTCAACATTTATTTACTAGTTTTATTAAAATATGTATATCTAATATAGTATAATATAATTTAGATTATACAAAATTGAATATAAATTTTATATATTACAAACATTTATAGTTTCAAAAAGAGGATTTATAAAGTATGTATACAAAATTATTGATTTACTAGTTATTCGACTGAATATAAAAAGAATTTGTCAATTTAAAAAAAAAAATTTTATTCTAAAAATTGTAATTTTTAAATTTATCGAAATCGTAAACGGACTGTGCCCTTTGAGTACATAAGTACCTATATAATAAGATGCAATACATGAATTAAAAATATTTTTAAATTGAAAAAATTTTCTTCATTAATTTTGCTTAATTATTAATATATCGTCGTTGACTGACTAGTTAATCATTCTTACTGTATATAAAATGCAATGTGATTCAATAATAAATTTATAAAAAATATATATTTGTATTTAATTTTACAATATTAAAATTGAAAACTTACATTATTTTTATCACATTTTAGGAAGGAATCTCCAAAAATAATTTTTTTATAATTAAGATAATTTGAGAGTTGAGTTTTTAATTTCATTGAGAATTATAATCCAAAAATAAACATGGATTTATTTATTGCTTGATAAAATTACTTATCGAGTCATTTCATTAATAAAAAGACATTTTTACCTAAATGTCATGGATGTCAAGAACTTTGATTGTTTATACATCAATTGAATCGGAATTTAATCCACTTGTGAAAGAAGATTTTTCACCCTCGGAGATAACACTAAAATTACTAGAGCTCACTTCGTTGAGACATGCTGGCAGTTGAGAAACTCCTTCATTTTGAATTGATAAAGATTCTTTACATACTTTGATAATTCCCTCTACATTATTACTCTGAAAATTAAAATTAAATTAGATTTTCTGTTAAAATTTAATTCTTTATTTTAACAGCGATTGAAAATTAAAATTAATTTCTTGTTTTCCTTACTTTATCATTCGATAGTTGTTCAGATTCTGAGACTTCACTAAAATTACTAAGACTCATTTCGTTTAGAAAGGTAGGAAGTTGTGGGACTATTTCATTTATCCTTGAAGATGATGGTTTATTTCTTACATCTCTGCACTGTAAATAAATGAATGAATAAATTCATATAAAATTGTAGTCATAAAATAATGATATTAAAAAATAGAAATTGAAAACATACATTTTCCAATTCATTTTGTGGTAAATTATCAGCACTACTGAATGCAATTAAGTCTTGCGATGTGGAAGTAAAGTTTTCTTCAAGAAAACGAGGTAATGTTGGTTTAATTTCACATTTATTTAAAACCTCGCGTGGTTCATCGTTAACCATTTTTGACTCTACATTTTGAACCACTTCACTTAAATTACCAAAACTTTCATTTTCAAGAAAGGCAGGAATTTTATAAGCTTCACCATTTCCTGTATAATTAACCTTTAAATTTTAAAAATTATTATTTTATTTCAGTAAAATTAGTATCAGTAAAATTAAATTAAAAATAACATTTTGTATTAATATAATAAGGTAATATTAATTTATCAATACCTTTTGTGATTTTTTAACGTTCTGAGATGTACCAGGAAGAGTAATTACTCTGGATTCTGTTTCAACTATTTCTGATGGTATTTCATTAATGGAACCTTCACTGAAATTACTAAAACTCTTTTCTTCAAGAAATGCAGGAATTGGCACAACTACTTTTCTTTCTTCTTCTACCACAGGAAGATTTCCGCCTTTATTTAAATTACTATTTTCTACATGCACATCCACTTTGATTGATGAATTTTTCGTTATGTCACTTTCCTGTAAGCCATAACATTTTTTTATTTTAAAAATATCTGAAAAATAATTTAAAGTTACGAACTAGTTTCTAAATTTCATATGAGTGAAAACTTTTGTTCTTACACTATCTAGATCCAAGCGCGGAATCTCAATTCTTGCTGCTGGTCCTTCATTAGGTCTTTCTGTTCTACCCACTATTTTCAAAAAAAAAAAAAAAAGTGATACAAAATATTGAAAAAAGTCACATAAAAACAAAAATTATAGTAAAATAAAAAATTCATTACTATTTAAAATATTCATTGACACATAATCAGCGGCTCTGAATAATTGTGCTTTCTTAAGAAGTTCTAACAGAATTTTCAAAGTTGGTCTTCTTCTGCCCATTGTACTCCATTCTTCAAGAAATATTTCTGCACATCCTCTTTTTTGTTGTCGAGAAGCTTGTTCAATAAGGCTTTAAAATAATAATACTCAGTTTTCATAAAAATGACAATATTGTTACGATACTCACATAAGATGATCCATGCCAAATTTATATTCATCAGAATTCTCCATAGATATCATAAACATAAATTTTTTCCAATCATCATCCACGGTATTTAATAACCATGCTAATTTGTAAATATGCAGCGGTTGTAGTTTTCGAATTTCAGTGTTTAAATTTACTGGTTGACTACTGCTTGGTAGCATTTTGTAAAATTTATTTATGAAATTTAAAAAAAAAATTAATAAAAACTAATTTTAGCAACCTGTTACAACTGTCAACAAAGTTTTCTGGTACCACGTGATGACCACGTGATTTTAGATCTAGAAAGTGCTGCCACTACGGAAAAACATCAAACTTTTTTTTGTTTACATCAACGCATGGTAAGGGGAGATTTAATATTAGTCAATTTTCTTACTTTTTAGCTTCTTATAATTAAAAATACAACAAATAAAATTCTTTTCTCTTTTATTTATAAATTAAAAATATAAATTGTAGTTTCAAATTGATTAACAATAGTTCATTAATATTAATATTTCAATTATTTAATTCTTAATCGTGTAATTTAAAACTATTTTTTGAGCTTGGAAGTAATCACGTGATCAAAATAAAAACGCGCGGCTTAACCTAGATTAACCTGGATTATCACAAACACACAAACAGTGATCGAATTGTAAAAGAAGTGTTGTTATATTTTTTGTTTATTACTATGTTTTTTTATGAGTTTATAAAGAACCCATTTTTTTGCCGAATTATGACTACCTAGAGGTGGGAATATGTTTATTCTTCAAATTGAAGTGATATACAATTATTTGATGAAGGAATCTAGAACTTCTATTGTCTGCTAACCTCAAAATCTAAAATGGTTTGTTATATTATTTTTTGTTTACAAATAGTTAACTTGACTTAACATTTTTTTTTTTTTTTTTTTAAACTAGTAGATTTAGTTTATTTTTGATTTGGCAAGTATAAAAATACAAAAACAAGACAAAATAAAAAACGAATTATAATCTCAATTTTTTGTTATAAAATTAAAATTTTAATTTACAGATAAGATCCTTAGCTCCAAGTCAGAGAGGTAAGCGACCTTTACTTTCGGAAATTTGCAATGAGCTGCCATTTGTTAAACCTGCAACAGTTATAGTACAAAAGGAAAAACGAAGTAGAAAAACAAAGGAAGTAGTTATTAAAGAACTTAAACCATTACTTCTTACTGATCAAGATGTTCATGCTACACAAGAAGTTATTTCTGAACATGTAAGTCAATTATTTTTAATAAATCCAAAATTATTCGTTTTTTAATCTTTTTTTTTTTTAATTTAAAGGAACTCAACGTTCGAAAACTTCTCAGTAAACCATTTAAAATTCCAATTCCCGGCTATGAACTCTCAGGACGTTCACTTGGATTTCGATTATCTGGTCCGAGAAGAGCTTTACATGATCCTGATGAGGGGAATGCTTTGGTCGTTTATGTTCCACCTGAAATATCCGAACACGATAAAATAAAAATCGATGCGTAAGTTTTCCCTTTTCATTAATTAAATTTCTTATTTTTAAAGAAAAATTTTTTTTTTTTTTAGAAATAAACAATTGGTACATGTAGTAGTGGATCCTTTATTGTGTAATATTTTGCGACCACATCAAAGAGAAGGAGTGAAATTTATGTACGAATGTGTCACTGGAGTACGTATAGAAGATGCTTACGGATGTATAATGGCTGATGAAATGGGTCTTGGTAAAACATTACAGTGTATAACACTTTTATGGACTCTTTTAAAACAAGGTAATTTACTAATTCTTTAGAATTTTAATTTTATATTCAACAATTTGAATTTTAATTTAGGACCTGAAGCTAAGCCATTGATTGAAAAAGCTATAATAGTAGCTCCAAGTTCTTTAGTGAAAAATTGGTACAACGAAATTTTTAAATGGTTGAACAATAGAGTGAAACCTCTTGCAATTGATGGTGGCAGTAAGAATGACATAGATGTAAAACTTCGAGGATTTATGAAAACATATGGACGAAGATGCGCTAATCCAATTCTCATTATTAGTTATGAAACATTTCGTTTACACGCTCATGTGTTACATGAAGATGAAGTTGGTCTTGTTCTTTGTGATGAAGGACATCGGCTTAAAAATTGTGAGAATCAAACATATCAAGCGCTAATGGGTTTAAAGGCAAAACGTCGAGTACTTCTCAGTGGGACACCAATTCAAAATGATTTACTCGAATATTTCTCACTTATTCAGTTTGTTAATCAAGGATTACTTGGAACTGCTCAGGTAAAATTGCTTAAATCTAAATTGCAAAAAAGGGTCTCGTTTCGCTACGGTAAAAAAAAATTTTTCAACTGATTTCAGGAATTTAGAAAAAAATTCGAAAATCCAATTCTACGTGGTCAAGATGCAATGGCAAGTGATAAAGAACGTCAACTCGCTCAGGAGAGATTGACAGAATTAGTAACAGTTGTAAATAAGTGTCTTATCAGACGAACTAGTGCCTTGCTTTCCAAATATTTACCATTGAAACATGAATTGGTTGTTTGTATAAAAATGAGCGATTTACAGAATCAGCTTTACAAGAACTTTATCAAAAGTGATAGTATTAAAAAATCAATGCAAGGTAATTTGTTAATTGTTAATTAATACAGTTTTCAATAGTTATTATTCAAATTTTATTCTTTTAGAAAAAGAAAACGTGAAAGAAGGAAAAAGCATCACTGCCTTGTCTGCGATAACACTTTTAAAAAAATTGTGCAATCATCCCGATTTGGTTTATGAGAAAATTAAAGAGAACTCTGAGGGATTTGAAGGCGCTTCAAAATTACTGCCAAGTAATTATAGTACAAAGTAAGCAAATATTCAGTATTAAATTTTATTTTTTTTACTAAAAAACAAATAATTTATATTTTCTTTCAGGGAAGTACAGCCTGAATTATCAGGTAAGCTGATGGTGCTAGATTGCCTTTTGGCTTCAATTAAATCAACAACCAATGATAAAATTGTCCTTGTATCCAACTACACTCAAACTTTGGATCTTTTTGAAAAATTGTCCCATAAACGAGGTTATCGCTATGTGAGATTGGACGGTTCAATGACAATTAAAAAACGTGCCAAAATTGTCGAGTCGTTTAATGATCCCAACAGTTCGGAATTTATCTTCATGTTAAGTTCGAAAGCAGGTGGTTGTGGTTTAAATTTAATCGGTGCAAATCGTCTTGTGATGTTCGATCCAGACTGGAATCCGGCGAACGATGATCAAGCAATGGCCCGAGTTTGGAGAGACGGACAAAAAAAACCCTGTTTCGTTTATCGTTTCCTTTGCGTGAGTTTCTTATCTAAACAAACCTTTTTTTTATATTTTTTTCAAAATATAAGTATGATATTCATTAATTTCTTTCTTTCCTAGACTGGAACAATTGAAGAGAAGATTTTCCAACGGCAGGCTCACAAGAAAGCATTGAGTTCGACTGTTGTTGATCAGGACGAAGATGTCGCGCGACACTTCACACTTAGCGATTTAAGAGATTTATTTAGATTAGAAGAAAATACAATTTCTGATACTCATTCCAAGTAAGTGGCAAATTTTCTTATATTAAATTAAAAATGAATTTAATTAATTAATTAATTTTAAAAAGGTTTAAATGCAAGAGATGTGTGAATGGAGTGGAAGTAAAAGGACCTCCGGAAAAATCTGACTGCACATCTGATTTATCGGATTGGAGGCATTCACATAGTCCAAGGCATTTACCAGATATATCTCTTCGACAATGTTGGTCCAGTGGCATTTCCTTTGTCTTTCATCATCGTTCACATGAACAAGTCACTACGTGACTGGTATGTTTTTTTCTCCTTCTAATTCTAAGAAAAAGATTGAAATTTATGTTTTCTAAATATTATTTATTATCGAAAAAAAGTACGAGGTATGTTTATGGTTTAATGAAAGAGATTCATTTTTTTGCATATAATAAAATTGTTTATTCTTCAGCCTATGTTTAATCTACAGTTACGTTTATTTAATTTAATAAATTAAAAGGAACAAATTCAAAATCTAATTTCTTTCAATTTTGATAAATAATTTGTTTTGCGGTTCTTCATTAACTTTACCTCAACGTAGAAAAATTCAATAATTGTATTTCGTTATTATAATATATATATATTTTTTTTGTTCAAAATCTTAATTGTGAACTACCATAATTCTATTCTTTATATTAAATAACAAAATCCAGATAATTTTCAAGTTTCTTTTAAAGTTTTTTTGTACACAAAATATGATTTTTCTTTGCCCAAATGTGGATTAAGGATATTTTTCTTGATCGTTTTATTCATTGTAAGGATTTGTACAATATTGATGATATTGCTTGTATCATTTATAATATTAATATTAATGTGATTTATCGATTTATTTTCATTATCAGTTGGTTTACTTTTTTGTAATTGAAAATTTACTTTTCTTACAACATTAGTCTCAGTTTTATTTTTACTCTTTTCATTGTTTAAAGTTGTTTTATTTTCATCTCGTGGAATTAATTCATAGTTAATATTATCGTTATCTTTAATTGGCTCTTCTAAATTTCCAATTATTAAAAACATTTTCGCAAATTTTTCTGGAATTTCAACAAACTCTACATTCCATTTTTTATTAAATTTTCCTATTTCAGTACTTCTTCTGCAATTGAGAAAAAATTATTTGAAAATATTTTTTTAACAAGATAAAATAATACTTACATACTTGTTATTGAAATGCAAACAAGAATTTTAATTTGAAATTTCATTCTTAATTGTAGTGATTTAAGAAGTGGTTTGAAGACTTATATAAATATAGATCAAAGTTGAACGACTTCTAAGAACAAGAAATTAGTTCTTCATAAATAATAATCGTTGAATTTTTTTTTTAATGCAATTTACAAGAACTAATGTGCAATAGTTTAAGCGTTTGCACTGAATGTTTTTTCAAAAGATGTAATCTTTGTACATAGTTGATAACTTGATATTGCAATTAAACCAAAAAATGTATTATTACAATTTTTCGATATTCTTTTTATTTTTATTTTTAGATTTTCTGTAAATTTACACTTATTTTTATATTTTTTATGACATAGTTTTAAATTCTTGTACGTTTTTCTTTTTCGTTATCTAGACCTCTGACTTAATGTTTTCATTTTCTCACTGAATTGTTAATTACCATATTATAGTGACGCAGTTATCGCATTCAAATGCCTTTTTGGCCTGACACTTATTTTGTATAAATTGTTTCTTACGAAAGTCAGAAATTTAGTTTTAAAACTTTTTTCAATATTGAAATTAAATTTTTCGAAAATTTATTTATAAAATTTATTTTAATGATTTTTAATCAATAATAATTTATAATTGATTTTAAAATTAAAGAAATTTGAAATTATTAAAATTTCAATTTGAAAGTAATAATTTTATTTAATAAAAAATTCTTCTCATAAGTTTCAGCATTTATTTGAATCACATCTGCTTCATAGAAAATGTCACGCAAACGCATATCCGTATGCGCAAAGGCAAATCGAGTATCCGGAAGCTGTTTTTTAATCGATATGAAAACTTATGAATTTTTGAAAGTTTACTACTCAATAATAACTATACCTAACGTAAAGTTGATGCTGAAATTCTATAGACGCATAATACTTTCTCTATTGTCAAACATCGGAAATTCAATAATTATACTTTTTAAATTTCTATATATAAAAAATCGATTTGCAAACTGCAAAAAAAATTTTACTATTATTAAAAACTCTAATAAAAATTATAATTCATTAATATTTGTAATTATATTATAATTATATAGTAAAATCTTTGAAATTTAACGGGAAGTAAATTACTATTCAAATAACTGTACTTTTGCACACTGACCTCTCTCTCTCTCTCTCTCTCTCTCTCTCTCTCTCTCTCTCTCTCTCTCTCTCTCTCTCTCTCTCTCTCTCTCTCTCTCTCTCTCTCTCTCTCTCTCTCTCTCTCTCTCTCTCTCTCTCTCTCTCTCTCTCTCTCTCTCTCTCTCTCTCTCTCTCTCTCTCTCTCTCTCTCTCTCTCTCTCTCTCTCTCTCTCTCTCTCTCTCTCTCTTCTCTCTCTCTCTCTCTCTCCTCTCTCTCTCTCTCTCTCTCTCTCTCTCTCTCTCTCTCTCTCTCTCTCTCTCTCTCTCTCTCTCTCTCTCTCTCTCTCTCTCTCTCTCTCTCTCTCTCTCTCTCTCTCTCTCTCTCTCTCTCTCTCTCTCTCTCTCTCTCTCTCTCTCTCTCTCTCTCTCTCTCTCTCTCTCTCTCTCTCTCTCTCTCTCTCTCTCTCTCTCTCTCTCTCTCTCTCTCTCTCTCTCTCTCTCTCTCTCTCTCTCTCTCTCTCTCTCTCTCTCTCTCTCTCTCTCTCTCTCTCTCTCTCTCTCTCTCTCTCTCTCTCTCTCTCTCTCTCTCTCTCTCTCTCTCTCTCTCTCTCTCTCTCTCTCTCTCTCTCTCTCTCTCTCTCTCTCTCTCTCTCTCTCTCTCTCTCTCTCTCTCTCTCTCTCTCTCTCTCTCTCTCTCTCTCTCTCTCTCTCTCTCTCTCTCTCTCTCTCTCTCTCTCTCTCTCTCTCTCTCTCTTGTGCTGGAAAACGTGCGAAAGTAACTCAAAATTTATTTACTCATTTCAGTGATTAATTATAAACAAATGTTTAAATATTTATTAAAAATTTTATAAAAATTATATTGTGCATATTTAATTTAAAACAAATATTTTTCACTAAAAAAATTGATGTCCTATATTTTTATTTGAAAATTTTCAATATAGTTTTCATTAACAAAAATTATCTCCGGTTATTCAACTTCCGGATTCCATTCATGTATAGTAGAAGGAGAATTGAAAGTGACCCCTCACTTTAACAACTACTCTTTTAATAATTAAAAATTTGTTTTTAAAAAACGTGTTTTATTTTTAATTAATCATTGAATCCTTGTAAATTAACTGTCTAAAAATTATATTTTCATAATATTGTTTGAAAATTTCGGTATATCTAATTATAAAATAATTAGATAAAATTATCTTTCCCTTGTAATGAGGTATGACCTGGAAATATTGTTCATATAAAAATAACTATTATTAAATAAAGGCCACGCAGTAAAAGCGATGTTGTTTTTGAAATAAAAAAAAAAAATATTAATTTAAATAAAAATTAATAATAATGATTTTTAATGTAAAATAAAATATTTTACATTCAGGTATGTAAAATAAATAATAATTTACGAAATCAGTGACCTACTAATAACCAACAAGTTTAACGATCAGAAAATAAAGACAAAGACAATATAGGTACTTGTTTCTTTTCTAGCCCAATGTTTTTTCCATGTATGATACATTTCATCATTAGCCAATGAACGTTAGGTATTGTGGAGTTGAGTTGCGTTCAGCGATTTTTCAGGAATTCAGAAAGCGCTCATTTTTTCTTGTTGGAGCGGGGGAAGGGTTGGGCTGGGCACAGGAGTGGTTAGAAAGAGGGATCAAAGCTTCGGATGCCATTGCATTGAGAGAAGGGGTTGACAATTTCAAGTGGGGGATATCACGTGTTCAAAATGTTGTATTCCAATTGGTTGAAATCGAGTGTTCCTCTATCCCTTGTGACCTGGAGAGGAACTCTCCTCGCGTTGTTCGACCGTTTGCTCAGAATAGTTCCAGATGTGGCCATGTATAGTTAACTTTTCAAGTTCCGCTAATTCATTCAACAAATTTTTTTTATATAATTACTGCTGACATTGTAAAATTCGCTCTACCTGCCGATCGTATTCTTCGCTACCTGTGGCATTGATCGCCCATGTATCAATTGATCATCGAAAAAACAACGCAAAAGCACTGATTTTGCCACTACAAATTTACGACACACGACACTCCGCGGCAAGCTCGCTATATATTAACTTTTTTTGCTGAAAATCAAAAAAAAAAAAAAAAGAAAAAAAAGAAACGTGCATTTTTTTACGAGTTAACGACGGATCAATAGCGAGCCATTTTTTTTAATTAGTCTTTCTCTTTTGTCCGGTAAATTCAAGTTTTGCAGCTCTGAAGAAAGGTTTTTTCTTGTGGAATTCGAAGGCTGACGCATAAACACATATACGTATACACACGCACACAAACAATTTTGTTTGTGTGGGCGTCTTCACATACATATGTATGCACTAACCTTACCTTGAATTGATACACACAGACACATACAAGCTTTAACAAAGACGCCATTTTCTTCGTGATCATCAAGCATAAACGACTGTCGACAAATCAACAGACTAACGCTCTTTCTTTTACATACTTGCATTGATTTACACAGATACATTTATTGCAAAGATAAACTTACATAGAAAACCGGATGTATTCGGTATTTGACACGTCAGCTCGCATGACGCGTTGTTGAGAAAAACGCTACGCCATTTTCCAAAATTGACTAGTACATTTTGTGTATTAAATTTCCATTTCTTTTTTGGAAAAAAAAAGAGAAGAGCTCTAAAAACAAATTATAAGGGAAAGAAAAAAAAATAGCTCGTATTGCCGTCGATAATTCAAGATAAATTAATTAATCAATTTTTTATATTAGAAAACAAACGCGATTTCTGTGTAGAGCTATATATAGCTTATTTTATTCATGTCAGAGTCAAATGATTTCACAAAGAAAAAGCCGTCGAGTGTTGCTTCAATCGATCGAATGATCATCAACAGTTCGTAGTGGCACATGGTAAACTCGATCGATCTCCGATCGGGAAACAATGGCTCTAGAGAGTGTTTCCGCGGCCGAGACTCTAATCCAAAGGTTTGCCTCATTTTTTATTCATCAAAATGAACTCGGACTATACTGCTCCGTATAAATTATGTTCGTGCTCCTCTAATGCCCCGAACGCCTTCTCTAAAGTAGAATTTATCTTCACTGATGGGAAAAGGCAAAATCGACTTTCATTCAATTTTTTTTTTTTTTTTTTTTTTTTTTTTTATTTATGTAAAGACCGATCGAAAGGGAAACAGTCTTTGAGACCTTTTTCAATCGGTCATTACGAATTCTAATTTTTCATTTTCATATTTTGTATAATTTATTTTAAACTCCTGTTTATTAATTTTTATATTTTTGCAAAATTGATTTTTATAATAAATCGGCTAATTTAATTTTAGCTGATTTATTTTTAAAATCGATTATTAGTATTGGCTGCAGAAAGAAGTTAAAGCGACAATAACAAGTGGTGGGGGGGAAAAAAAAAGTTGAGAGCGAGGAACACGCAATTTGTTACGCAATTGAAATTGCGCGACGTTGTTTGGTTCCTTTTTTTTTGATATTGTTTCTAGTCTAGATTGTCAGGAGATTAAAACGAAAAATTCAAATGACGTAAGATATATTGATTTTTTTTTTTTAGTGGAATTCGTATTTGTTCACAGTAGGGGTGTTGGGGGAGCGATAAGAAATACATACAAGAAAAAAAAATAAAACGTGTTTATCTGTGTAAATTTATACAGATGTACACGTTTTTATATATAAACACTAACACTCTAAAAAACGAAATACATGTTATTGATGCCGATTGAAAATTCATTGAAGAATATGAAATGTGTGGTTGCTATTGCAATAACAAGGCTTTTTTATCGATGAGGATATGATAATGATTATGATGATTATGCTAATGTTCCTGATAAACGGTAAGAGAATTTTTCATTAATTTATTTGGGAGGTGAAAATTACTCCCGCTTCTCTAAAAGAATTAGGATTTTTTTTTATTTATTTTTTTTTTTTATAATTGCGATTGAAAATGATGCTGTGCGCTTTTTTGGGTTCTTTCCAAAGAGGTCGAATGTTGTAAGTACGTTGAGAAACGTCCTTCGAACCTCCAGCTAGCATCTGCTCTGATATAAGAGCCGTCGCATTCAAATATTATTATGCCTCTTTAGACAGGTTGTTGACTTTATTTCATTCAAAAGTATTTAGATGTAAGTGGGTCGTTACAATAATTTATAGTAATAAATATATTTCATAATGAGGCATTCAAAATATAAAACGATATCTCAATCATGTATTTAAAAATTCAAAGAGGAAACAAAAAATTTCTATTTAAAAAAAATTGTGATAGTGTCAATTATTTTTTAAAGCTGAAAATTTATGAAAATAAATGATTTAATGCTTCATTTTAGTGTCAAAAAAAAAAAAAAAAATTAATCTTTAACCAAGTTTGCTTATTTTTTACTAACGAAATAATTTACAATATTTATTATATGCCGTTAGTTTTACTAAAAAAGAAATTTATTTTTTATTTAATCATTTTGTAACATTTGTTATATTGTTAAGAATTAAAATAATTTTTTGTACAAATTGTTTAAAATATAGAAAATTTTATTAGAAATCAAAACAAAATTGAAAGTACTAAATTGATTGTTCGTTTTTATTTTGAAGTTTCATATATATATGCACTGAATGTTTAATTTGGTTCATATATCGATCGATGTGGGAAGTAAATTTGTGCAAGAGGATAAGGTCAACATATTTTAAAATGGTAGTAAATGTGAATCCCTCTATGACTTCTAAAAGAATGATAAATCTGCACCTGTTTTAATTTTAATTTTTTATTTTTATCAATTTCTTTTTCAAAATTTATCAATCATTTCCAATGTCAATTGCAATTTTTTTTTTTTTTTTTTTTGTTTTTTGAAAAAATATTTTTAATACCAAAAGTTTTTTTTAACAAAAAGAATTAATATTTTTAAAATAAAACTTGTCTCGAACGATACTAATTTTTATTTAATGAAGAAAAAAACAAATGAATAAAGATTGGATTAAGAAAATCGTTGTCAGTCTAGTTTTAATGAAATGTAGACTATTTATAGAAAAAGAAAAGAAAAAAAAATTTTTCTCAATTAAATATAAGCTTATTTTTAAGACAGTTTTTATTATCAAATTGAACGAGGCAATTGATAATATTATCTTATTACCAGTTATTGCTAATAATTCGTAAATTGTTTTTTCACGAGAATTTCAAATATTTAATACAATAACCAACAAAGTTATAAAAAAAAAAAAAAAAAAAAACTATGTGAGTTTAGGAACTAGGCATAATTATCAAATTGTTAATATCCTAAATTGAAATATAAAGTAGTTTTTAGTTAAAACGGAGATACAAATCTAAAAAGAAAATAGTTAGGAATTTTTTTCGATATACATACTTTTTTAGTGTAGTCAGAAAAATTGCAAAGCATACCACACAATTTCAGGAATTTAAAATATTTTACTATTTGTAAAATCAATAAATTAGGAAAATGATGATTTGATGATTTTTAGGACTCCCGACAATGATAATGATGATTTAGAAGATGGAGAGATTCCTTCAGATGAAGATGACGATGAAGTTGTACCGCTTCCAACACCAGCTCCAACGCCAAAACCAGAACCAGTGGTGTCTTCAAAATCATCAAAAACGAAAGAGGAATCCTCATCAAAAAATAAAAGTAACGATAGCAAAAGTAGCAGGAGCAAAAAACAATCTTCTCAAAGATCAGGAAGTAGTGATAGATCAAGTAAATTTAACAAAGGCCCAACTGAAGATTGGGCTGGAGATGTTGAAAAAGCAATAAAAGCAGCTTTAGATAAAGATAAATCCAAACATCAAGAAAGCAATTCCAAATCTAGTAGAAGTAGTAGAAGTAAAAGTAGAAAACGATCAAGAGATGATAAAGAAGAAGAACGAGTAAAAGAACAAAAAGTGGGTTTTATTAATTATTTATTTTTTGGTTGCGATTATAATGATTATTTTATTATTTTTATTATTTTACAATTATTATTTTTAATATTACAATATTATATTTTAGAGGAGAAAAGTAAGCGACGAAGAAAATGGAAATGAAGATGATGATGAGATGCTTTTCGTACGAGGTGCTTCTCCCGTTAGGAAAGGATCTCACGAAAATTCATCGCCGTTGAGAAGAAACAACGATCATGACAATTACGACAGTAGTTCCGACTATGACGATCGTTCCAGTCGACATCGAGACAGTGATAATAAACGTAATTCCCGAGGTAAATTAAGAAATTTATTTTTCAATTAAGAATCAATTTTTTAATTATTATTTTTTTATTTAGGACGTCGAGGTGGAAAGAACGAGCGCGGTGGCAAAAACAAAGGACGAAGCCAGGTGCGAAATGAGCGCAACGGCCGGAGGAATCAATCAAACAACGATCACAATCAAGATCCTGATGCAATTTGTTCCTACTACATGCAGGGAAAATGTCATCGGGGTGACGACTGTCCGTACTCGCACAATGCGCTGCCTCCAAGGAAAATGGAGTTGTGTAAATTTTATCTCATGGATTGTTGTGCTAAAAGGGATAAATGTCTTTATATGCATCATGACTTTCCATGCAAATTCTTTCATACAGGGTTGAAGTGTGGCCAAGGAGAGAACTGCAAGTTCTCTCATCAGCCCTTGAACGAGCAGGTAATTTAATAACAAAAAAAAAAAACATCTAAAAAAAAATTAAAACAAAAAATTTAATTGTCTTTTTTTCCAGGTGAAGAACATTCTACTCAAACATTTGGAGACAGCACCAAAAGAAATTTTAGGCAACTTCCCAAGACTGAGCAGAGACGGTGCTTTAACGATGATCAACAATACGGAGAAGAATTTGGCCCAAGGACAAGAAGGAAGTCAAAAGATTCCCAGTCTTTTTGAATTGAATATCACGAATCGTGATGAAAAAGAAGAAGGTTTGTTATATTTTTTCTGTACTTTTGTTGGATCTAATTTTTATTTTTTTTAATAATAAAAAAATATTTTAGAAACAAAAGAAGAATCTGTGCCACAAAAGACGACGGCGACAACTACAACAACGACAACAACGACGACGACAACAACATCAAAAGAAAGAAAATCATCGGGAAAAAAGACTCGATGGGGTTCAGATGAGGATCGTGTTCCTTATGAACAAATAATGCTTTTGCAATCAGCCAATCAACTTGGAATGGAATTTTCCAATGCTGCTTTAGATTTAGCCGTACAAGATCAACGTCAACAATTGCCTGCACCGCAAAATACAGTTTCAATGGATTTTTATAGTGAAATAAGTCAAAGTGACTCAAGTAAATTGAATGCAAAGGAAGATTTTACAAAAGATGTGGAAGAAGATGAAATTCGAGCACAGGTAATTGGAATTAAAAAATTGTTTTTTTTTTCTTTATCTATATTTTGTTTAATATTCTGTTTATTTACAGTCAAAGGGAAAAAGTTCTACAAATTCAGAAACTCCAAAAGATGTTGATTTACGACAAATGCTTACAGCATCGTCCAAACCTCGTGTTGTGAGTATAGCCGACGAGATAGCAAATATTACTCAGTCGAAAATAGATGAAGACAGCGAAGAAGAAGAATCAAATCTTGTTATTGAAATGCCAATGGAGGAAGATGAGCCTGAGAAGGAAAAGGATTTGACCCAATCAGAAGGTAAATTTTTCAAATTAACATTTATTATTTTACACTGAAAAACCATCGCTTTTTTTATATATCTAAAAGTCAATTCAGAAATTAAAGAAAGTAATTTTTCAGAATCGCGAGCAGTTGAAACTCAAATTGAGAGTGAAAAGCCATCATCACCAAAATTACAATCACAAAATATGCCACCGAATCTTCCGAAAAAAGCTCAGGAATTATTTGCGAGAATACAACAACAACAGCGAGAGGCATTGGACAGTTTTAAAAATCTCGAGAATGAAGAAGAAGAAAATCAAGACGATTGGTATTCCGATGACGATGACGATAAAGATGATTCCGGTAGTTTGACAATCGATGTCAACAACGAGGAAGATCAAGAAATGGAAGAAAAGACAAAAGTCGAAGAAAAAAGTCCTCCACCATCGAATATACCTCAACCAGCGCCTTTTGTTGATAAACTTGGCGATTTAAGTAAAATTGATATCAGTGCCGAAGTATCAAAACTATTGTCTTCCCTAAAAGCAAATAGTAACACAAATTCACCAACGTCAACAAATTCCACAGCAAACGTTGACAATGCCGACACTAAAGTGAAATGCGAAGAAAATTTGCCAACCGTAAAAGAATTAGATACGAATCATGATGAAAGTGCAAGCTTTAGTCCCGCATCATCGCCAATTTCTCATTCCCAAACTTCTTCCGTTCCTTCCCGAGATCCACGAATGTTACGAGATCCAAGAGAGACGAGAGATCCCAGAGAGTCACGTGATCCAAGACAACGCAGGGAAGAACAAAAATCAGTAACCGTTAAACACGATCCAAGATCACATAAATTAGAAACAAGTATATACAGTTCGGGAATAACTTCAATGGACACTCCAATGGACACTGATCTTCGAGCACGACCCGATCAAGATCATCGAAGAAAGGACATGGATCTAAGGCAATGTTTCTCTGAATTTGGCGACACTGATCTCCGTCTAGTCGGTGGTAACTATACAAATTCATCAATGAAATCCGACGTTGATCTTCGTCAAATGTTACCCCTACCATTTAAACCCGTTCCAACGCATGTACCGTGCACTGAAATTGACGGTAGCATCGCATCACATCCACCAATTGTCTACAAAGTTCACGTTATCGATATTCCACGTCCCGATTACACTGGTTTGAAATTAAGTAAAAACGATCCACAAGTGAGAATTGATCCACGTTTAAAAAAAATCTTCCGAATATCATTGAACGACATTGCCGATTCGCCAATGTCACCGCCACCAATAAAATTCGACACACCAAAATCACCGCCACAAATACGAATGGATCCAAGGCGCAAGGCACTCGAACCACAATCTTCCCAAGGAATGAATGCTTCCCTTCCTCCACATCATCAGGGACTTCCGGAAATGAATATGAACATGGGACCATACATGCAACCACCAGCGATGCAAAATATGCCACCAATGATGATGGGTCCCAATATGAATTCAATGATGGGCGGACCAATGGGTTCAAACATGCCAATGATGGGTCACAATATGGGACACAACATGGGCCCAAATATGGGACCCAATATGGGTCACAATATGGGGCCAAACATGGGTTCAAATATGGGTCCCAATATGGGCTCAAACATGGGTCCAAATATGGGACAAAACATGGGTCCGAATATGGGACAAAATATGGGTCCGAATATGGGACCAAATATGGGTTCCAATATGGGTCCAAACATGGGACAAAATATGAACTCAAACATGGGTCCTAATATGAATTCAAACATGGGTCCCAACATGAATTCAAACATGGGTCCTAATATGAATTCAAACATGGGTCCGAATATGGGTCCCAATATGAATTCAAATATGGGTCCTAATATGGGCTCAAACATGGGTCCCAATATGGGCTCAAATATGGGTCCAAATATGGGACAGAATCAAATGAATTTTGATCCACGTTTCAATTCGCAAAGAAATAATGGCGTTGGATTATTAGGCCCTGGTCCAATGAATTATAATGATAATGGACCGAATTTTGATGGTGGCTATTCGAATGGAAATTTCAATAATTTTGGTCCTGGACCCGGTGATATGAGGAATTTTGGACCAAATTCAGATGGACCTAATTTTGGAAATGGAGGCGATTGGAATTCAAATCAAAATCAAAACAGAAGGGGCGGAAGAGTTCGTCGAAGAAATAGAAATAAAAATGGGCCTTCAATGAATCGATCACCCTCGTAGGAATTGGTGAATGAAAATTATTAATACTTTTCTATGATCCTTAATTATAAAAAAAAAGAATGAGTTCTTTAGTGTCCTAAATTTTGTTTTACTGTTATAATTCGCAGGAAACGAAAATATTTTATAGATTGCTTTGCAAATTACTTTCTAATGACTCAGTTTATTATTCGCATAATATTATTTAAAAAGTAAATTATTTTATAAGCAATCTTTTTTTTTGGACACTGAAGTTGCGATGAATGAAAATAGATTAAAATTATAGAGCAGAGCTGAGTTTTTCTAAAGGGGTTGGGGAGGTGGGGAATATTTGAACAATTTTGAAACTTGAATAACAAATAGAAATTTTTAGATTTTGAATAAACTTTTTTATTTTTTCTTTGTAAAAAAGTTATTTCTTATAATGAAATAAATAATTGTGAAATACGATTTTTATTAAAAAAAAAAAAAAAAAAAAGATGAACTCAGCCCTGATTTTTCTCGAATTACTGTGTTAATTGTTGCGACAGAATCGAGAAATAAGTAAGTCAATACTTATTATAAAATTTGATCATTTATCATGATGAAAAATTGTTGTCATATAGTTGCGATTATTATTATTATTATATTATTATGTTATACAATGTATATAAAAATGTACATTTAGGAGACGATAGGGAATAAAATATTTGAAGGATAAAAATGACAATTCCTCCGGATTAAGAGTGCATAATTACAAGTAAATCGAAAATTTCTAAATTTGCTTCGACTTTATTTTTTTACGTCTTCCGTGTACATAGTACATACATACATAAATTGCGTTTAATTTATAAGATGTACATACGTTATTAATGCAAAATATATTTGTCTACTTATGAAGTCTGATTTGATAAATATAGAAAAAAAAAAAAAAAAAATTATGGACTTGAGATATTGTTACTTCGACTACCTCAGTGATAGATCAACAGTCCCGACAAAAAAAAAAAAAAAATACAAAAATTGTTCTTAAGATTCGTCGTTCGATTCAATCAATTTTTTACTCTTATAAAAACTGAAAACTTATTTATTATTCAATTTTTTGTTTACAAGTTATATTTAAGATATTTTTGGTTTTATTTTAATTTTTGTGAATATGAATTATTTAGATTGTGTAAATTTCAAGGAATTCGAAAACATTCCGATTTTGTTTAAAAGGTATTCACAATTTTTTTTTTTGTATGCAATTTAATCGGACTTAAAAAGTAAATAAATGATTTACCTGATTGTAGTTAAAGAAATATATGGATTCCTTTATTTTATTGATTTAAACTTTAAAAAATTGTCCTTGTATAATGAAGGTATTAAAACTCAAACTTTTGAGTCATCTTCTGATAAATTTGATTTGCAAAAAAAAATTTCATTTTGCATTTGAAATAAATGCAGATTATTTTGTTTTTAAATAAATTATGAGATATTTAACAGAGGATGAGTCGATCCACTTAAAATTAAATTCTAATGCGTTACCGCTGATAAAGGTTCTGCACGTATCGTGGCAAGATCTAGTCTTGCGTCCATTTCCTCGTCTAATTCACCAACTATTGCACTGTAAAAATATGAATTACTAATTATATTAAGATATCTAAAAAAAATATTTTAGATAAATACCTAAAAAAAAAAAGGTTTAGATCTCATTGAAATAAATTTTTTATACTTACACATTATCACCTCTAATTATATGTAATCCTAAAACAACTTGATCAACGCCTCGAGTTGTACTGTAAACTCTTTCATGTGATTCATCCAAAATTAAATTAATCGTTTGATCGAATCCTTTTAACGTGCCCTAAAATATTTATTTAAATTTCAAATTATGAAACTGACAGATGTAAACATATATGAGTTTATTTATGTTGATTGATTTATATAAATTTCAATTAAACTTAACATTAAATTAAATATTAGACATTTAAATAATTTGCAGATAATATTTTCCAATAATTTATATTAATAAATATTTACTTACAATGAAATTCCGACCATCATACGTTATAATAGAAACAGTATCTAAAAACTAATATAGGAAAAATACATGACATACATAGTTGATTTTTGAAAATAATTTAAATTCTTAAAAAAGGATACGATTCACAAAGCTTTCTAAGCTACTGGCCATTATAATTTTTAATCTTCTTAATAAATATTTATTATTGAAATTAAGCGTTTTATAGACGTTATTTTATAATTTTAGGTTATGTAAAAACGCGCAAGTGAAAACAAATATAGTTCACTTCTCTGCTGATAGAGGGCAATTTAATCGTTTTGCGCGAAAATTCAAAATATTTTCAGGAAAATATGGTTTGAGAATGTTAAATTAAAATGGTAGTAATAAAATAAATCGTCAAAAGTACTTTATTAAATTATATTATATCTACTGAACAAAGATACATTTTATGATCGATAATGTAAAGCAATATTGAAATTGCCAAAGCAAAAACAAAAAAAAGAAGAAAAGAAAAAAAAATAACTCATTCGTGACTTTTTTTTTTTTTTTTGATAGTCACTGATAATTTACACATTTATGAAGGCTTTACATTGAATCCGAATTGAAACACTATACAAGTGATTCAAAAAATGTTTTCCTTTACTCAACTCATTATCATTGGCATGGAAGTCACGATACAATAATCTAAAATCTACCGAAACTCATCAATTTTAAATGCATCCTTACACTTACTCAAGAATCGTCAACTTTTCGCTCGGCAGCAAAATATTCTCAACAAATTGATTATTTATTTGTACCAATGCAGCTCCATGCGTGAAGGACTAGAGTAAACCATCAAAAAATTTCTCTTTCAAGTTCATAATCAAACCTGATCCTGTTCATCTTGTTCATCACCTGATCTATAATATCCTCGTTTTGAAACGAAACCACCAGCTCGCTGTGTTTCGTACAATCTTCGATTTTCTAAATATCGTTTGTAATTATTCTCACGTTTTTTTCTTTGTTCTTCTGCTTGTTGTCGCAGCTTCTCAGGATTCATGTGTGAAGTCACCATATGTCTTGTTAGAGAGCTCATAAATTTATAAGTGATGCCACATACTTCGCAGGACAAAACTTCCTCACTTTCTCCTTGCTAAAAATATTATCAAATTATTAGTTTTTTATTTATAAAAATTAGAGAAAAAAAAAAAGGGGGCAGAAGAATGATTCTTCTTTTTTTGTTTTTATAAGAATAATTTTAACGTACTTGTTGGTGCACCATCATATGACGTTGCAAATTGTTAACACGATTAAATTCACGTCCACACACCTCACAATCGAATTTCCTATCCGGGTCGTGAGTTTTCAAATGAACATTCAAATCCACTGAACTTATAAATGTCTTGTGACAAACATCGCAGGCATGATGCCGTTGCTCTGCTGCACGATGGGACAATTCGTGTTTATCAAGATTGGCTTGTTCTAAAAATCTTCGTCCACAATAAATACAAGGCAATGGCTTTGAATTTGGATTATGAAGACTCAAATGTCGACGAAGTGTTGGTGCACTTGGAAAACATTTGTGACATTCAAGACATTGAAAAGGACGATCACCCGTGTGTGTTTTACGATGACGCGCCAATGAATTTTGATCTGGATACCTAGATAACAATTGCAGATTATTAAATAAATCAATCAAAAAAAAAAAATTCAATTTTACCTTTTTGGACATAAATCACATGGGAAATTTCTTGTCGTTATATCTTCCTCGCGTGCATGTTTCAATCTATTATGTTTAAGTAATTGTAAAGATGTTTTAAAGGTTTTATTGCATATTTCACACTTTGTGTTCTCTGCCGTTGGTATTATAACCTGAGTTCGTTTTTGTCCATGTTCATCTTCAGAAATTATCAACGAAATTGTTACAGTACTATCTTCATTGTCCATTTCTGGATTATTGGAACCTGGTACCACTGAGGTCTAAAATATATTTATCAAATTATAACTGAGAATCTTTTTTTGATTATAAAAACAATTAAAAATCGGTCAATTACCTTCTTTTCAATTTGTCGAGAATAATCCATTTGGGGAATGTAATTTGTGTCTTCGTCCTGTTTATCTTCTTCCATTGCCTCTTGTTGTGGTTCTTGTACCTCAGGTTCTTCATTTCCAGTTGAAGCAATAGCATAGTTTCCATCCTCAGTTAAATAAACAGGTTGTAAAGTTCCAGTATCGTCTTTAAAGTACAATTGTCCATCTTCGTCTTCGTGGAGAAATATTTGATCCTGTTAATCGAAAAAAAAATTTGTAAATTAAAACTATAAACGATAATGAAGTTAAAAAATAGAGAATTTGAAATTTACTTGATTACTATCTTCCTGTTCCACCTCAGCAGGTTGTTCCGGTTCCCAATCTTGTGCATTTTCCATGGAAACATCTGCGAATTCGTATTGCTGTTGATTTGGAGTTTCGACAACTGTTTCATTATTCACATACAAAGCATCCAAATCTCCACCTTCATAACAAATTGCCTCTTCTTCCATTCTCTCCATCTAATTAACATTTTTAATTTATTAAATTATTTTAATAATTTTTAGTTTTTTTTTTTTTCAAAAAAATGTGAGTTTTTGATATTTACCTTTATAAAATCAGATTCCTGATATTTGGGATTATGATTTGTCCTCACGATAGTTGAGGGTTTCTTTGGATTAAGAACTGTATAAACTAAATTATTTTCAGCATTTTTTACAATTTCATCCTGACTTTCGCTGTCAGCATTACTTAAACCTTGGTGTTCGTATTCCACTTCAGTTCGTGAATTATCAGCATCGATGTGATTATCTGTGGAATAATATTTAAATTCATAAATAAATGACCGTATTATAAGGAAATAAAATTTTTTTAAACTAAATACTCACTTCCTTGATCTAATTCCTCGTCTTCCCAATCCTCCTCAACGTGATAGGCAACAATATTTCCAAATTCACCTTTCGTTAAACCATTACCAACACGACTCTTGACACGTTTAATAGAAACTCCTTCACCATTTTCAATAATATTGTCTTTTATATATTCATCAACTCTTTCTTTATTAGAACATTCTCCACGATTCATTTTTATATTTTTCACATCTGCAAATTCATCTAAATATTCCTCTTCCAAATTTTCTCCCTCTTCATCTTGTTGGTAATAAATTTGTTTTTGTTGTGATTGGTTGGTTCCTTCCTCTGTCTCATCATCATCATCTACTTCAACTATTTCTTCAATTATTTCAACAATTTCCTCGACTTCACCATCTTCACCATTTCCAACATCTTCAGATTCGAATATAACTTCCTCACCCTCGACAACATCCTCTAATATTTCCGTCATTGTTTTACCATTTATTTCTGCATTGCCTGCCATCTTTTTTTTTTTTTTCTTTCTTCTATTAATATACTTGTTTTTTAAATTATATTTTGGTACATTATTCCAATAACAATGAAATAAATCTGCAATCACAAAATTTCTGCACTGATAATTTTGCTATAACATATGCTGTTTTTAGAAACAATTTTTTTTTCAATACTTTCTAATATATTTTTCTATAATTTTTCACTATTAACATCAATAATTACACTGGGGAAGAAAACATCAAAATCTTTTTTACAAATTTAGAAAGTTAAATAACTTTTGCACTAAAATTATTATTATATTTTAAAAAAGCCAAAAAAATTAAAACAGTTTTAAATTCTAAAAAAACTTTTGAAACACAAATTATTAAATAATATCAATAAGTATACAATTATGGGGAAAAAAATAAAATAAATAAAAATTGATGAAATGAAAAATTTCAATTTGTAATAATCAGCACGACACAGCGTAGGTAGACATTAATCAACCTCTCTCTCCACATGCAACAATAACTAAAAACTTTACAACTGTTAGATATCAAAGAAAAATGTAAAACAACAATTTATATTTACTTTCATTATTGATAAATACAATAAAACAATTGAAAGAAGAATATACAAAATTCCGGCGTGAATGTGTGACAATCTCTCTCCAAAAAAAAAATTTATAAACGAAAAAAATATCAATATTATCGTAAATAAAAATTAAATATAATTTTAAATAAATATTATAAAAATTAAAAAATCAAAATCTACTAAAATTTAAACTCAAATTTTGATCAGTAGAGTAAAACTAAAAATATTTTTATTTATTCAATTCGATACAACAGTCGGTATGCAAATAACGAGTATTTATCAACGGATCGTCAAAATGGCTACGAATCTAAATTTCACATCTTCCATGTATTTTTCTGTCAAATGAGATTGATAAAACAGACAATAATTAATAAGTATATTATGATTGTAAACACTTGACAAACCTTTTGTTGCTGTCTAAAACGTATGATGATAGAAAATAAGGGAAAAAGGAGAAGCCACAGCGACCAACAAATGATTTTTACTCGGTCGATACAAATCAGGCGTTCTTCTTTCTCTTCACTGTGTTTCCTCACCGACTGACGCCACATTATTTTCACCTACACGAAACTTGACTCATTTGTGTATGTGTTAATTTAATGGTGTTTATGTAATTTCCGGTAGTTCGATTAGAGGGAATTTTTAAAAATAAAGCATATTTTTTAAGTTTATTTGATGTAAATTTTTAACAATTATTTAATATTAGAAGAGTAAAACTAATTTAATATATTGTATTTTACTTTTAAATATAACAGATATTATTTAGGATTTTCTATCTTGGATCTTACGAAAAATAATGAAAATAATTCTTAAAAGTGAGGTTATGTTGGAATTTTTAAATAACTCGCTCATTTTTATCTAAAACAGTTGAAGCAAGCCGACTATACAATCGCGCACATAATTAATTTAATTACCTTTAATTTTCCGCGTCTTTTCTAATAATAAAATAATTATTAATGCAAAAATCAATTGTCATATTGAATTTCCCTCATTATCCAAAAGCGCCATCTTCAACTTCCGATTCTGCCATCTTCAGTTTTTTTTTTAAACGAAAACATAGAAAACCGGAAACTTGGATTTTTAGTTCATTTGCCGCCAAACCATCATTATTCCCGCGAATTAATTGTTTATCTGTTAAATTTATTCTTTGTAAATACTTGAAAAGAACAAATATCGACGGGCAGTGAAGTGCTTTGATCTCAAATTTCAACAGAGAACGTCTCTGTTGAATTTATTTTTTGAAATTTCAAAGGAGTTTATTTATTTAACTGAACAAAATAAATCATGGCTAAAGTACAGTTGGCGAATGTTGCTGTTTTAGATAATCCTTCACCTTTTTTAAATCCATTTCAATTTGAAGTTACTTTTGAATGCATTGAGGAACTCAAAGAAGGTATTTTTTAAAGTGAAATTTGACATTAATGAAAAAAATGGTTTTTGTAGTTTTTTTTTTTTTTTTTTTTTGAAAATTTATAGGTTATATTTGTACCTGTTCTCCACGTAACGCCATATATTTTTTTTTCATAAATACGTTATTTTCAGATCTAGAATGGAAGATGATTTATGTTGGCAGTGCAGAATCAGAGGAATTCGACCAAGTACTTGACACCATTTACGTAGGTCCCATTCCCGAAGGGAGGCACATGTTTGTCTTTCAAGTAAGTTTATTTGAGAATATTTTGTTTTTCTTACCCCGTCAATTAAAAGTAATTGCGCAGTGTCATATTTTTTTTTTTGTTAAAATATCTAATTCACATATTTTCTGATAAAACTTTTTTTTTTTTTTATTATTTTAGATCACTATGTAAGATTTATTTTTATTTATCTGTCAAACGATATTATTTGACAAAAGACAAAATTGGATTTTATCCAAGTTATTGTTATATAAATAATAAATATACTACAAAGTTTTTGAATTATTTATTGATATGTTACATCTAAAAAATTTGTTTTTTGTAGGCAGAGCCTCCAAATGTGAATCGGATTCCCGTAAATGATGCTCTAGGTGTGACAGTCGTTCTTCTTACTTGTTCCTATCGAGGTCATGAATTTGTACGTGTGGGTTATTTTATTAACAATGAATATACTGATGTAGAGCTCAGAGAAAATCCTCCTCCTCAACCTCAATTTGATAAGGTGCAAAGAAATATTCTCGGTGATAAACCTCGTGTGACAAGATTTAAAATAAATTGGGATGATAGCACAAGTCCAAACACAAATGCTGACGCCGATGCAATGGATGCACAAACAACAGTTGAAGAGACAACTGAAGATGTGCCTTCGACGTCATTGAGTTTTACGGAAAATACACAAAATAGCATGGAAGTTATGTGAATCCCTAATAATTCCAACAGCAAATGTGAGTTATATTTTGTTTCCAATAGGCGGTTAATTTTTTTTTTGCGAGAGAGAAAAAAAAAGAGTAAAATTTATTATCGAAAAAAAATTTTGGATATAGTTTTATCTTATGTAATTCACATTTTAAGTGAACGATGAGATCTATTAGCAAACTCATTTTCAAGTCATTAAGTTATTTAATTACATGTGTATAAAAATTCGTTCGTCGACTTCGATCTCTTAAGACTAATTGTGAAAATAATGTTTTTTTTTTTTTTTTTTTTTCTTTTGACACTGAATTTAGTTAATTTCAAACAACATAAACATAAATTTGTTCATTGAATGTTGTGCTTCAAATCGTATTATTTTATTCAATGAATCTTTTTAGAGTAAGTAAAAATATTGTTCCAACATGTACATAAACATATAGAGTTACTAAAACGCGATAATTACATATGTTTTCTATTTAGATAAATGAGGTGGTGTTATTTTTGCTACTTCCTATCCCTTCTTCTATTCCAGAATAGTTTTATTAGATTTATCCCAAAGCCTAAGAAGATTAGAAATTATGAATGATAGATACAAAAATGATTTATATATAAACATTTATTGTACACGAATAATTTACAATTTTATAAAGGTAACGAAAGGCATGTGATTAGCAACAGCGTTTTTTGTAACGATTGAATTTTCTGTTATATTAACAGATATGCACTATCGTGAATCAATATGTGTTTATTCGATTCAGACATTTTTTTTTTTAGAATTCCGTGCTTGGCAGGAAACTTTAAATAGTAAAAGTTTAATTCCATTTTTTTTTAACTAATTCCTTTGTTTCATATGGCAACCATGGAATTCTACATTTGAAACACAAAGGCCTTTGTTTTATATGATATAAATTTAATATGTGTCTTTGTTTTTTGATTAGAAAAAAACTTATAGGTCTTTGTGTTTTTTGATACTTGGGTTGAAATAATATTATATATCTTTTTTTAAACACACTTTGTTTTACATAATTATTTTATAGGTCAACACTATCTACAAATAGATTTTTCTTTATCAAAGTGGCCTTTTTTTTCATACAATTCACTGGAAATTGTATAAATAGCCAAAATTTTTTTACCACAATAACATGCAGTGCACAGTAACAATTAAAAAAAGAAAAAAAACGATTGTACATAAAAGTTTAAAAAATTTATAAGACAAATTAATGTGGAATTTATTGGGCGTGTATGATTATTCTTTCAATTCTATATTCCACATTTTTCAGATTAACAATTTTCAAATAATTAATAAATTTGCTATACACCTTTTATTTTACGTCATGAGAATACTTTTTACGAAATCTTACATCAATCACAAATTTCAATATTTTTAAATATTCATGAATAAGAATATTAAAAATTAAAAGTACTAAGTAATATTTTGTAGAGAAAATTTTGTAAAATAATTGTAAATTAATGCATCCTGAGTATTATTAAGAAAAGTAGAAATTTTAGAGAATAACCATCCGCAAAAATTGTACAATAACTTTTGTCATTTCAAATGACAATTTTTCGATTATAAGCATAGAATTAATATTTTATTTTTAACACGATGAATTGACAGTTTACACTGTACTACGTGCACTTAGTCCATTTATTATTAACAATATTTTAGTTTAATTTTCTTTTTTACTTTTTTTTTTATCAATTTATGTAATGTTTATTCTACAAAATTATTACGAATTCGTCATAAACTATTCTACTTGTGCTTTTAATCTTATGAATATTCGTTTCAAAATCACTTGTTTTGTAATTAAAATATACATCATGATCCTAACAATAAAATCGATAAAACAGTTGAAATAAGGCCATTGATGCGAGTACAAGAAAGTCACTCTTTCTCAATTCAAATTACCTTTTCTGATAATTTTTTTTAGATTCTTCATATTTTATTTATTTATTAATTGAAAATTAAAATTTCGTTGCTCTATAACATTAACAAGCGGATTCAATATGAAAACAATTTGATATTAATAAGGCAAAATAATTCTTATATATTTGGAATTTTATAACACTTTACTTTCGTTTTGCTTTGAGGAATATGTTTTCAAAAAATTTATTCATTAAACAGATTTAAGATTTAAAAAATTAATACTGTAAATTATCAATTAAAATAACATTTAAAATAATTTAGATTATATTTAATTTATATAAAAACGTATTTATATTTATTATTCATAATTATAAAATATTCTAAAAAGTTGTCAGTATTTTTTGTACCGATTTTTTGGCAACGTGAACAAATGGATAAGTTTATCAGCAATAATTTAACGAGTTATATTATTTTCTCAATCTTTTTTTGTCTGTCTATAAATGTACTTCATTTAATTATTTTACACTTTTTTTTTTAATCTTTAAATTCCTTGAAAAGATTCAAAAGGTGATAAAGAGTTTTAAACTTTTCCATATTTTAAAAAGTATTTCAAATGCAACATCTCTTGGTGTTTTGTATTTAAAATACAATATTCATCTATACCTCATATGTAACTCGAGTTTTATAATCGGCTGTGTTTTTTTTATGAAATATAATTGGTTCTTTCGTACGCGACTATATATTATGATAACATTTTGTATATATTGTCTGTGAAAATTTTTCGTGTATCTACTTTCGTTTAAATCTCTCACGCGATTTACCCTGGAAAATTTATAATTTTTTTTTGTCTTATTTATTTTTGATGCCAATTTTGTTAACGATTTAATGATCTTCGGGCCTCCGATGAAATACAAACATAAACTGGCCTATAGAGAATCAATGATGGCTGGGTTAAATGATCAGAACCATCGTAAACTTGTCCAAGTAAAAATTCCGGACCAATGTAACAACCACCCTCAACATGCTCTGCTGCTATTTCTAAATAATTAAAAATTGTAACATTTAAAAAAAAAATCTGAATTTTTTGTTTAGAAAAAAGAAATACGAACCATATTTAATTTGCGGTTGTTTTGTGATATTCGGTATTCTGAAGGGAACAGTGGCCACTGTTATAGGAAAATGCATTTGCATATCTTCGCCAGATTTTTCCAATTGAACGCTGACCTGATTTATGAGAACGATCGTTATAGTGGTACATTAATTTATGGATTATATATTTAGTTTACAGATTATGGAACGTTACCTTTAATACATAATATATTTGTATCAGACGACAAACACCTATCAACGTGGGAGGACAAACAGGAAGTACCATTGTTTTAGAGGAATCCCATTTGACGGCTGTACCTGGTAAAACTGGCTCTCCTTTGTGCTCCAAAACAACTTTCTGCAATTCTTTATTTGCACCCAGTACACCACGATCGATAAAAAATTCCACATACTGAAAAATAATTTTTATTTAAAAATTTTTTTTTCAAATTTTAATTTTTAATTAAAAATTTGTTACGAATTGCATTTTTATAAATGCATTGCTCATTTGTATTTTCTCTCTAATGAATTTACCTGAGTTAATTTTACATTTAGCCAAGCCTGCTCTAATCCTCTGTTGTCGAGAGCAGCTCGAAGTTTAATACTCTCTCCGCAAACATATGCACTTCTCTCCAGTTGTGCACTGAGTTCAACTGGATTTCTTCTACAGCAAAAGCAGCAGGACGTATGAACTTCAGATCCAATCATCGGTTTCTAGAAAATATTTATAAAAATCGTTTAAAAAAAATTTTTAAATAATACTTTTAAAATTTTTATTAATATAGTTAATTAACTGATTAAATAATTTATATATATATATATAAATAACTAAAAAAATAAATAAATATAAATTAATTATTATTAATTATAATTATTATTATTACAATTATAATTATTATTATTATAATTATAATTAATTAATTATTAATTAAATAAATATAAATATAAATAAATATAAATAACTAAAAAATAACTTCTATCTCTATATATATATATATATATATATTTACCAGATATTGTTCGTCCATACAATCGATATGAGGCCCAATGAGTGTAAAATATTTAAGACCTTGTGGTGGACTTGCATACGGTCTATCAACTGTTGCTTTAATATAATAACGAATGTAGCCAGTACGAGATTCAAAACTACATGGCAAAGCACTTTCGGGTAAATTGAACGTGAAAGGAAACTGATGTTTTCCTCTTGGAAGAATTGGAATCGGCCCTTCAGAATTATCTATTTATTTTATTAAAAAATCTTATAAAATTTTCTCGAGATAAATAAAGAATTAAAAAATTAATTTAATTTTATATATTTACCATGTCCCCAAACAATAATTCTTTCGTCAACAAAATATTGATCATTTTTAACATTTCTTCGATCACCACTGACCATAATTTTCCATTCTGCGTGTGCTTGGCCACGTAACGATATTCTCACAGCTAAAAAATGTTTTTGAATTTTGTAATAAAAGAAAAATTTTTGAAAAATTATTTTAGAATAAAAATTATTATACTTACATCTCAGCTTAAAATTTTCAGTCGTATGTAATATTACATGACCACGAATTGTTTCACCAGCGTAGTAAAATTCCTTCTCAAGTCTAATGTCGAATTCATTAATATTATCCATTTTTAAAAAATTGCAAACTTGTTAAAAGTGTAACAATCCCTCGAGTAAATGTGTAATCTTTATAAAAATACCAACAAGAATTGAGAATTTATGGCATCTATTTTTTTCTCCCTTTAACTAACACTCAGTAATAACTAACATATTATATATATATATCTTTCGACAAAAATTGCTGTACGATAAAAAGGCAACTCGAAACTTACAATACAGTTATCTAAAAATTGATGTCAATTTCCCGTCAACATGTAGTAGAAACATCCACTCAAATCCCCTGATGAATTTTTTTATCAAAATCAAATTCATGTCGAGATCCTCTTAATTCCTTCGTTTCGAACTCGTTTATTTTGGGCCATAATATATTTGTATATTCGTTGGAAGCTCTCTTTTTCTCATATGATTTTTTTTTGTTCGTTGATTCCTCTCAAAAATCGTTGATTTCTTCTTGACTATAATTGTACACTACATGACCTTTTTTTTTGATATTTTGATAAATTTATCACTTGTTTTATAATGTAGTAAATTTGTGTTTAAAATATTTTTATCCATACCAAGATGATATCAATACTCGAGCGTGACGGTATGACGTATGTAATTCACACGCGTCGAGAGGGATTGGGGTGGAAATCCCACCCCCGAGATTAAACTGAGTTCCATGATTCTGCGCCTCCTTTCCCATGGATACTGTAAGAATAAAATCGAATATTATATATCTATGCCTATTTTCTATATTTCAATAAAATTGTTAATTATTATTGTATTTTTACCTATTTTTGCAAATTATCTTCTTTATATAAAAATTTACTCTGGCTATATGTATAAATTAATTTTGAAGTGTAAATGAGAGCAAAAAAAAAAAAAAAAAAAAAAAGCGATTGACATTTACCAGATTACAAATCTGAATTTTGGAGAGAATTCAATAGTGAAACTAATTTCAAGCAGGAAATAAATGAACTGATTGTCAAATGTATTCTGAAATTACTGAGTCAGCTGAAATATAAACTGATTATAAATCAAATTGCAAAAGTAAATTAAATTTGTAAAGTTAAAAAGAAAAAATATATAGTTATAGGTAAAAAAAAGAAAATAAATATTTCAATACAAATAGAATTTTTTAAAGTGAAAAAATATTTTATTTTTTATAATAATAATAATGATTATTATTATAAATATTATAAATACTCATAAAATATTTTAAAATATAATTAAAATTACTAATTTATATCGTAACATTTTAAATATACAAAAACTAATTAATATTAGGTAACAAAATTAAAGTCTAAATTATATTAATTCACAAAAGTTTTGGCTGTTGTTTCAGTGTTGAAATATCCAAAATTTTGCTAGGGCAACTTGTTTTTGTAGCCGGAGAAATTGCCGGTCGACTTTGTAAATTTATCCTCGGTTTCTGTGGCACTGCTTCACGATTTTTTGTAATCTCTTGAATTTGAAAATTTTCTTTACCTTTATCTATAATCGAATTAAAAGCATATTTTTAATTACAATCCTAATGTAAAAAAGCAACTAGAATTAAAAAAAAAGAAACCAAATGTATAGAATAAAAATTCCAAATATAGAAACCAATATTGCAATTTCGTGCGGTTTAATCTATTTTTTAAATGAAAAAAGCTAAAAAATGTTTGCTAAAATAATAAGTGAAATTATTATTTTATAAACTATATTTTTTTCTATTTGGAAAATGTAATTAAAATTATTTTCATAATTGAAATTAAAAATAATTTTTAATTTCAACTAAAAATGATTTCAATTTTCATTTTTATTTATAATAAATTAAATAGACGAAAAATAATTCAAAATTTTACCTTCTATTAAACCGTTCATGCTTTCTGGAAGTAACTGATATCTTTGTAAATAACGCATCGTAGCAAAGGACATATTAGTCGTGCCCTGAACATTACTGACCATAACATTCGTTAATGCATCACGTTTTTGTTTCTGTTGCATTCCATCAGAAATTTGTTCTTCCTTTAAATATTTCATAGCTAAGGCTTTCATGTGCATACTAGTACTTGTTTCTGTCATAATACTTGAACCTTGCATCATATTTAATTCCGGATTTAGTCGAGAATAATACGAAGTGTCGAATGTCACTCTAAAAAAATATTTATATAAATTAATCAAAATTTGGATGGTAAATTAAAATTTCTATTTTAATTGCAGTAAAATTTATCTAAAAAAAAAAAAAATTACTTACTTTTTGTTAGCGTTAGCTTCTCTTTCATTGTCAACAAAACTAATTCCAAGTTTTGTTAACTGATCCATTGTCGCAGCTTTCACTGTATCGATTAAAATATTTTTATCCAATTCTGGATTTTTTTTATTGCGAACATCGTCCTGTAGAGGTGAATTCTGCAGGATATGATTAACTTGTCCTAAAACATTATTATAAAAAGTCCATCCAACTTTTGGAGTTCGTTTCGTGATAATACTGCCTTCTTCGCTTGAAATATCATTCATATCAATGTGAATACTTGGCGCAGGACTTGGAGGAATACGATCTCTAACTTCAACTTGTTCTTCAGCTAAAATCAAACTTTCTTCTTGAAAATTTTCTTTATTTTCATTATTTTCCCTTGTATCAAATCTTTGAATTTGCTTCTCATCATTTTCATGAGAAGTACGATATCTCAATTCATCGGTTTGTTTAGGTGTTGTATTTTTCAATATTTCTTGAGTTCTACTCAATGGACTTTGTTTTTGATAATCGTTTAAATTTCGAAATTCGTGCTTTTCTTTTGTATTTTGAAAATTCGTAATATTTGATTGATTTTGAATATTGGAACTATTTTGATGTGAATGAGAATTAACTGGACTTGATTTATTAAAATTACTTGGACTATTTGAACGATTAAAATGACTATTTATAAAATTTTTTGTATTCGCAGATTTTCCAGGACTATTTTTGTATTGTCCATTCTGAGTGTTTGAGTTTCCACCTTTGCATGATGATAAACAATTACTACTTGGTTGTTGACTAGAAGAAAGATGACTCTCGGAGTCTTCGGTGATATTTTCCAAAGCACTAGGAATTCGTGAAAAAAGATTTTGTTTTCTCTTGGAAAGATCTTGATTTATTGGTAAATTTTCTTGATAAATTTCCTCTTCCTGATGATGTTCCTCAATTTGATTCTCTGAATCATGATTAAAGGGACTATTTTGAACGGTCAATTCAAAACTTGTCATTACACCGATGGAAACTTTTCTCTCCATTAATGCTTTCTTTGATTCATTTGTTATTTGATTAAATTCGGAAATTTTTGAAAGTTCCTGATTTGAATAATTGTCTGCTGTTATGGCAGCAGTTTTTGAATGTAGAGCTGCATTATAAGCTTGCATACAAAGTTGAGAATTTTTTCGAGGAATTTCCATGTGACACATACATTTTGTTCGTTCCTTTAAAGTTTCCTCGTGAATTGATAATAAACGATCGAGCTGTGATTGTAGATTTTTTATTTGTTCATTTTGATTGTCAATTAATTTTAAAAGACCCTTTACCATTTCTCCACTTTCTGAATCACGAGTTTTATGATCGACTTGACAACAAGTGGGAAATGAATGTCTGTGATCTGATTGATGTTGAACTGACTGTAAAGCCATAGAGTTTGAACTATTTAATCGTTGATTGGATTCGACTGACGACTTTTTTAATTGATTGAAATTTTGACCCATTTTTGAATTACCGGAGAATTGTGAAGCTGATTTATAAGGACTTTTGTGTCCCGGATGGAAATTCGATGGCGATGACAAATTATCAGAACGTGAAGAATATATTTTCAAACAATGTTCAGCTTCTTTTGAAATTTTATTTTCTGGAAAAGTACTTCGAATTATATTAGAATTAATTTGGGATTTCTGTTGTTCATTTCCTTGAAACATTTTTGGATTATATTTTTGATGTTTTTCGTAAGATTGAGAAGATGGTTTCTCATGATTTTCATAAGATGGAAATGATCTTCTTTCATAGTTTTTCTTAATAGAAGGCAAATTTTCCGAATCTGCGGAAAAATAGGATGACCTCGGTAACATTGAATCAGGATGATTGTGATTTGAATGATTTTCAGAAATATATTGATCTTCAGTTGGAAAATATGATGATTTTTTAGAATCAAATTTTGATTGATTTTGAGATGTTAAATTTTCGTCGGCATTTTTTGTGGAACCTTCTGTATTATAATCTAAAGCTTTTTGTGGGAATTTTTTCTTTCTCCAAGCCGCATATGATTCATATGCAGCAACAGCTGGTGATCGTGGTATTTTATTTTCAACAGACGTTTTTTCTGGTAAATTATCATTGTTGAATGAAGTCTCAATATCAGACATTGTGCTCTAAAAAAATAGTACTTATTAAAATACATAATACAAACAATTTTAAATTAACAAATATAAAATATATAATACTCAATGTTATTAATAAATTTAACTAGTTATAAAAATATTTTTCTATCACGTTAGAAATAAATAGCCGGTTATATATAAAAAGTAAACAAATACTTATAAATGTGGACTGTAGTTATATTAAAAATTTATATTTTTACAACAATTATTTTCTTATCTAAATTATTTTCTAACTACTTCATATTTTTCTTTGTAAAATAATATAAAACAAAAATATACGTTTAAATAACATTAAAAATGAGTTAAAATATAAATAAAATTTACTGACAGAAATTCTAACCGTTTATAGTACAGTTAAACAAGATACATGTAAGAAAATTTTATGATTTTTAAAAGATAATGAATTGCTATTATCAAGTTTATTTATTGAAATAATATTTACTTACTCTTAATACGAATAAATTATAATAATTGATCAAAATAAAACTTTTCAAAAGTAAATAAGTAGACGGCTTGACAGAAGAAAAATAACGTTACTTTGTAGTTCGGCAAATTTCGGGAACAGTCGGAAATCTAACCTTTTTTTCAGCCAATTAAAAGTGAACAGTGTTTCTTACAACAACAAAGAACAAACGTCAAACATCCATAAATATTGTTGTTTGGATAAATTTTTAATGACATTTTATACAAACTAAATAATGATTGTAAACACAGAAAAAATGGAAGAATTAAATACGAGAAGAAAAATATTAAATCGCGTAGTTTGTACATTATTAGTGGAAGCTGGTTATGATAACGCTGATAAACAATGTGTTGAAGTTTTGACAGAAATGCTTCAGTCTTGTGAGTATTTTACAATTTCTGATATTTTTAAAAATTAATAATTCCTATTTATATATAATTATTTTTACTTCAATATTTTATAATTATTCTTTTAAATTAAAGCTTTCTTTTGTAAATAAACAATTTTTATAGGTTAGGTTTTTACATTCTGAATATTTTTTTTTGTATTAATATTTTTATTAATAATAATTAATTAACGAATTAAAAATTTAACACAATAATTGCAGTTATCGTTGAAATTGGCCAATCTTCGAGAAATTATTGTGAATTAGCAGGAAGAACAGAAGTTCTTATAGCGGATCTTATTCTTGCTTTAGTAAATGCTGGTATTCGAACGGATGATATTAATACTTATGCAAATAGACCAAATCGATCTATTTTACCACAATTGCAACAGCAAACACAAACAAAACAATTGAATATTTTACAAGCTGGAGTAAAACAAAATCATCCTCCTCATATACCTAGTCATTTGCCATCTCTTCCAGATCCACACGCTTATATCAGAACTCCCGTAAGTTTTTTTTTTTTTTTTAAATACATTTATAATTCATATCAAGTAATTCTTGGGTTTTATAAAAGTTTAGAGTAAAAAAAACTAGATAAAAATTATTTTAGACTCACAAACAACCTGTGACGGAATATGAAGCAATAAGAGAAAAAGTAGCTAATCAAAAACGTGATATTGAAAGAGCCTTAACGAGATTTGTTGCAAAAACTGGTGAAACACATAGTTTATTTCTTACTGAAGACAACAGTATGTTTCCCTGTAAGTAATATTTTTGTATTTTACAATTTTCCATAATTTGTACTTCAAGATCTTCAAATTTAAATACCTTTCTTTTTTTTAGTGATTGCGTGTAAACCACAGCATCCAAGTTACCTTACTGCACTCCTGCCTACGGATCAAGTTTTTGATCAAGAAACAGAAGAACAATTTGAGCCCAAACCTGTTAAAAGAAAGAAGCCAGAAAAGAAAGAAGTTGAAGAAGGTAATAATAATAAATTTTAAAAGAATAAGTACTTTTAAAATTAACTAAACTTTTTTTTTTATTTCAGAAATAAAGGCGAAAATCGATCCAGTTGATCAAAATGAAGAAACAACGACTCAGCAGGATACGATTGATAATCCATACTTAAGGCCAGTACAAATTCCTAAGAATATAGTAACTGAGTCTTAAATTTTTGAAATAAAGGGAAATAAATAAAATAAATGAAATAAATCCTTTTGATTTGTTATGTAAATTAATAAAAGCTTTTTATTATACCATGTATATATATAGCAAGTTTAGTGAACAATAAATATATAAAATTTCGATTATCAACATTCCGATGTTTCGTAATATTATATTAAGTTAGAGTTGTGCTAGTACATAAAATTTAAGCTCGATAATAAGGCAAGCACGTTTTGGAAGATATTATGATATCTAACAATTATATTAATAACAAATCTATCATTTATAATATATAAACACTTAATCTCTTATATAAAGTGATAATACTTGGAATTGCACTTGTTGCTTGGACTTGTAATTAGATTATGGAACTTGCATAGCTCTTGCTATTAAAAAATCATTAATTCTCTCTGTCAATAATATTTCATAATTTCGTTCCAAATGAAATTATGTTTGGGATTAAAAAAAATTTGCCATATTTATAAAATGATTTATACATTTTTTTTATGTGAAAAATATGACGTGTTTATAATATATAAAAATTCTTAAAATCGTAACTTAATAGAATTTTCGGTAACATTTTTCATTTTTTCTGTTAGATGAAGAAGAATTACAATTTTTCATTTTCACATTATATCTCTGTCAAATAAAAATTTATTATTAAACAATAATTTAGAATTTAGAACTAATTGAAATTAAATAAAAAAATTATATTCAAATCAAAATCAATTTTCGAGAAGCAAATTCCGTATAAATATTTCAAATGAACAAAGTAGCAAATTGTTAATATTATTCAAATAATCTGAATATAGAAAAAAAAATAGAATTTAGAAGAGAAATAATATTCACCTTAAATTGACTCTCTTTTGGCAATTATTTATAGCACCGTTTTCAGAAATTAAATGAATTTTTTAACGACTTACAATGGGTATTTATTGCACGTAACTTTATAAAAATAAACTGTCAACGTCACGTTGTGTCGTCTATTCACGACTTTAGATTCATTATATACGTGTATTAAAAAATAGTGTATATATTTTTAAACTCTACGTGATATTTAAACACTCCAAAAATTACTGCTCTAAATATCTAAATATCATGCATTAAAAATTGTTAACATTAGTATTTCGTTTACTATTGATATCAGAATATATAATATTTGGTTAAAATGTTTTCTGCTCTTGTAAATGCTGATTATCTTGAGTTTAATGTTAAATTATTAAAAAAAAAAAGAGTTACTGTATAACTCAAGAGCAGAATAATTGCAGTTTTTTTTTCTCTTTGTGTCCCTGTAATTTGAAGTTGGCAGAAATTTGACAATTATTTTGAAAACTCTTTTTATATAGAAAACCAAAGAGGCAGTGAATAAGTTTTCAGTTTCGTTTTAAAATTTAATATTGATACCAAGGCTGACGTCGAACCCATCGAAGTTTCATTCCAGATGCTGTGCGAATTTTAATACTTGCACATTCAGCAGCACGAACTGTTTCTTTTACACTTTGCATCAAATTTTGAGCATTGCCAACAAGCATATCTGTCGCTTCTTGATCTTCCTCAGTGCCTGTATTTTTTGAAAAAGAAAAAAAATCAAATTAAATAATTTCAAACACAATTTACTGTCAAATCAACTAAATTAGTTTAGAAAATTAAATACTTATTAAATTTTGTTTAATATAATTTTAGTGCTTGATATTTTTTTTAAAGGTGGATAAATTTAAATGTAAATTGAAAAGTTATCAAAATTGTGATTTTTTTTTTAACGTTTCAAAAAAGTCTAGAATATTTTTTCTTTACCATGCAAGAAAAAGGAAAATTTATCATGCACATTCTCGAAATTTTTGTACGAAAAAAACATTCATAAATGTATGTAAAAAAGAATTAACTAATGATAGAGGGTGTTCTAAGGCAAGGATCGTTATGAAAAAATATTTCTAATTTCATGTTGAATGAATAAAAACGAAAATTTTAATAATATTGTATCATGAAACAGAAAAATGATTTTTAATTTTGATTTCATCTCAATAACGGTCCCTAGTCGAAAAATTATACTAATATCAAAGATAAAAGTGCACAATATGAAAGATATAATAATAATAATTTCTTTTAAAATATGTAAATTACATAATCATTCATTGAAAAATTATTTCTAAGTGTAGCAATATATGGTGTGAAAATAATTATAAAATAGTCAAATAGTTGTTACATCTAAATTGAAAATATTTTTGAGACAATATATTTAAACAAATGTATCAGGCATGATTAAATTCAACTTTTTACCATAGAGCATCAGCTCTTCCCAGGTGGGGAGTGTTTCTAAGCAAACAAAAATTTTATAATTTCAATAATGTTTTTGACTTTTTTCTGTTCTTTTAAAAATCCTTAAAAATTTTGAGAAGTATTTATTAAAGAATAAATAAAAGTTTTCATGTGATTAATGAAATGAGTAATGTGACGACACATATGATGATTAATTTCTCATCCATTATCAACATTGGATAATTTACTTTTTTTTTTTACAAGTAATTCAATAATAATTAATAATATTTATTTTAATAGTTATAGGTCAGTAGAAAGATAAATAAAAAAAAAATGTGAATTAAATTACTATTATCCAATACTGCTATGGATGTTAAAAATTTTAGTATGAATATTTTTCCTTCAACACAGAAGTTATTAAAATGAATTTTTAATTTTAAAGAAAAATAATTACCTTGTGCTCCAAGCATTGTAGCTTTCACAGTTGACAATATTTTCAACTGTGTTCCTATCGTTGGAATACGTTCGCAAACTTGAAGTAAATTCTAAAATTTATATAAAAAAAAATTAGTATTAATTCTATTGAAAATTCTATAAATTTGAAAAAAATTTGAGAAATAATTTACCGTTCTTATACGTTTGTCAGTGCACTCTCTAGCGAGTTCTTTGGCAAGACGAGTGACTTCTTGTGATGCTTCAGCAATAGCTTTAGCACATGCTATTAAATCGCGTTTATTACCACCTTCTCCTCTAACTAATCCTGATAATCTACCCATTAAAATAGCCATCTTTTTAGCTGCCGCAATTATTTCATTATCTTTGCTTGACCATTGACGCACTTCTTGATGCAATCCATGAGCTGCCATCTAAAAAAATTAAATTATATTAATTAATTTAAATTGTAAATATTTGTTATGGAATTTTAATTTTATATCCTTTAAGAGAAATTAACTATATTTTACTGTGATTTTTATTCTAGAATTAAATTCTACTCTATAATTCTAAAATTGGTAAAAGATACATTTTATAAAATGAAAAGAGTTTGGAAAAGTTTAGGTAGAAATGTAGAAGAAATTAATTATAATATAGATTTAAAATTTGGAATTAAAAGAATTTTGAATGAGAAATTTGAAAGAATTGTGATGGTATAAGTACCATAATTGGTTGATTTGGTTGAGGGGCATGCATAAACATCTCATCTTCGTCATCTGTCTCAGGTGGTGGTGGTCTTGGAGGTGGGATGTCTCCACTGGGCAAAGGTGGACGTGGAGGAGCCATTTCTATTCAACATACAATAATTTAGGAAAGTTATTTACCATTTTTCAAGCCGTTTACTTTTTGGAATACAATAAAATACATTTTTTTTTTCAAAATTTAACATGCCTAATGGGAAAAGCAAAGCAGTGCACATTTTTTCAATATATTTTGATTTTTTCATAATATTCTTATTAAACTCTATTTAAATAATTCATTTAGTTAACAATATTTAATTTCATTTTTATAATTGAATTAAATATTATTCATATACAATAAAACTTGAAATAATTAAAATCCATGAATGCAAATTAACATGCGTCAAAAAATACAATACCTATTAAATTCTTCGGAGAACTATAATATCAGCTGTAATTAATTTTTTAAGTTTGAATTATTTTTAAATAAATAAATAATATTCTAAAATTCATCGATTGTTATGAAAAATGACAACTCTTTTCAAAATTTATCATTCAAAAATAAATAAAAATAAAATTTAGTTTATTAATTATTATTCATTGTGTTATTTTCTTTCACAATATTATGTACTTACGATTTCAATTATCTGCTGCTGTCAATTTCTTTTAAATATATGTGTGGTTTAAAATTTTTCTCCTTAGAATTTGACATGCTTTTCAAAGGTAAAATAATAAAAAAATTTTAATCATACCAGTTTTTTTCAATATTTCCCAAATTAAATTTTTTTCAAATATTTAAAATAGAAAAACATATTTTCCAATACAATAGACATGATTTTTTTTTATATTTCAAGACAAACATGCATAAAAAATATATACCTAATGCCATTCTTTTAAGAAAAAATAAAAATACAAAAATAGGTATTTTATAATGAAATTACCTCTAGCTCGATCTGATTTTTCTAATTCATCCACAGAAGCTAGATCGTGGTATAAGAGTTCAGGATTATCTCCTGATGAAATATAAAAAAAAATTGTTAGCAAAGCAACGGATTAGAAACAGCTTTAAGTTACTTGATAAAAATTTGTGTAGTGTAATAATAAAAAAATATCTAGATAATATTTTTTTTATAAAATAATTAGAAAAAGAAATATTTTAAATGAATTCAAAAAACAATAATTTTGAATTGATATTTTTAAGATTTGTGTACCTCCACGAGCCCATTTTGGTAAAGGACTGACAGGTCGATGCAGTGGTTTATGGTTCTCCATGGGAGAATTGACACGTAAATTGCTAGGTGAGGGCTGATTCCTTAAAGGTTCACCAACTAATGTTTCAAGAAGTTTTATTTTTTAATTCATTTTCCTATCATTGTCAATTATGTTCATTAATAATTAAAAATAAAAAAAATAATTACATTCAATAATATTAATTCTTATTTAAAAATAAAATAAAAAGATCTGCTTTTTTTGAAATAACATATTAGAATGGATATTTTTTTTTCAAAGAAAAACATCCAGTCGTTTTCTGAAGAAAAAAATGGGTCAATGGGTCAAATATTCTATATAAATATTCTCTGTAGGATTATCATAAAATACTCAATGGATTGAGTTGAGTTTTTGTGGAGAAGTCAAAAATAGTCTAACAATTCCCTGTGATGTGCTGGAGTATTACACAAAAATTTCCCCCGAGAATGCAATTTTTTAAGAATAAATTTTTTTGATAAAATATAAAAACTTCCGCATACCAATAGTGCCCATAATTGAAAAAATAGTGATTAAAAATACAATAAAATTGTAGAGTGAAAATGAAGTGGAAAAAAAAATAAACGAAGTTGATAAATTTGATATAAAGCAAGATCTCAAATTTTTTTTTTTTTTTTTAGAACCACCAGTTTTTTTTAAAACGATTATAAATTGATTAAAAACGAACTCGAATGCTATCATGCAATTTTATTTTTATGCATAAGTAGATACCTTTCTCTGTGAAGTAATTGCAAGGTTTGCTTGTTACATGTTGGTCTGTAAAAAAATATTATTCGATATAATTTTGTTAGTGGATCAATCAAATAACTTTCATTTGAGATCTGTTGCGGGCATATATTTTATATTCTAATTTTTAAAATGTAAATATTTAATTAATCACAAATTTTATTTTGTATTAAATTAATATATTTAAAGTTTATGGTATTACTTTATAATTCTGAATAATAAATTTATAAACCATTTTATGAAAATGTTTTTAAAGAGGAACTTTTTGTTACAAATTAAGTGCATATTGCCCTTGGACTATGAACTACAAGCGTGAACTTGGCAGTAAGCATTTTGCGCATAAACTACACTTTTTTTTTAATTTACAATATTTAAATAATTTTTACTAAATCTACATTTAGTGAAAAAAAAGTCAAAAATTAATTTTAAACAATAAAAATTGGACTTACCATCGCCAATGTGTAATTGAGAAATAGCAGGAGGCTGAATGACATCAGAATCGGCTGTGACGGCTTTCCTTACTTGACCAACTGCTCCAAGAAGCTAAAAAAACAATCAATAATTAAAACCAGTACTGATTATAACAATTACATAAAGAGGAAAAAAAACTTACATTACGATTGCTCTCTCTCCATTTAGACACCGCTGGACCATCATTTGTATTCATCGCCACTTTTTTCGCATCCTGAACCATTGGAGCAACAGCTAAAACAATAATTGATTTAATATAATCGCAATAAAAAAAAATAAATAAATAAAAAATATAAACACTGAAAAATTACCATTTTGAAGTGCATCGGTTGCTCTATTAACTCTTTCAATAAATGCAGGATCTTCACTATTATCACTCTCTTGCTTAGCCACCAAAATAACTCTATTTGCTAATCTGGCAATAGCTGAAGTATTGTCCACCATTTTTTGTGGATTATTTTTGGCAATTGCTTCCTCGCATAGGAAGGAATGTTTCTGCATTTGTTCCTCGGATGCCTTAATAAAATCTCCACTATCAGTCGCTTCATCGCATAGTGCTCTTACTCTCTGAATTGTATCCGCATATTGCTGCCTTAAATTTTCAAAATGCTCATCAGCTGCCTTACTTTCGGGATATGTCATTCGGATACGTCCAGCGTTCACTAGCTGCGGAGTCAAGGACTCAATTTGTGATGCACTGGTATTCAGAGCTTCGGCTAATTTTTTATTTCCACCACTTCCACCAGCTGCCACCATTTTTGCCGTTTTCGCTGCCCTATTTGAAAACGTTTGAAGGGCAAGTGTTTTATCATTAAAGTTCAATTCTCTATTTGGTGTTCCTTCAGGAGCGAGAACGGCTTCTGTGAATTGTTTTAAAGGCGTTGTGATGTCAATAAAATCTTCAACCACACGTGACACAACAGCTTGTTGTATTTTATTTTTTAATTCATGAAGTTTGTGCGATAATTGACGAGCAATTTCCTGAGCTTGAGGACTTGATCCTTGTCCACGATGACAAAGATCTTCCAGTTGACGTGACAAACTCTCGACCTCATCGCAAAGTTGTAAAATTTCGGCTTTGTGAATTCCTGGCAATCCATCAGCTACCTAAATATCAAGAAAAAATTCATTATATTTAAGTTTAATTTTAAACATTTTTTTTTTTGTGAGATTTATGACAAGTGAGATCTGAGATCACATTAAAATTTTAACAGTTTGATGAATTAGATCCACGCGCGCATTTCTCTAGTTAAATGAAATGAAGTTTTAACTCTGGATACATCCTAAATTAAATTAACTTACATCCACAAATTGATGATTCTATCCATTTGTATTGTTTTGAGAGCAAGAAAGAAGATTACAAAGCTCAAAATTACGGTTAAAAAAATTATTAATCCTTAAAATGATTACCTTTTTTCCCTCGTGAACAATTAAGGCAATTGCTTTACGGCCAAGTCCCTTGTCGTCGTGCTGAGGATTCAAAAGCCATTTATTGGCTTGTTCAAGACGACCAGCGACTGTATGAGCTGCCTGAACGGTTCCTGATTTATCAGCTGCTACAAGAGCGGAGGCAACATTTGAACGAAGTAGATTTAGCTTTTCTTTAATGCTTCGAGCTAATGCTTCCGCTTGCGGAGTATTGCCTGTAATAATCATAATAATTTATTTTTCCATAAAATAAGAAATTAAAAGAAATTTAATATCACAATTAAAAAAAACCTTTTCCTTGTTGACGAAGTTCGCATAAAGCATTTGTCATTGTAGTGATTTCAGACGCTAATTTTGCCAGCGGCTCAGCTTGCGAGGGTGGAAGATAACGATCCGCCAATCGTTGAGTTTGTTCTATTATTTGACGAATACTCTTTTCGCCAACTCCTCCACGCAAAGCGTCGCCATTGTCAAGCCAATCGAAAGCTTCTCTTATTCGGGATTCTATGGCACTTTGGGCTTTCTTCAATACCTAAATAATTTTTTATTCAAAATTAGAATTAGATTAGAATTTCACATACTTTTTCTTTGTATTAAAAATTATAAAAAAAATTAATACCGTCAATTGATCTGCATCCCATTCTTCCTCATCATAAGTCGTCAACTGGAGAACGCGAATAATTTCATTTAATTCATCAGACATTCGTCCTGATAGATAATTACGATTTTCAGCTGCCTCTTCTGCTCCTTTTCCACCATGTGAAATAATGTGAATAAAAATTTTCATTGAACAAATAAGAATTGGAGCAAGTGTCTTAACTTGTTCAAGGCACCGGACTAAAATTTCTCGATGAACTTGATGAGTTAATTCCTTTTCACGAGCACTTACTTCTCTTGATACTTTGCTAAGGCATGGGCTAAGATTTTTCAAAAAGTGCACCAAATCTTCCATTGTCTCAATGACTTCTGCCACTGCTAAATAATCCAAAACTCGTTTGCATTCGCGAATAATTTTACGAACTTCGCTCTCATCAAAACATAATAAAAGTGAACTTGTTCCTTGTAGTATACCACGTGAACCTTCAATTAATTTTTTTCTGAAAATTATGTTACAAACATTTCTTTTAATAAACAACACATTTACAAAAAAATAATATTTTTTTTAGTTTTCAATTAATTGGAATTAATTCAAAAATCAAAGTTGGACACGTCAAATTCATTGAATTATATTAAAAATATAAACTGAAAACATTATTAAATAGGCAATTTTATTAATAAAAACACAATAAAATTTGGAAGCTCGAAATATGTCAATAAAAAATATTAATCTAAATTTGAAAACACTGAAATTATTAAATGCATTCAAAGTTATTTCTTTTAAATCTAGACATTAAAAGACTAAATTTATATTCAATGTTCAAATGTGGATAGTTTAAATATCAAAAATGCTAAAATTTACTACAGCTATGAAAAACATGTTTTTTTTAAATAAAAAATTAGAAGAAAATTTTCGTATTTAATTTTTGTTTTCTTCTAACTAATTATTAATTAGAAAAATACAACATTAAAATGGTAAGTTCTTCATTTTTTATCTGAAAAATTTAAAGCATTCATAATTAAAAGCCTAAAAAAGTGCAATATTAAATTTTCGTTAAAGATGAAAAATTTATATAATCGAAAAATAATTCTCTTGTTTATAATCTCAAATAAATGTCACACTTGACAAATAGTTTTTGTCTTGTGACATTAATTTTAGATTTTCTAATGAGCAAGGACACATTTTTCACTCTATCTCGGTTAGACTCCTTTGAAAACATTAAACAAATTTTTAATACAACTTAAATTTAAAAAAAAAAACCCCATACCTTGACTGCACAGTAAATTGAGTATATTCAAATTTGGTTAATTTGGAAATTGTACGACTGGAAATTTAAAATTCAAATATTTTACGAAAAATAAGTTGAAAATTGGAATAAATAATTCGAAATTTATAAAAACAAGTTGGCGAAAAGAAGAATTTTCATAGAAATAATATTGTAAAAAGAATTAAGAAATTAACTCCACCTTGCAGGACCAGAATAGGGGTCTGCCTTAAGCATTACTGAAGCTTCTTCTAAAAGGCGAGAAGCTCCTTCAACCCTGTGAAGTGAACTAGGCATATCTTGCTTTAGTAAGGCATCATCGGACGAATTGATAGTTTCCTTTCCAACCTTTAATAATGTAAAAAAAAATTAGATTTTTAATTTCATAAAAAATAAAAATCATTTTTACTTACTTTTACAAGATTCGCCACAGCCATGCTAACGGCCTGAACAGGCCTTGACAAATCTGGCATTGCATTTCCATCTTCGGCTTCTTCATGTAAAATGACAAGTCTCGATACCTAGAAATCAAAATAAAAAATCATTGAAATTTTCTTTAATTCATTTAAATCAAATATAAACTGTGTTGATAAATTTTACATTAAATTTCCTTGTTTTGTCTTTTAGATTTAATTTTTTTCACAAATTCATAATATACTTTTTTTTTTGTATTGAAAACGAATTAATTTTTGACTTTAAAAAAATAAAAGTGTAAAATCGAAAATTTACTGAACCTGGACTATGATATAAAAAAGTCTCCATTCAATTACATTAAAAATAAATTATAATTATAGTCTCCTTGTATGGGCATATGTCTTGAATCATTTTCATAAACCAGGTGGGCACTGGAGGAAAGACTATTCACATTTTAAGTTATTGCGTTAGGAGAAAGGGAACACCTCATAGCTCAGAAGTAGCTCTATATTGTGTAATCAAGCCTTTGGCTTACACCACTGTACCAAGGAGGTACCTTTATTTTTACCACACTTATTTTTAGTACCCACATAATCAAGAAAATTTATTCCCTGGAAGAACTAGAGCCTTATGAAATTTTGCTTTCAAAATCCAATAGTACATATACTATTTATTGTAATTCATCAATTATTATATAGATTGATCCTTATTTATATACATCTAGAAATATTTAAATCTCAATTTATTTTTGTATAACCATTTTTGGAAGTAGCAGATGTAGGTACTAAATATTTTTTGTTTTTTATTCAAAAAAGAAATTTTGTAAGATTCCAGCTCTCTCTCTAAATTATTAGCCTGGCCTTCTTTTCTCTTCTTAATGAATGACATCACGCCTATTTATAATCACGTGTGTAAAAACTTCCAAGCTGAGATTTTAAAATCTATCTCTTATTCACGATTTCTTTCTTCAATTTTCTAAACATTCAGTTTATTTTTGTTACTTTAGTGACATATATTCAGGGCATTTAAACTTCAACAGATAATAAAGGTGTCCATTAAAAACTATTAGTTTTTTTTTCAGGAATATTACAAACAAGCATTATTAAACTTTTGGCAATGGGATTTAAATTTCGTAATTCTAATGTTTTTGTTCTACTTCCCTCAAGTTTCATAGAATTGAAACCATTATTTTGTCTCAAAAACTAAAATTAATATTCAAACTAAATCAAAACAAAAAAAATTAATTTTTAAATTGTTTTTAATACAAATTTTTTTATTTAAAAAAAAAAGATGTTTAAATACATTGAGATTCTGCCTTTTTTCTTATATTTTTTTAAAAGATATTTATATGCAAAATAATGTTTTTTATAATTAAGTATAAAAAAATGCAATGTAAGCAAATTTTTGCAAAAAAAAGAAATGTGGAACATTCCAAGCAATTGTCATATTAATATAATATTAATTTAAAAATTATAATACATTTTAATATTTTACAATCATTGATTAAAAACAATTCCATTAGGTGATTTTATGAAAATTTAACAACACAGTTGTCGATAAAAAAAATTAATTAGAAACTGACAAAAAATATTTTTTAAAAATATACCTGCTGTGCGACAGGATCGAGAATACTCTCTATTGTTTTCGTGTGGAAGACAGGCATATTTCTCTCTTTTTTTTATAACTTTTATAGGTTATCAGCAACAAAAACTTAAAACAATTTTTAATCACAAAAACAAATGTGTAAACAACTTAAATCATATATAAAACAATATAAATTAATACCGCATAAAATGTCAAATAATCAACACCCAAGAACGGGCAAAACTTAACTGACGGTTCACAAACCAGCAAACAACACTTGTAAAAAAAATCAGAAAAAATACAAATTTCCAAATCGCGGCATATATATTTTATGTACAGTTCACATGTACCTTTTTAAATGTTACGATGAGTTTAATTTGAATATTTTTTAAATAAATTAATTCAATCATGAATTATTTTGAAAAAGTTTAATACATTAATTATAAAAAAAAACATAAAATTTATGAGGCAAATTGAAAAAAATAACATTTAAAAATTCTAACCTTATTTCACCTTTAAACTTGATAACCAATCACATAAAAGACTCATGATTTCTCAACCAATGAGAAAGTAGTTTATTTAAAAAGTTACAGAAGAATTATTCGCTTCTCTAATTTTCATTGGTGGATAAACAAAAATTGGGTCCGTTTTTCACTTTTTCTTGTGGTATTTTTCACTTTCCTCTGTATCGGGTTATTGCACGAGTGAGATATGTACAGACATATGTTTTTCGGGTCGCACACTGAGGTAGTCAAAGCTGTGCCGACTCATCTTTTCTGCAAAAATAACATCTTATTCTCCATTTGTGCAACGCAAACAGGCGTTCAACTAGGTAGCGGTAATTAAAGAGTGTTAGCAAAATGATTATAACTTTAAAAAACCTTCAGCAACAAACCTTTACCGTTGAGATTGATCCCTCAAAAACGGTAAGTAAAAAACATAAGTGCCGGAAAGATAATTTAGTTTCAAAGAAAAATCTTCATTTTTATCATAATCTACTTTTTCTCTAGGTAAAGGAACTTAAAGATAAAATAGAAGCTCAAAAAGGACTTCCCGCCCAACATCAAAAATTGATATACGCCGGTAAGCAAAGTTTCATTCCTTTATATAACCTCACTTCTTGATTAAGAATTAATAATTGTACTTTTGTTTAATCTACTATTATTATATTCTCCCATTTTTTCATTTATGTTGATTAATTACTTGATATTTCTTTAAGTATTTATAAATTTTAAATTAATTTTCAAATTTCCAGAAAAAACTAGGTTAGGATTTATTTACAATACATTATTTGTATTGTATTAAGGTATTAACAATAAAATGATATTTCTGATGATATTTCAGAAAATTTATAAACAATAATCGTGGAAATTTGAAAAAATATGAAATTAAATACATAAAGAAATATATTTATTTGTAATTGAATACTTTCAAAATCTCATGAGTCATTATTCGTAAATGCGTTATAAATATCTTTCTTCTTAATAGAAAAAAAAAAAAAAATGTTTTACAGGAAAAATATTAACGGATGAGCAACCATTGACAGAATATAATATCGATGAGAAGAAATTTATTGTTGTTATGGTTTCAAAACCAAAAGTCGGAGTTAGTCCTAGTACGAGCGAAGAGGTAAAAGCTGACGGCGATAGTAGCAAAGAACAATCAACGCCAAGGTAATTTATTTTTAATTTTTAAAATTAGATTTTTTATTCAATCTATTTTACATTTGTTAAATTAAAAAATATTTTTATTTAGCTTATTGATAGTTTTATTTAATTTTTTTTTTTTCATTTTATTAATTATTTTCGATATAGCATAGCAACGCAACCTAGTTCAAATCCTGCACCACAAACACCACAACCCACTGCAACACCACAACCAGTTGCAACGCAACAACAACAACAGCAACAGGATTCTGCACAGCCAACTATAACAATAACAGGTCCTGAAGGTCAAGCAGAAGGTGCGTTGCTTATGGGCGAGCAATACAATTTAATGGTAACCAATATAATGGACATGGGGTGAGAATTTTTCCGAATTTAAAAAATTTTTTTAAAAATATTTTCTAACAAAAAATCCTAATGAGCTGGAAATTTTTGTAGATATCCTCGGGAACAAGTTGAACAAGCGTTGCGGGCCAGTTTTAATAATCCTGATAGAGCTGTGGAATATCTTTTAACTGGAATTCCCTATCAGCTATTGGATGATGCGGCTGAGGATCAAGCTGAAGCACAAGATGCTGCTCCACAGGATCAGGGTCAAGATCCTCTTGCATTTTTACGTTCACAGCCACAATTTCAACAAATGCGCCAAGTCATTCAACAAAATCCACAATTATTAAATACTGTTTTACAGCAAATCGGTCACACTAATCCAGCCCTATTGCAACTTATTTCTCACAATCAGGAAGCGTTTGTGCGCATGCTTAACGAACCTGGTAAGTTCTTTATTTTTTTTTTTATATAATTAATTAGACGAAATAATTAAAATACTATTTGTTAGTAAATAGAATCTGTCTTTTAATAATTGCAACAAAGAAGATTTTTTTGTTGGCAATTTTCCATGAATTGAACTTTTTGCGACTTTTGTTTGTCTGTAATTGAATACAATGATTTTAATTATTTAGTAGGTGCAAGTGGAGGAACGCCAGCAGGAACTGCTCCAGTTTCAGCAACAGGTGGAACAGTTAATCCTTTATCAGGAAGTGGAACAGGTACAGGGACAGGTCCAGCTGTAATTCAAGTGACTCCTCAAGATAAGGAAGCAATCGAGAGACTAAAAGCCCTTGGATTTCCCGAGCACCTTGTTGTTCAAGCGTACTTTGCTTGTGAAAAGAATGAGAATCTTGCTGCCAATTTTTTACTCTCACAAAATCTTGACGATTGAAAGAAAGAGACGATAAATTGCTATAGAATTAGGAATCAGGTACAGAACGGGTATGACTTCGTTGTTGATTTTAGAAAGGTGCACTTGACGTTTTTGACTCATTAGTTGTCCGAGTATCTATCAATTCCGGTAAAAAAAAAAGATCTATTTGTTGAAGACTTCGACAACGCGCAAATTTTACCATAAAGAATATTGTTAGTGTTATTCTTAAAAGGAAAATGAAAAAAAAACGTTTTAAGCGCAAGAAAAATTCACTTTGCTTGGTAAGAATGAAAACGCTTTTTTTAATTCTCTATTTCTAATTAACTATAAACTGTGACAGTAAATTATTTTTCTTTTTCAATAATGGAATATTGTTTCAAAAAAAAAAAAAAAAATAATAAAAACAGAAAAATGATTCTCAAAACAATTTCAAGTTATTTTTTGCTTTGGAGAAATTCAATGAGAACACAAGAAGATATAGGCACATTTTATGAGTGATGTGTGCGTATGTGTGAGCTTCAGCGTGCAGCACGCCCACGCTCTTCTTTGTTTGGCGTGCGTTTATAATATGTATTTGTATATATGTATATACGTCTTGTGTTTTCATTGATTTTTCCAATGCAAATTAATTATATTTATATACTAGATAATATACTTTTAAGATCTCTGGAAGCTCTTGAAAATGTAGAGAAGAAAATGGAAAATATTGCAAAATTTCTAAATTTTTCATCAGCGAATGTCAACACATCCACGACTAATAAAAAAAAAAAAAAGAATGTTTTATAATTCACGAAGAACAATGAATAGTTAAACAAGTTTCTCATGCTTGTGTACAGCTATAGATGCATTGAACATTAAACTATATCTAATTTGTATTTATTAATCGATAGCGAAGAAATGTTTTTCGCCGTTAAGCTAGAAAGCCTAATGATTTTTCGATTTTCAAAATATTTAAAAATTTCAAGGATGTATAGAGTTAATCCTTGATAAATGAATAATGTTATATGTTTCGTGATTAAAAAAAGAAAAAGTGAATAAAAGTGCAGATATTTAAAAAAACAAAAAAAAAGTTGCATATAAGCGCCACTTAGTAAAGTTTTAAAAAAATTTAGAGTTTTAATGAAACAGTAGCTTGCACAAAGCAATAATGTAAAAGGCGCATACTTTTTTTTCTTCGTATTTCTTAAAATGTATATTTTTTTACAATTGCATGGAATTTAGTTTTGATTCTTATAATCACAGAAACTTTATTACCATTATTCATTTTGAATTTGTTGAATTTAACTGACAAATATTTTAAATACTTTTCAATTAATTTTTCTTTTTAATCTGATGAAATATATGAGAATTGAGTAAAGGCTTTCGGATTTTACGTGACAGTTTAATAATAATATTAAAAAAAATAATATTAATAATAATAAAAATAATAATAATAATGATAATAGGACAAAATTTTCAGGACATACACATATTTGACAATGATCGTTATAATAGAAAAAACCAAGTGTCGAATTTATAAGCTGGAGAACATATATTTAGAATTTTGTGTGCATATAGACATGTTTAATTAAGAAAAATGTCATTCTTTTTTAAATATATATATATATATATATAAATTTTTTTTAATTCAAAAAGATATTAAATATTAACAATTATTATTTTAATATTGGTTTTGTGTTCGAACAAAAATTTCATTTCGGTCTTACAAAGCAAAGATACTTGTAATACTAATTATAAATACATAAATTCAATAAATACTTTAAGGTTTTCAAATAAAAAAATAATTTTTGTTTTAATTAAGGATAACCAGTGCTATTAGTTTGTCCATTTGTAATTAATATATCTAAAATAATAAAAAATAAAAGTTAAGATTTCTAAAAAACATAGAAATAAATTTATATTTAAATTTAAAAAAGTACATATACATAAAAAGATAAAGTAGATGTCTCTGCATACCCGACAAATGATATTCTAGTTCCCTTGAAAATATATATAATAAAAATTTGCAATTTACTTTCAAGTAAATTTTTCTTTAAAAAAACTACCCTTTTCTGCTTTTTAATATTTGAATCTTTATTCAAACATATGAATATCGTAAATATAACGGGATAGAAGCGGGTGAGTAACAAAATTTTCATTCAAAAAGTGAGGTTAAGTTACTATTGTGCATTTTTATTTTAAATCATTGGAATGCGGTAAAAACATACATATCAATCTAAAAATATATTTTTTCTCAAAAGAGAATCTTTACTTAATAACATTTTTAATTTAGAAGTAAATTTCACTCGATTTACGTCATTATTTAATACATTGTCTATAATATAGAATCTATGTCACTGCGCCTGAGTGCGACGTTTATATTAGTTACTCTTAAGTGATTGCTATTTACTTTTTAGAAAGATGAGAAATTACGCAATAAATTCGGCATTAGAATGACATTGAAAAATTCATTTTATTATAATAGAAGAAAAGTTTTTCAAGAAGATGGCTTCACGAATAGTAGCTAGTGCTACAGTCAGAGCTGTCAAAGGAAGAAAAATTCTTCCTACTCGAGCTGCTCTAGTTTTAGTAGGTTTTTACTTTTCAATTTTTTGGTTACTTTAACCTATTATTAAATGTGGTATAATGTTTTAATTGTTTAAAAAAATGTATATATTTGCTAATTAATTTCTTGATATTTATACAGACAGCCAATGCAGTTAAGAAAATAAAAGAAATTTTAAGAGAGAGATCGGACTGTGTGAGTTTAATTTATTAATTAATGCTAAGTTGAATGCTAATAAAAAAATCTTTCAATAATAATGTAATTATTATTTACAGATTGGTCTTAAAGTTGGAGTAAAACAACGTGGTTGTAATGGACTTAGTTATACGTTGGATTATGCAACAGAAAAAAGTAAACTTGACGAAGAAGTAATTCAGGATGGTGTAAGAGTGATAATTGATAGAAAAGCACAACTTTCACTCCTAGGCACTGAAATGGACTTTGTAGAAAATAAATTAAGTTCCGAATTTGTATTTAACAATCCAAATATTAAAGGAACTTGTGGTTGCGGAGAAAGCTTTTCTGTATAAATAGTAGTAATAATTGAAAATTATGTACAAAAGTTTAAATGAATTCTAGTATCACCTATTTTTTCATTGAAATAGAGCAACGTAAAAGTATTATACTTAATTATTACAAACTGTAATGGTAAGTAAATCAATTAATAAGTGATATTTTTACTACTGTTTCTGATGAATATACGTAGCTCTTTGCTCTCTCAGAAAAGCAAGCATAGGAACTTAATAATCTCAATATAAAACTTCTTTTAGTACTTTTGATTTTATAGTCACAAATTTATTAAGGATTTTAAGATAATATATAACACTACTTTAGTTAATACAATTTGTTTTCTTGTTGTGAATTTAGTAGCTTTTTATGTTCATTGTTTTGTGAGCTACTAGAAAAATAAACATAAATTTCTGATAAAATGTTTGTATTTTCTTTATAATATACTTCATTTTACTTTGCTCATCTAATAAAAAATCGAAATAATTTATTTCGTCTCATAATTAAATTATTAAATAAAATATTTTTTATCTACATACAATAATTTAATATAACCTCACTTTTCATCAAACTTAAAGTACTATTCATCGAATATTGTAGTGACAGCTTAAATCGAATTTCAAACTTTTTCATTGGTGGACTGATTTTGGTAGAATATAATAGCCAATCAAAATGGTTCATTTTGTTCTCATTAAAAAAAATAATTACCTATAGCTGCTTTTTATATATTGTTTTGTAATATTGTCAATTTTTGTTTATAATTATAGTTTTATCAGTGTATTCCTATGTAAATCAATGTATATTCTCAGACAGTATTCAAACTAATTTTTTGTATTCCAAAAAGTATTGTAATAAAATGATCGTCCTTGAAGTGCTATAGGTATACTGATTGCAATCCATTACGTAAGCGGTATTTTTTTGATAAATTTCATTATAACTACAGCTTATTACTTTAGGAAAATCGTGAAAAATTGCTGAAATAAGTTAAATTTATATATAATTAATTGTTAGAAAATCTTTTATTTTCGTTTAAAGTATGAAGGTGACCTCATGAAACTCTACGCAATCTGAAAATAATCTGAAACAAAATGATTCATTTTCCCTATTGTCATATTCCCCTTTGATTGGCTACAGGTTCTACTTTACACGCATGTTATTCAAGGTACCCCCACCAATATTTCACAAATTCATTTAAAAATTGCTTAATTAATATATTTAATTTCAAATTAGTAAATAGAAATTCACGAAATTAATTTCAAATTATTTTTCTTTACATATTTTGGATAATATTCTTTTCTAAGGGGAAGTTTATAAATATATAATGTGTGCTAAGAGACAGAAAGGCTTTCTATTGGTCGAATAGTTAAACATCATTTTTTGAATCTTAAAAACTAAAATGTTGAAAATTAAATGTTGATCTAGTTAAAAAATGATTTAAAAGAAATAAAACTTTAAATAAATGTATATAAAACTATTTTTAATTGCCGTATTGCTCATTGAAAGAGAATAAATGGTAAAAAATGAAGAAAACATTAATTCTTTAAAGGGATGAATGGCTAAAAGTGGGGGAAATTGACACGTTTTCTCCGCTAGAGGCGCTGTATTCGAAACAGCGTGGGGCAGGGACAATCCAATGCATGCGACTAGACTCGGAGGCACTCGGGGAGGGTATGCGAACGGAGCACAGTTCAGTTGTCGCCATTACGGCCTCCTGTGTTGTCGCATTCATTGATACTCGCGCGTGGAGCCAATTTTCAGCTAGCCAAACTCCGGGCAAGGGCCCATTAAGAGGAATTTCCCCCATGCAGGAATATTGCAACCAGCTGGCCCAAAAATTGTTGCAATCTATTGACTCGGAGTATAATGTAAGTGTCTTAATTCCGCGAATGAACTGCCCGTCCGTACAGGCACCCGTCCTTTCAGGCACTCTCGCACCTCCGCTACTATTCTCCAATTCTCGGCGTGCGCGCGCCGAGAAACTGTCTATCTTCAGTAGAGTGTGAGTGAATACAAGCGTACGTGTTTAGTGTGTGACAACTTCTCTATCTCTCTCAATGTCGGTACAAGCAATCAGGTTGTCTCTTTCTTTTCAATATCCCTGAAAGCCAAACCTGGTTTTTTTGGAAAAATAGTTTCAAACCATTGCTCAGGATGGCTCAGGATCACGTTTGCACAAGATTTCATTTAAATATCCTATTCCTGGTCCATTTTAGATTTGGACGTTTTAAAAGTCAAGGAGCAGGAAAATGATCAAAACCGACCTGCTGGGTGTCTTTTGGACATTTAATTTTTTACAAGAACGTGAATAATGATTATGATGATTTAAATGAATTTTCTATTTTGTACTATAAATGTTTTTTTCGTTTAGGTATTTTTTAAAATTCGAATTCAATGGCTTACTTAATAGTCGAAAAATTTCCCATTCTCGTGGCAATGGGACTCATGGGTTAGATCGGGGCAGATTTTACAGTTTCAGTTTCCTCTGGTTAATAATCTTGGGTCAAAATCAAGAGAAGTTGTTTTTAATTTTTGTATAGAATGACTTTGTAATGAATATGTTTTAGATAATTTGTGTTAAAAATGTATTGAAAGTGATTTGATAGCGGAAATAAAAGTTGAATCTACGTGCATTGGGCTTTCGTCATGGTAAGAGTTTCGATATTTGGAGATATTTTCAATAATTTTCGACATGTCAAACGTGTTTGTTTTTGCAAAAACATGTGATTTGTACAAGATTTTTAATCAATTTGCCTGTTTTTATAATTTTTCGAGAAAATAGTACGCCCATCGATACTCGTGTGCGTGCGTGGATTTTTTGATTGTGTTGGGGTCATGTATACGTGTTGCGTTCACGAGCTCTTAAAGCATATAACCTCATTTTTCAACGAATTATGGTGTAGATTATATGCTCATAACTATTTTTCGAATAAACATTTATTGTATTCGGTTTAATAATATTTTATTTATAATTTTCTAATGTCATTGTCAAAAAAAAATTACAATATTTTTAATTTTTGTGTAAATTTTCAAGTATTTGTACTTAAGAATGATTTTTAAGTTTGTCATCGCTCACAATAATGGAAGTAAAAAAAATTCTTTGTGTGGAAAAATTTTTTATCGTTCTTTTATCGGTGGATAATATTACCCTAAAGATATGGTCCATCCTTTTTACTTTTTCACTCTATGTAGTATTTAAGTAATATTACAAAGATGATAAATAATGCTGTATAAAAAAAAGGTTTTACTTTATAATTAGGTAATATTAATTATACTGCATTTATTTTCAATTGTAAAACATTTTTTTGCATTTAAAAATCATTGAGGTAAATAAAAATTTCTGCAAATATATAATACATTTTAAATCTTTTTTCCTGATACTTTATAAATTTTTTTTTTTTTTTTTTTGTCTATTTGAAAATGGGTGTTCAATATTGCAAGCGATTAGCATTCAAACATTTCTTTTGGTAAACATAATTTATAATCTTGAAATTTCTGATTTTAAAAGTAAGCAAATTGCAAAGCTTTAGAAAATAAATTTCTCTATAGCATTTTAATGACCATCATCCATTAGAAAATCCATAACTTCTATAGTGCTTGCACATCATAAGAAATCAATTAAATATTAATTTACAGTTTCTAATGAAGTTCTATTGAGCATAATGTATAGAAATTTTAATTGATTTGGTTTAATTAAATTCCAATAATGTAACAAACTTTTAAACAAATTTATCAACACGTAAATATTTTTTTTTTTATCAAATTTGCATTTAATGTTTAGGTCGTCAACATGGCACTTGTTGTGGAGGTCATCACAAGTCTGGAGACAATTTCAATCACCAAAGAAGTGCTTGAGGTATTTAAGACAATATTTTCATTTTTTTTTTCAACATTTATCTGGTAATAAATTTTTATAAAAATATTAATTATTACTACGTATTATTGTTATAATTATATTAATTTGTATACATTAACGTTTAATGATTCAATCATTACAAAATGTTCTGCAATCGTTGATGTAGAAATTTTCTTCGACACTTTTAGAACTCAAAAAATGTAATTATATATAAATAATAAATTTTTCTTTTTTAATCATTTAATGAAATTTTTAGGCAACGAGGATTGGACTTTACATCAATAAACTTCGACGGAAAACAGGAAATGTTGAGTTGGCGAAGAGAGCAAAAAATTTGGTTCGACGATGGAGGTCATTTTGTGTGACAAATGAACCTACGCCTGCAGATCCTGCACCTCCAGCACTTAATGGAGCAAGACCTCATAGTCCGGCTTTAAGGGGTTTGCAGCCTCAAAGTCCTCTGTCGAGAACACCTCAATCTCTGAGGGTGAGTGCGCCTCTATTTTTGCGGGATTTTATTCAACATAAAAAAAAAAGAATATTAGAAAACAGAGGCTCCATGAAAAAGAAAATCGCGAGTTATCTTTCCTTTTTCTTTTTGTGAATTAAAAAAGAAAGTTTCTTCTAAAATTTCATTCTAAACTAAAGAATTTTTAAGGATAAAAAAAAATTTCCATAACAATTTCTTGAATTAAATAAACGCTTATACGAGTGAATTTCCCTCGTTTTAAAAAAAGCGGACCTTTAAATATTTTATTCAACTTCTTTTGTAACAATAGAACATTTTTAAATAGCCTATTGTAAATTATGTTTTGACTTTTCTTCAAAACTACCTGTTGAATTACCAAGGATTGCAATCAGTCTTTTATACCTTCTGGGGAATCGGGGGAAAAAGAGGTACCCTCCCTTTCCCTGTAGAAAGTAGTTGTCAGCAAGACGAAGTTATCTTTAACGGCAATCGAAATAAACCCCCATGGCTGTTGGTAAAGAGGGAGACGCTTGGTTGGCGGTGAGATCCCGTTGAGGAAATTTCAGCTGTGAACAGAAGAGCAGATGGCCACGAATGGCAAAATTCGTTTGGTGCTGTGCTCTTTTTAAACTGAAATCCCTACCACCATTGCGTCCCCACTTATTACAAATATTAGTTGAGTTTGCTGCCGACAACGAAGGGAATTGTACATTCGGAAATTGTCGGAAACATTCGGTAAAAGCTTATAGAATATGCTGTGTATATAGGTGAAAATATATATGATTTCTTTTGTCCCCCTCGGTTGTCTTGTCCCTTTACAAAATACAGTAGGCTTCTCTCCCCTATATTATATTTTTTTTTTTTTTTTTTTTTTTTTTTTTTTTTTTCTTTTAAAATTCAACGTTCTTGTCATATAAAAATATAATTAATTTTTTTTACTGTTATGATTAAATTAACAAAAATTCTCATGAGAATATTTATTTATAAAAACCAGGGTGTCAGGGAACTTTTTAAAAATTTGCCAAAAATTAACATTTTTATGAATTTTTAAAATTTTTCATTTCAAGAAAAAGTTTATAATGCTAATAAATAAAATGTTTTTTATTATCTTAAAAATACTTTTTATTTCTTTAATATTAAATATTTATTTTAAAAAAGTTGGAAGAAGGTTAGAAAAAAGTCAGGGATTTTTTTTTGTACACTCTGAAAAACAATATGTATTTTTTTATAAAAAAAAAAAAATGGAATTTTTCTTATCTAAAGCATTTCTAAAGGAAAATTTTGTTTTTAGGTACTGAGTCCAGCGCTGTCAGTAAACAGTGAAACGTCTCGTTCGCCAAATGTGTTTCCCCATAAGCAAGCAGTATCAGCATTAAACAATCACCGATTAAATTTCACCGGCTGTCTTTCTGAGAGTAGGACAGTAAATCAGAATCATGCCACTGAGGCAGTACCACGAACCCACAGTTCGAATAAACGTTTGCGAAAAAGTGATACAATTATTCAAGCTCATGGTCTTCTGCAACCTGGTCCATCATGCACGGACAGTGAACCCGATCCAAAGAGGCAGCGCCTCAATGGTGACGCTTCATGTAGCAGCGTAAATTCGCAAGTGCCTAATCCCTCTCTCAGTGAGCAACTTTCTCAACATTCGGAAAATTCCCTTACATCTGAAAGCACACCAACTTTGAAAAAGCGCGGCAGGAAAAAAGGCAGTAAGTCTATTAAACCGCAGCTTATCGAAGATGACATTAAGGAAAAACTTGCCAGCATTGCGCGTAATCCAAAAGTCAAAACAACACAGGAATTATTGGCCGATCTTCAAGCACGAGGATCAAATTCAAGTTTTAATTTAAATCCATTACCTAGTCACAGTATAGAAACATCAATTGGAGAAAAAGTTTTAAGGAGCGAAGACGGATCAAAGTCAAAGTACCAAAGCTCCAAAATTCAAAACAATGAATCTTCATTGCAAGATCGTTTATCACCTGAGGAAAGTAGACAAAAATCGTTGAAATCTGATGATGAAGATAATGACGATGATGATGATGAGGAAGACTCGAGACATCAACAGGATCTCACTGTTAAAGAAATTCTTGCAAAGTTACCACCATTGGACATTAAATCAATAGTGTGGAGTGATGAGGAGATTGATGTTGATCGGAATGATGATGAAAATGGAGTCGATCTTCCTCCACGTGATGTGTCTGCTGAAGATCTTGAGAGGTTACACACGGAATGTGTGCAAGGTCTCAATGGTAACTATCAGCCAAAATTCTTATCCCTTACTTTAAGAAATAATGATAAGGCTGATAATAATCAGGATGACGCTGTGAATGTAGAAAAATTAGGTTTGTACAGGCGCGCGAACGAAAAGAACGATGAAGAATTTCGGGAGTGGCACGAAATGCTCGCGAGGCCAACTTGCGATGGCCAAATCCTCCACATATTGCCTTATGTTATCATCGATTAGTCACTATTACAATATTGTTGTCTTTATTATTATTTTTTTTTTTTTCGAGTAACCTTTCCGATTCTAGATTTCGATAGATCGTCAATTCCGACTTTTTCCCCTTCCTCAATTGTTTTTTGTGACCCTATTTCAATATTTGCCCGCTGAACGTTTCTCGATTTTAAATAAAAAAAAAGCTTTACTTTACATTAATTCTCTCTTTACAAATCAAGGAGGTTTCGATAAAGTTTGACGTAGCAAAATATTATTGTATCGTCGTTATTTCATTTGTTACTTTGTCAAGCAATTTCTCCTTAATAAGAGAATTCATTCCCTTATTGATTAGATGTAAAAATTTACAATATATATATATATATGTGCAATTAGTAATAAATTTTTTAAAGTCGAGAAATATTTTGCAAGTAAATAATTGAGAGAATTTGACATTTCGAACGAGTTATCGTTGCCCAAAAAAAAAAAAAAATTGTCACGCTTTTCGCACCGATCAGCAGTGTTGCAAAAACAAAAAAAAAAAAAGGGGGGGGCGTCGTACACTTGCACCAATGAAGAAAATTGAAAATTAAAAAAAGAAAATGAATTTCTTTTCAATGTTTCGCTTCAACATATCTGTATATAGGACGTGTCCCGTTATACGTTTGCAGATTTTTGTTGAGATTGTAATAATGGGTCTTTGAAAAAGACGTTTTCTATACGTATCTGATTTATGTTCGATGCATTCTTGTTTATCATGCCATAATAAGTAGATTAAATCTACATATGTTTAATGTGCAAATTCCAAATCCAAAAGCACATAATTGCAGATTACAAGTTTTGTATCGTTTTGTGTCGGGGGATGATTGATTCGAGTTGTGAAATGGTAAACGTTGTTAAACTTTTGCTTTACTTTTTTCGACTACATTTGTAAATAGAACGTTTTTAGTATAAAGGGTATCATATTCGAGTAAAAAAAAAAGAAAATAAAATAAAACAGACTTTATATTCTTATAAGTTGGTTGAAAATTATTCTTGAACGATGCGTAACATTAAATTTTACATTATCAACATTATTTTTAATTCGAGTAAAGAAAATACAACTATCCAAAGTAAATAACGATTTATAAAAGCAGTATAATAATATTGAAAATTAATTATAATTTTTGTAAAAGAAATTTTACTTTTGTTAAACGCTCCTAAACATTTTTTTTTCAATTTTAATTTTGTTAGTTTTAAATCCTTTTTTTCGATCAATACAAAATATTTTGAAATTTATTTTTATTATTCTGCTGCTTTTAAAAATCGTTCTTTTAAAATTTTTTGTTTATAATTCGGACTAAGTTAAAAAATAGAATAACAAGTAATGGGAAAGTTTTACGCATTGTTTGAGATGTATGTATTTATCCTGATTTAGGACTTTATAATATGAGAGAGAAAAATATTATTTAGCTGATTGTTTAGTAAAAAATAATGGAGAATGAGACGTGAAAAAATAAATAGTTATTTGCAAAAAAAAAAAAGGAAAAAAAATTAAAGTGGGAACAATGGAGTGTATGTGCAAAACACTATTTGCGATATTCTATGTGCCGAGCTAGGAGCTGCCTAAAGATTTAGTGTATTTCCTAATTCAACATAAGGTGCCTTTTTCATTATTTTTCTTACTCATTCTCTAATCGTTAATAAAAAAGAAAATCGAAATCAAGATTGATTGATTGATTGATTTTTTTTTACTTGTTTTACAAAGATAAATTTGGCGTTAACCCAAAGCGATTGCACCACGACGATCTATTTCTTGTTACCTAAAAATTTTGTATAATTTTGAAATAATATATTTTCCATTGTATCGAAATTTAAGGCATCAATTGATGATTGTCAAGTTATTATTTTAAAGTTTGAAACGATTGATTTAGTTTAAGTGTTAAAATTAATATTATTTTGTATTGTGTAGGTTTAGAAAAATTCTTTTTGTTTTTTTTTTCTCGAGATATTGTTAGCTAAGAAAATTTGGACAAATTGTTTTTTCTGATTGATTCTCGTCGTGATGTGATTACATGAAAATTCATTGAAATTCAACTATAATTGAATATGTTTTTCAATGTCAGCATCAAATATACAGCATTTCAATAATTGTATAAATTTTTTATAAACTAAATATCTTTTGGATTCTCCTGGTAATGCACATTTGTCTAAAGTTTGAACAATATCAAGATATATTGATTCAAATTGAATAAATATTTTCATATTTGATTAGCGATATTTGTTTTTATATATATATACACACACACACTTCTTGTCTGATTTTTCTCATAATAGTTATGTTACAATAATAGAGGATTCTAAATGGTGAATCTCATCTACGACGCCTCTCAGAAATGAATTCGTAGGGTTTTTAAAGGGTCTCGTAAATTTGTCATCAGTCATTTATTTTTAATCCAATTTTAACTGCCTTACCTCACCGCCATGTGAATACGAGAATATATTATTAAAAAAAAAAGCGAAAAGAAAAAAAATTTGAAAATATTTTAGGTTTCTTACTATTCTGAAAGAAGACTGAATAGTCATTATACCATCAATAATTTTTACAACCAGTTTATCTGGAAAGAGAAAATGACCCATATGTGCATTAATGTATATCACAAAATAAACTTCTTAAATAATTGTTCTAAAAGAAATAAAATCTTTAAATTGACGTTTTTTGCATTTTATGCTTTCTATAAAATTAATATGGAAATAATTTTTTTATCTGCATATTAGAAGACCCTTTTTAACCCTTTAAACGATGGATTATTTTTTATTTTTCTATACCTATTTTTTTAAAAATTAATTAAAATTTATTAAAAATAAATTATAATTTATTTTCACATTTTTAAAAATAAATTTATTGTAAATTAAATAAAAAAAAAGTATTAAATATTTTTATAGTTTAATTAAATATTAAACGAATAAAATATTTTTTATACTTTTGTTTTATTTTTAAACAATTACAAAAGAAAAAATAAGGATTTATTAATTGTTTTGTTTTTTTTTATTGATAGATTAGTGTCGCACAATGTCTTGACCTTATATAATGCATATGTGTGTATGCCATCACATGCTCTCAATTAGAAATTTATTTTCTATAGATAATATTAGAATATTTTAAATTCAATTATTAAATTATTAAAATTTGATAAAACCTAATTATTAGGATGCAAGGACAACAATTAAATTTGATAGATAAATTTAATTAAGAAATAAGTAAAACATAACCTAAAAATTCATTGTACATATTACTATAGAAAACTCTCTGCATTTATAATTTTTATAAATAAATTATTTTGCAAACTTAAATTTATCTATAATTAAAGATGCCAAAAACAAGTGAAAATAGGATTTTTAAAAATTCCATTATTGTTTCGACCTTTAAATTAAATGTAATTATATCATAAAGCAGAAGATTATTAAAAATTTAATGTTAATTATTCTCAATGTTAAAAATTAAATTAATTAAAATGAAAAAAAGTAAAATAACTTTTATAAATTATTTATTTTAGAAATTTGAAAATCGAGTATCGATTCTTCTGCTATCGATTATTTTTTCGAGAGTTGCCGGAATCGAGTTATATCGATATAAAGAGAGTTTCGATAAAGGCATCCATGTTCCCAGAAGAAGGCTGCCGCAGATAATCTCGTGTTTCCCGCCAAGTTCCGGCGGAGGCGTGCACATTTTTAGGCGCCAAGATATACACGCTTGTTACTTTGTCCTCATATTAACAACGTGTACAGTAATTATCGTTTTACATTCTATCCTCAGTACAGTTTTTTCCCTCAAAGAAAACGAGACCAAATAACGAAAAGGTGGGACGCGGCTGTATCCATGTTCTCGCGATGTGCCGTGAATGTTTTTTCTAGAACACGTTGAAGTATACCTGTGAATTTTAGTGGGTGTATTTTGAACTTATGGATTATTTTGAATAACCGGCAAAATGTTAAGTGTTGCTACAGCATCGTCAGCCGTACATTGTTCTGAAGCAGCAAAATCTTCATCAAATCATTCCGGTTTAGGTAAGTAGGTTAACATGATTTCCGCTATTTCTAACACATTTATTATTGTATTAGACGAAATCGCCGAAAAGCGATTTCTCTTTGTCAAAGATTTATAACTTTTTAAACTCGTCATATATATTATTATTAGAGCATGGAATTATTTCATTGAAAGTATTACACGAGGTGTCAAATACGTCTTTTAGACGTATATATATATATATATACATGAATTTAAAAGTGGTGTTATGTCCCCGGTATTACTTAATTCTACTAATTTTTCAGCAAGGTCAATGACATCAAGTAGTGATTTCTACAAGATTTCGTTTAAAATTATTTATAATTCTCAATTTTTAAATCAAAAATCATTTTATAAAGTTTTCTTAGTTTTTGAGGTGATTTTTAAGTGTGCAACTAAAAACAATATGGCAATAAATTTACCGCTAATGTCGTGATATTTGATCGATAGTTTCTTTTTCTTTGTTACTCAAATTTTGTATTGGATTACGCTTTAAAACGTTATTTCTAATTATTTTTCTTTTTTTTTTCTCTAAAAAAATATTATTATTATAATTAATTTTCATTTTAATTAATTATTTATATGTATATATATGAGTAATATTTATAGTTTGCAATTGTTTTTTTTTTTTTAAACAAATTACTACATTGTATGAAGTTTGTATTTTTAATTTAAATCGAAACAAAAGAAAATTAAATTTTAAATAAAATTACTACAAAATAGAATATTATAAGAATATAATATTTTAAAAATATTCCAAAAAATGTTTTTTTTATTATGCAGTTGATTTATTATATAAATTCTATTTATTTTCAATTCTAGGAAGCAGCACAAGTTCTTGGAATTCGGATCATACATCTTTGAAACGTAAACAAATTTGCTCAAGTCCCATTAGGGATTTGACGAATGATTATGGTTTTAGTCCAGAAATCACTTTAACGGTGGTAACAAATGATGCAAACAGCTACAACAAACGACAACGCAGAGACAGTGAGAAAAGTAGTAATTCCAGTGTAACATTAAGATACAAAGATCCGAAAACTAAAGCACCAACTGAAAAAATGTTGGACAATGATGTAAGGCACTCTTTTGATGCCTCAAATGAATCGTCAAGTTGCTTAAATAAACAAAAAAATGAAGCAACTGAATGTTATCAAAGATTAAATAAAATTGTTAATAGACCAGAAATAACTATTTATCCAAAACAAGAAAATGAAAAACAATTATCACAAACAGTTGCTTCAACTTCAAATAAATCGACCAATCATCAAATAACTGACAATTCACAAACAGTTTACAAAGTTTCACAAGAAGTCGATATTATTTCAACAAAATCAAATCAGAAAATTAATCGCAAGTCTGATTGCAAACAAGTGGAAGCAATAATAGAGGCTGCCAAAAAAGATGTACCTGATAATAATGATAATGATGATGATGATAATTCTGGAATTTCCCTACAAGATTTAAATAAATTCGACGCAAATAATAATCCAAAACAAAATTTAAGAATGAAAATAAGTAATGCTTTAGCTCATATTCAAGGGTTGGAAAAACCATCAACATCATCGGGTTTATCGACTTCAACTCCAATAAAATCAGCGCTCGATGAAAAACAAGTGATTTTACGATCCAATTCAAGAGAGAAATCATTCGATAATAATAATCAATGGAATAGCGAAGATGATATTTTTGCCAATGATAATAGTATGCAAAGTATTTCATCTACAATTCCCTTTCAAGAGCAACTTTACAATTTTGATAATGATTATGAAAATCCATATTATATAATGGGTTTTCCCAATCCTCCAGGAGAAAATAGATGCTGGGTCAATGCCACCATACACGCACTTTTTGCTCTGCCTTTCACCAACAGTCTCGATCGCTCAAATCTGACGGAATGTACGTCATTGATGAAAACTTTGATTTCAATACAAGCCCTTTGGAGAAAGGGTGAGAGCGAGAAGCACAGAATACACAGTATGCTGAGGTATGGTATCAAAACAATTCTTTTTTTTTTTTTTTATTCACACTGTAATTTAGTTTTCATATTTTATTTTAAAAAGAAATACTAATTTCCATTTAGAACTAAAATTAATTAATTCTTAAAAATTAAAATTGTTTTCAGAAAATTCAAAGAAGAGTTGATAGTACTAGACGACTCTTATCCATCCGAAAGACAGCAGGATGTATCTGAATTTCTGATGAAATTACTAAATCATTTTAAAACATATTTCGAGAAGGAAGAGTCGGGCGAGACAGAAATACAAGAAATTGAAAATGTACCGGAAAATCCACAAGATCAGAGAAAATCAAAAACAACACCTGATTCAAGTAAACGTCGACCACTCGTTGAATTGCGAGTGAACAGCAATCTTTCTGAACCTGGTGCAAGTCAAAAATCAAATAAAGTTGAAAGGCTACCAAATGGCGTTGATGATTCAAAAGAATGTCATGAAACTGAATTAATTAAGAATCCTGTCGATGATTATTTTCTACTTCCAATTGTGGATCAATATATTTGTAAAGGATGCGGTGAGAAAAAACAAAAGCGAGTCGATAATTTGGTTGTCTTTATTCAAGTACCACCGGAAAGTAAAGATGTACCTGTTAATGTTGAGGATGCGATTGCTCGAAATTTCACAACTGAAGAAAGGAGAGTAACTTGCGACAATTGTAATCATAAATTTCAAGATGTGAGAACGGCATTTAGCAGCTATCCTAAAGTTCTGACAGTTCATGTCCATCGATATGGAATTGGAGAACACGGTACCAGGAAAATTAGCAACGCACTTAGTATTCCAGAAGAACTTGTACTTAAACCCTCTCTTATGTAAGTAACAAAAAAAAGTCTTCATTTATCAATTGATCCAATTAAATTCAAATAAAAAGTAATTTTATTTTTTTTTTTTTTTTAGGATCGAGGGTTTTGAAGCCGATGAAATGTACAAACCTGTTTGTATAATTTCCCATGTCGGTGAAAATGTAGATTGTGGACACTACACAAGTTACGTTGAACATGAGGGACAATGGTATTACTATAACGATATGTCAGTTTCACCCATGACAAGTAGTCAAGTGTTTGCAGCAGCTGAAACAACTGCCTATCTAATATTCTTCGTGAATGTTAATCTATTAGAGAAACATCATACTGAACTCTCAAAAACGAATTTCAATTAATGTTACTACAATTGATTTACAGAAATATTATTCAACAAGTATTAAATCAAACAATGCAGGTATTTTGTTTATTTGTTTTTCTCATTTTTCAACTTTTCATTCTAGAGAATTAATTACCTGCAAAATTTTCTAGAATTTGTATTAATATTTTTTCTTAATAGAAAAAAGAAATTAATACAAAGACTGTTTCTCCATATTAAATTCCACTGCCAAAAAGAAACAGAAAAAAAAAAAAATTATGTATTTTGTTTTTTAGAGACAATGATTAATTTTTCTTTTTGTGACATAATTACGACAACTAAATAAAGTATTGAGAGTAAACAGTTAATAATGCTAATCTAATTAACGCAATGCGACATTAGATATCCGAAAATTTGTGTATACTTTATGTCTAAATTTGTTTCTTCATGACTACGAACGGTGAAATATTAGAAGGGAGAAAAATTTATATTGGGTGCCTTTGAAAGAAAATGAAAATTGTATTTATCATCGTTATTAAATGAGTGTTGAAAATTATGTCACATATTCTAATCAACGTTGAAAAGAGATTAGAATAATTTGACTCATCTTCCTTCTAGTATTGAAAATATTGGAAAATTAATTCACCGAATAATTGAAATTTTGATTGAGGGACAAAATTTAAGAGTTCAAATTTTAAATTTGAGAACAAAAAAAAATATCTGCAGCGTGAAAACTGAGATATTTCTCATATTTAAAAGATGATAATAACTTTGTGTTTCAATTCAAAGAAAAGTATGAAACTTTACAAGTTAGACAAGATTAAAAGCTTCCTCGTATATATTAAATTTATTATCTGGATGAAGAGAATACATATATATTGTAATGTAACATTTTTTTTTTTAAATTTTTATTTTATGGTCATACTGAACATTTAATAGCTTTCTATACCAAAAATTAAAACTTGTCAAATAAACAAAATCGTTATTCATTAGTGATATTTTCAATAGAGAATCGATGGAATGTTTATTTTCCTCTTAATAAAATTTCCCTTTATGTCTCTAGGTGCAATTTATCACATTTTTAAACTTGACCAATAATTCGTTACTTTGATTGTAATAATTTTGGAAAACTTTTTAATGTCGTACAAAGACGAAGTACTACTTTGGCAAATGTTTTGCCTAGAAAGAAATATTTCTAAGGTTTAGGTAAAAAAGGACACAAAGTAGATGAATAATAATTAGTTATTTAGTTTCGTAAATGAAACTAAAATGAAAAAAAAATGGTAGAATTAGTTTACTATTTGTGTACATGGTGTATGATACAAAGAAATAGATAACTTGAATACGAATTATAAATTATACATACATATATAAAAATATATGTAAAAGGTAAATACGAAAAATGAATATCATTTATTCAAAGTAAAATTATCTTGTGATAGTTTTATCGCAAGTTTTCAGTTTAAAAAAATAAAAAATTGATAAATAATCCCATACAAAGAACATATCCAAAGTTTCTAATATGTAGCAAGTTATCTTCGATTTCTCTAGTTTTTAAGTACGAAAAAAAGCAATTTAAGATTGACACCTACTTGTATATTTTATTTGTAAGTAATTCTCTTCTATAAGATTTAGTTCCTATTCAAGTTTACTGTAATGTATTTTGTATTTTATTAAAGCCGATTTCTCTGCAATCAAATGGATTATAATAATTTATAATTAGTTTAAAACCTTAATTTTTTTATAATGACAAATTATTTGAGTTTCTAGAACGAGCTATTATGAAATATTTTCCATTAGATTATAGTGAATTGATAAGTAAATAACACATTAATGTTTGATTTGAAAATTGATGGAAATGGTAAAATTGATGACTATGTAATTTTGTTGATTTTACTAATTTACAAAAGAATTTTTAATTATTTACTGTAATACCTATATTAAATTATTAAGCAAAATTTCGAATTTTAAAAAATATGTCTACTAATTAAAATTATTAATTATTTAGTTAATTTTTATCGATTTAAAATTCTATAAAGTTGTAATAAAAGAAAAGAAAGAAGTTACTGTGCCTACATTATGAGTAAATAAATAATATTTTAATTGATTTCAAGCAAAAATATATATGCCTTTAAGAAAAGTATATTAAATAATAAATAGCTATCTGTATAAAATCGTTTCTCATAGAAAAGTATTACTATTATTTTACATCTTTTAAATTTGCCTCGACATTTCGAAAAAGGTTCCGGTTATTTGGAACGTATTTTAAAATTTTCAATCCTGCCCCAAGAAAGTGGATTTATCTTTTTCATATTTAATCATAGTATTATGGCTACATTTACTTTTTACTATATTTAGTTATTTAATTATTATTTATTCTACTGTAATAATTATTGAACATATTTTTATATATTAAACGACAGCCACGACGGTGATGAGAATTTTTGAGGTTATGTAATCCTACAGTCCCTATACAGTTCTTCGGTCAAATGTTGACATTTCTAATGCAACTGATAACAATTAAAAAATACAATTTTTAAAATGAGTTGGGAAGTAAGTACAGCTCCAATGTGTCGAGCATGTATGGAAATTGATGGTGCTTTTATTTCAATGGACGATGAAATATTTAATAAGAAAAATCTGCTCAAAAAACTTATGGAATTGACATCAATTCATGTGAGTATTTTATTTAACATTAAATTAATTTTGTTATTGTTTTCAAACAAATGATTAATTTTATTATTAATTTTAAAGACAATAACAATATATATTTTTTTAATAAAAATTTTCTAAATCGCTGATATTTATATATGGCTTCTTTTTTTTAAGACGTAGTTATAGGTTATCTTAATTTATTATTGCAAAACGCCTTACTAATTGGACACATTGTTTTTACAGATTGATAAAAACGATGGCCTTCCAACAATGCTTTGTACAAAATGTGCTCATCGTACAAGCGCTTTTTATAAATTTAAACAACAAGTTATTGAATCGGAGAAAAAACTTAGAAAAATGTTTCAAGTTTCAAGCGATTTTGTCAAGGTAATGAATTATTAAAAAAAGTGAATATTTTCTTTCCACAATTTTACTTTTAAGTATTTATTTAATAAGATCTATTTATAATTAATCTATTATTATTATTGCAGGAAGAAAATGCACATCAAAAACACGAGGACATTGTAAATTTAGAAATCTCATCCTCTATTAAACCTAAAATAGTAAATTTAGTGGATGAAAATTTTCCAAATAATGAAACGTTTCAAGAAATGCAAGTTTCAAAAATTAAAACAAATAAAATAGTTGAAGAAATTTGCCTTGAATCTCCAAATATTCATATGGTAAATAATGAAAAATGTGAGACAATTGCAAATATTGTCAATTCTGATGGCATTAATTATGCAATAACTTATATACCGAATGAAGCATTAAATATTATGTTAAACAGAGAAGCATTTCAAGCAGTTCTTGCAAATCCTGAAATTAGTTTGAAAAAACAAACAGCTACTTTGACACCAAATATAATAAATGAAGATATTGAACATATACAATCGGTCGATGAATTGTTTAAAACAATTTCACCAGTAAAAACAATTGAAAATACAATAACAAATGAAGCAATCTCCGAATTAGAAGTTTTATATTCGAAAAATTCAAAAGAAAAAGAATGTTTTCCTGATTCGAATGAAAATTCTGTTTATATACCCAATAACAACGACAATAAAAAAAAACGAATTGAAAATCAAGAAGAGAGTAATGATTCAGATTCTGATTATTTTATAAGTTCTAAAGACGATATTTTAGGCAGTCTTAACGATACAATAACGAGGGTGAAGGAGATAAAGGATGGGAATAAAGTGCAATTTCAATGTACCCTATGTCTTCAGAATTACGAGGAACTCTCCAGGGTTTTGATTCACATTGTAGACAATCATGTGCCATCAAACGGTCCATTCTTTTGTATTGTTTGCGAGAAAGATTGCGAAAGTCATCGAGAATTACGAACACACGTGAAAATTCACACAGGTACACATCCATATATATGTTTTCTTTGCAAAAAAGCTTATGTAATGAAGAGATATTTGAAGCGACATTTGGCTTGTCATACCGATTTTCCAAGGCATCGTTGTGCCAAATGTGGAGTACGTTACAAAATTAAATCAGAATTGGAAACTCATTTATCAACACACGCTCACGGGCCCGCCTATCAGTGCGATCAGTGTCCACGAATTTTTAGTCACAAAGGTAATTACAAACGTCATCTCTTGTCTCATTTGGATCCATTGAATACTCATTTGCCCAAGTTTCCCTGTCGAGTGTGCGGGAAACGATTTCTCAATAATCGAACGGTCCAAACTCACATGAGAGTGCACACTGGAGAGAAACCGTTCAAGTGTACAATTTGCGACCGAATGTTTTCACAGCAGGGAAATCTCTTAAATCACATGAAGTCAGTGCACTCGAATCCAAGAAATCACACTTGTGAGGTTTGTGGAAAAAGTTTTAATCAGAAGGCAACACTCAAGGATCACAGTCTTCTTCACACTGGTGAAAAGCCTTATGTTTGTACAATTTGTGGAGTGGCGTTCACGTTTAGTTCTGCGATGAGAAGACACATGTGGGTTCATAGTGGTGGTAAACCGTTTGGTTGTGATGTTTGTGATGCGCGATTCATCGGTAAATATGATTTGAAGAGACACATGAAAATACATTCGCAAAGACCAAAGACGTTGACCAAAAAACAATATTCTGATGAGCAAAATGAAACCGATCCTGTGGAGTTACTCGAAGAAATGATTGTTTTGGAGGATACACCGGACGCAGAACGAATTTTAATAGATCCAATTCTTTTGTCTGATGACACAACTCACATGAATACACAAAAAGAGTCAGAGAAAGAAAATGTAGATGCTCTATTTAATTTAATACATTACGGTTAATGTATAAAGACAAATGTTTTTTGGTTAGACGATAAAAAAAAGTGATTTAGTTTTATAAATTCGTTACACATTTTTTCGAGTTGAATTAAAATTATAACAATACTATTATTAATATATTATAATAATAATTTGAAGGGGAGATATCTCCTTAAGAAATTTCTATTGTCCGGATATTATTAATATTTAATCTCAATATACTCATCTATAGACTTTTACGTGTTCGAGTTCAAATGAGTAAGAAGATTAATTAAAATATTTTTTTTATAATATATAATGTGAAACTAGTAATTTTTTGTATTTTTGAAAATTTTTGATAAAATCAATCTTTTATTTATTTAAATTAATGTAATTACATTAAAAAATTCAATACTAACCACAAATTAGTTTCCATCGATTTATGCTCTTTCAATACCTAATTAATCCATCTCATATCATGTTTTTACTTCATATAATTTTTAATAATTATATATTTTATATATAGTTTTTTTTTGTTTAAACATATAGTAATGAAGTAGAAAAAGAGAATTGTTTTTATGGTTATGCTTTCTTTAACATTGCAAGTGATAGTCCAGTCCAAACATCGAATAAAAGCTAAAAATATTTTTTTTTCAAGATCCACAGATGTTACATGTTAAAGAATTAATTGCTTAGTGAACACTTGCAAACAAAAATCCTACCTATATTTGTAAACTTGCATAACTGGAGCGTCAGCCAATCAGGGGCTAAAATTACCCCCACTACTCCAGGCATAGTTCGGGCGCTAGCCAATCAGCATCTAAAATTACCCCCACCACTCCAAGCTGAGTTCCAAGTCTAAAAGCTACCAGTCCCCACCGTTCGCACTCAGTTCCATCTTCGACATCTTCAAGGTAGAACCTGCGTCACTTCAAAAAAATTTTTTCCATCATGGACTTTCACCACTTTTTTGCAGTGGAAGAGAAGAATGTAAGGATAAAAGAAATAAGAAGTTTGACTCTACAATTGGAAAAAATACCGACCTATATTTGTAGATATTCCTAACAAGAGCTTCAGCCAATCAGCGTCTAAAATTACCCCCACCACTCAAGACAGATTTCGAGCGCCAGCCAATCAGAGTCTAAAATTACTCCCACTACTCCAGGCAAAGTTCGAAGTCTAAAAGCTACCAGTTCCCACCGTTCGCATTCAGTTCCGTCTTCGAGGTAGAATCTGCGTAACTAGAAAATTTTTTTTATCATGGACTTCCACCATTTTTTTACAGTAGAAGAGAAGAATATAAGGATAAAAGGAAAAAGAAGTTTGACTTTACAATTGGAAAAAAACCGACCTATATTTGTAGACATTCCTAACAAGGGCGTCAGCCAATCAGCGTCTAAAATTACCCCCACCACTCCAGGCAGAGTTCGAAGTATAAAAGCTAGCACTCTCCACAACACGCACTCAGTTTGATCTTGGACGTCTTGGAGGATAGATCTGTGTCGCTTCAAAAAAAATTTTTTCATCAGACTTCCCAATTGCAGTAGAAGAATAGAATGACTTCCCCACTTTTTTGCAGTAGAAGAAAAGAATGTATGAGAAAAGAAGTTTATTTTTACAGGTATGAAATATGATTTTTTTTGCAGTTTTATACAGGTCCATAACTTTTTTCAATTATATAATTACAATCAGTAGGTGCATACAATTTAACGTAGGAATTACTGTTGCACCTACTGTAGAACCTCTATTACTCTTATTCTTTTCCTTACAGGTTTATAACTTTTTAAATTATATTAGAATCTCAGTAGGTGCAAACAATTTAACGTAGGAATTACTGTTGCACCTACTGTAGAACCTCTATCACTCCTATCCTTTTCCTGGCAGGTTTATAACTTTTTTTTTAATTATATTACAATCTCAGTAGGTGCAAACATTTTAACGTAAGAATTACTGTTGCACCTACTGTAGAACCTCTATTACACCTATCCCTTTTTCTGTCATATTTATAATTTTTTTTTTAATTATATAATTACAATCAGGTGCAAACAATTTAACGTAGGAAATACTGTTGCACCTATTGTAGAACTTCTATTAATCCAATCCTTTTCCTTCCAGGTTGATAACTTTCTTTTAATTACAATCTCAGAAGGTGTAAACAATTTAACGTAAGAATTACTGTTGCACCTACTGTAGAACCTCTATTACTTCTATCCCTTTCCTGGCAGTTGCCGCTACTGTTCACTTTTTTGCTTTTCAATTTTTAATTTAGTTATGGACTAATCTCTTTTTTTTGCAGTAGAAGAAGAAAAACTAAGGACAAAAGCCAAAAGAAATTGGACTATACATGTATAAAATATGATTGTTTACCAATTGTCAAATTTATAAATAATTTTTATAAATTTTTTCAAACTAGGAATTTTTTTCATGTTATTGCTATTCCTAAAGTATATATATATATATATATATATATATATATATATATATATATATATATATATATATATATATATATATATATATATATATATATATATATATATATATATATATATATATATATCAAGTTACTACAGGTTCATAATTTTTTTAAAATTATAATTACAATCACTAGGTGCAAACAATTTATAGTAGGAATCTTGTACCTACTGTAGCAACTCTATTTGTCCTATACATTGCTTGGCAGATACCGCCACTGTTCACTTTTCTGCTATTTCATGTTGAAATAATATTGACTTACAAGGAAGCGAATTACCTTCTTACTTTCACAAACCACAGAGGGAACTACTGTTACTTTTTGTAAACTTTTTAAAAACACTCAACTAAAAATCGACTTTAATGTTTAAAAATAAATTTTTTTTAATTAATTAAAATTCAATGATAGAGTAAATAATTCATTCGTAAAAATCACTTCAAATAACTTTTTTCCATTTATTTATTTAGAAAAGTAAATAGTCAAGTTTATTTTATTAATTTTTTTTCAACTTAGAAGTTTTTAAAAGATAATTAAAAATAGAGAAAAATTTTTATATTAATATTTCTACACTTTTTTTCAGGGAAAAAACTTTATTCATAGAAAGAATTTCAATAAAAAAATAACAATATTTAAACAATGGAAAAATAACACTTCAGAGGATTAATAAAAGTTACTTTTATATTGTTGAAAAACATTACACAAATTCAAATGACGAAACCAACTGTCAAATATTAAACACTCATTATTGTTACCAAAGGGAAACTGAAGTCAGGTACATTATAAGTGTTACAATTTTTTTTTGAAACAACATTGATGTTGATAATATGAAATTGTTAAGTTCTTTTGACGTAAATGAATAATTTTTTTTCAGGATGTTTCATCTGAGAAGTCTGAAGCGGGATTGAATCCTGGTGAGCAGCGAAAACAGTGCTGCGCAGATGACTAACGCGCAATCGCGCAGGCGTTCTCCGATTGGCGGAGACTGCAGTCTTCGAGTGTCATGGCCGTCGCGCACACTGCCACCGGGTGGAGAAATTCCCTCGCCGCCGCCACCGCCGCCACCACCACCGATCAGGACATGGGTAAGTACCCTCACTCCTCCTTCCAATCAGTCTGCATTCGCATGTTCACGAGGTAGCTCAAAAGTAGACTATCGCATTCGCACACCCCCACTCACCTGGCTTACACAAATTGTCCGGTACACGGCAGGACAAAGGGTTAACCCCGAGCCAGTCGAGGTACACGCTGTGATAGATAGGTTAGGTACTTGATTACACGACGGCGGCACCTCGACACCGGTTTGAATTCGAACCAAATGCCAATGTGCAAAAGTGCCGACAGTTTTGAAATTTCAATGAATTCGCGTACTTGTCTGTGGAAGCTGGGACCGCTCGCATGGGAGTTGTTAAAAAAGTAGACCGTGTCACGCGACAACCAGCGCGAGGTGTCGTCTCCACCGTGACAGATAGCCTATACATTTTGAGGTTAGGTATACAGACCGCGCGTCCTTTAAATTCAAACAGGCCACGCGATACTGACAGCTGCTGGTGCCAGTCTTCGTCACAATCAACTTCAAGGTTTTTATTTTCCTTTTCAAAAAAGGATCAAGTTATCCGGATGTTTAAACCGAATTATCATTTACCTCAAAGTACTCCAAAGTTATCACGTTGGTAGGATCGATGACATGTGGACCGGTCCGCTTTTGTTTACATTGTTGATGTTTGCCGTATTTATTCGATAGCTCTTTATTTTGTTAGTATTTTCACTTTTAACTTATGTTAATTGCATCAATAATAGTGAATATTAAAAATACAATCAAGGGGAAATATATAATTAACTTTTTTGATACTGTTTTCTTATACAACAATTAGTGATGAGTGTTTTATTTAATTACGAATTTTCTGATAAATTATAACGCGTTTCTAATACTTTTCGTGAATAATTACATCTAGGAAGCGTGAGTAAAATAAATTTTCGATTTTTAATATCAAATATTAATACATATAATAATTTAATTCTTTATAATTTTACAATGAATTTATAAACGTTGTAGAATTAATTTTAGACGGTTTTAACAAAAAGTAAATATAGTAACTTGTTTTTCACCAATATAATAATTTTAGTTTAAAACAATCTAAATTATATAAACTTATATTAATTTTATATCAGAAAGTCAACATTATAATGAACAAAATATTTATAAACTTAAAAAAATTGTATCTAAAATACAATATGTATTAATATGCAATTCATAATAATTAAGTTTACTCGTAAAAATATATTTTAATAATTTTTTTATTATTTATATTTATTAGAACGTTGATAACTAAATTTCATTTATATAGGTTTTTTTTAAATATAAATAAGTAATTAAAAATTATATATAAATTTGATATTGCTAGTTGATTTATAGAAAATTAGATTTAAATAGAAGAAATAAAAATTTCAAAACTCGAAACGAGTTAAAATTATTAATTATATTTTATTAAACTCAAAGAAAATGTTATACCATTTTTTCCGGCGGCTCGTGATTTCTTTACGCCTAGAATTATAGGTATATATACTTTTAGTTTAAAAATTATTTTTCAGATTAGAATGATCAAATTTCATATAATTTTGGAGTAATTGAGTGTATTTGTTCTTTTCGGAAATAACTTTTATATATGTAACGCGGTTTCGTGCATTCGGATAACGTCCTCTTTTCTTAAACAAGACCGATTAATCAGATGCTTAAAATGACTAGATTAGTATCAAAATTTAAGCAATATTATATAAAATATTTTATTCACTTGTTAATATGTATTATTTACTAAAAAAAAAGAGTCAGCTTGATGAATCAATATTATTCAATTATTGTCTTTACAATTCTCATTTCCTTTTTTGTTTGTCTTTAAAAATTTCAAAATTTTACCTCATAAATAAAAATTTACATTTTATAACCCCACAATATTAGATACAAATTTTTGGTCGTTTGATCAATAAATCAATTAAAGTTGAAAAAAATATTTTATGATATTCCTTTGATTACTATATATTATATCATTTAAAGTCATTATTTAGTTTTATCAAAAAAGTTATAAAAATACATATAGTAATAAAAAATAATCGGAAACATTTTTAAAAATGATTTTTAAAGTTTAATTACATGTATTTAATATTCAATATTTAAACGTGTATTTTTAGTTATTTCATCATTAATTTGAATGAAAAAAAAAAATATTGTCTCAGAGTCTAATAATTTTGTATTTGTTTCAAATAAAAAATTTAATTTAGCGCAAAATAAATTTAATCTAGCGTAAATAAAAATTTTATTTAAACCAAATAAAATTTATTTGCCTCTGAGAAAAATATATATCATTTCTCTGGGTTGTAGATTTTATAATTCTCCATAACTCGAACGAATATATTTTAATAAAACGAGAAAATTTTGTATTTTTGTATAAATAGAATAAATATAGCTATTGAGGTTTTGGAAAATTAAATTAAAATGTTTTATATTTAACTGGTTAATCGGTCACATCAAATGAAAGCGCGAAATAAATAAATTTAAAAAAAAAGAAAATAGTGAAGAAGAAAGAGCATTCGTGGGATTTGTTTTAGATGGACAATTCAGCGTACTTGCCAAATCAACTACCACCACCTATGGTTGTTTTCTCTCAGGCCGGAGGATTCGCCGAGGGCCTCAGATTGCAAAGACCTTTCAATCCACAAGTTAGTCCTTGACCTATGTCTCTGCTTAAATATTCCCTTTCCCTTCAATGCTTTTTGCTTGTAGAATTTTAATAGATTTATTATTATATTATGCTTTTTTGAAATATGTACTTAACAGGAAGTGAAGTCTCTATACTTTTAGTTTTTATTATACAAATTTGAGTATAACCTTTTTAGGGTCTCAAGTGACCCTTTTGCAGCATTTCTGATTATGTCTAATTTAGATATATATATTTCTATCTCTGCACTTAAGAATAAATTTACTTCAAGTTTAGACATTAATTTTTTTTATTTAAAAATAAGAAAAGTCAATTAAATGACGAATCTCATTGTGATAATGAGAAGAGAATGTAAAAGTGAGAACCTTAATTTAGACTGGGTTTAATCGGGCGTATCAATTTCGATTACCATACGTTTAGTACTTTATAATCACTTTACTTCCTGTAATTTTGTGCTTGCGAGAACGATGATTAATGTACATTGCGTGAATTTGTGCATGCTACCTATATCTGTCATGTGTATATACATATATATATATATATATATTTAAATATTTCTGCATGTGAAACTCTTGAGCATTAAAAGCATGAAAATTAAGAATAATAAAAATATATGATGAATGTACGTTTCATAATGTGAATATATCTTGATGAGCCTATGCTGACTATTTTACGTTATGCACTTTTATAATATACCAACTTCGTCTATGTGACATATGCCACGAAATAAATAAAAAAGTATAATTTGCGTCTTGAGATTAATGAGAAAAATCAATAAATTCTTATATTCTATGTCAATTAAAATACCGTTTTTCATATAAATATACTCAAAATTAAGATCTCCAAATTTTAGTTTCTGTATAGTAAATTTTTTTAGCAAACAATTGTTAGGTTAAATATTATTATTCCGTGTAATTCCATTGTGGGTTACGTATATATGTAACTCTTAAAAAATCAATTAAAAGCATGTTCAGTAATTTCAAACCTACTTGATTATCTAACAAATCAATGATTATTTATGCAATATTTGCTATCCCATTGTTTGTTTATTAATATACTCAAATCTGCAATGCTCAATGTTTTGATTCAAAGGTAAAATAATGAATACTGAATAAGTTGTTGATTGTTCCATACGATTATATTCGATAATCATTAAATTCATTTCCTTTCATAAAAACGTAATATCCTGCTTTTGGATTGTCATGAACAAACCAACGTCAATAATATTCATCAAACAGAGAATCATACTATATTCTATATATATGTATATATTGATATCATATTTCTAATATCACACTCTACCTTTAAAGGGACACTCAACTTAAAAAATTAAAGTATTTCACTTCATTATTAATTTAATTCTCGTAGATAATCTTTATAATATATTAAAAGTATATTAAATATTAATTTAATTAGTCACTGTAAAGACGATCACTTTGTAAAAGATTTTAAGTTTCATAAATCAGTTAAACGAGTTAAATGTACATATAATAAGAAAAACTGGAAATTTAGACACTATGCAGTTAAATGTGAACGTTATAACAAAGTTCGAATTGAGAAAAGCCATAAACTTGACCACTATAAATCTGAAAGGGTTTAAAACCTTTGTGAAATGTCCTACTTTGAAATGATGCTCTATCATAAGATTTAAACTCACATTTAATGCTCATTCGTTAAAAAAGAAATCATGTTTTCTGATGTTTAAGTACTATCCTGAATTAATGACTTTAAATGTCGATGTTAAGTCGTTAAACTCGGATATACGAGATATGACTAAATAATTTCTGCGTCGTTAAAATCATTGCGTAAAGAACACGCGTAATTAAAGATTTGCTTGCGAAAGTTAATTTATACTCTAGATGTTATGCTCATAAGTTGGAAACTTATTAGAAACGTACAATCATTCATGACAATAATTTTATGCATTTTTTTTTTGTAAAAAAAAATAGCATGCTTTCGTTAAATGCTTCAATTTGATTTATATTATAAAATTACTATATGCATGCGAAAATTTTTCGAATTTCACTGACAGAAAAACATTTATCTTTCAATAAAACATTTAATTATAATTATTTAAAGAATTTAAGTTTAATTAAAAAATTTTATTTGCTTCATTTGCACTCTCGCATTTACTTGTTGTACAGTGCGTTACAGATATATTTTTAATTTTGTAACGATAATAGAATTAAATAAAATTTTTTGATTTTGATTACATATATATATATATATATATATATATAAATAAGTCAATATAGTATATATTTTAATGGGAAAATACTGTTTTTGACTTATAATTAATGATGAACGTTTATGTAAAACTATAAATTACATAACCTAAAATTTTTTTGCCTCTTAGGTCCCTTTTCTCGTGAACGTCACATATTATAACAAAGCGTGTAACAATCCTTTTCATTAGTTCCAAAAATTAAAATATTACTATATTCGGCTGTGAAAATTTGTGTCATTAATGTGCACACAAAAATAATTTTTTTTTTTTTTTTTTTAATTTTTCAGGTTACTGACTCAATTGCGAAAGAATTGCCTCTTGCGTTTGGAACGGGTTCTCCATTCAGTTACGGTTTCCAACAGATGTTGCATCTCCAGCACATACAACAGTTTCAACATTTTCAACCGTTTAGTGCGTTTAAACCTCCGCCGGGACCGTCGGCTTTTGCACCGCCAGGAAAGTGTCTCAAAGTTGAAACCGGAAGTTCGACAGTGTCATCGGGTTTGCCTAGTATTAGTTCACTTTCGAGTATCTCGAACATGTTCTCGCCATCGTTACCAACGTCTGTTGCCGGTGGGCCCGGTGGTCCGGAACTTGCACCACAAAGTCCCGCCGGTTCAACAAGTCGATCACCTCCCGGAAGTGCAACGAGTACAATTGTCGGTTCCATCGCTCCAAGTCGTGGAACACCCCCTGAAGAAGAGGATCGTGATGCCAATGCCACCCCCGGATCAGAGAACACTGAACGCTCCACACCTGAGGAAGGACGACCATATAGACGTGAGTTTTTTTTTTTATTGTATTTTCATTATTTATATTGTAAAGAAAATTTAGATTTATGGGGGAGAAATGCTTTTACTTTGATGTAAAACGTCAATTAAAAGGCATTAAAATTAGATGATATAATTAGAAAGGTAATTTTTATCAAAAGTGTTGCGACTAAAAAGTTGCAAAATGAAAATTTTAGAGAACTACATTTCAAGTTTTGAAATTTAGCGCCCTTATTTAAGTTGGCAGTACCGTTCTTGCTGTTAAAAATTCCTTTTTTTTTTAAAAACATATTTCAGTTTATTACAAGCAGTAAGAAAACTTATTTTGGATTATATATTTTACGCATTTGTGAAAACTTATTTCGTTATTTGATAATCTCCTCTTTTTCTTATTTTCAAAATGATAAATTTTAGCGCAGTTACAAATTGAAATGAGGGATGTATATGTTTCAAATTGAGTATAGCGTCCTGGTTTTTTATGTATAGGTTTTCTTGTTGGAAAATTTTGCATGTTAAAGAATAGTGGAGTATTCTAACTTTAGCGCGAAGTGTCAGTCTGATTGAATGAATATAACCAGCTCCAACAGAATTTTATATGGCGAATATAAACCGAAAGCATTTCTTTTCGAAATACAAATTGTAAAAAAGACGTTTATTCTTTCTGCGCCTTAGATATTGTGAGTTCTTTTCAAGTTTTACGTCGTGAAAGGCATGTCAGGTCAACAAACACAAGTTGATAAATGGTTTAAGCAGCATTCTTCTCTTCTCAAATGGTAGCAGAGTAGACGAATTACATATTGTAGATAGAAATCAGAGTCTGTGCGCGCTTAATCCACCTTAATTTCGTTTATTTGACTCTGTCGCAGTGTATACAGCGCATCAGCTGTGGAACGCTATATATATATATTTGTAAATCTAAATCAATTTTGTTTATTCCTTTTTACTTCTCGTCTTAATTGACAAAAGATAGAGCCATTTATTTTTCTATACTGGACCCTTTGCTCATCTTTTATATGAATCCTTAATTCTTTTTTTTCATTCTCTCATTATATTTATTCTATATTAACATATATTTCGTGGAATGAACCATTTTCGAAATAAAAAAATGGTTTTTTTCTTTAAAAGACAAATTATCTTTTAATTAGCTAACATTTGAGTGTAAAATAATATGGATAATTAAAGAAAAATTTTTACTAAATTTTTGTGTTCTATATATATGTATATTGTTATATATACATATTTTTCACTTTTTTTTAATTGCGAGTTTTCCTCTGTGAGAGGGGACTTGTTTTATTTTCCCTGTGCTTTTTAAATTCGTTCATATGGAAACCCAAACGTTTCTCTTTTTTCAACAGGCGGTATCGTGATGCATGCGAGTGTGGTCAGCTAATTTTTGTTTAATTGTGACATAAAAAAAAGTAATTGTAAGAGCACTTGGTAACTTGAGTTAAACACAATTTCCCTTGTTTTTCAAACGTTTTCTCAGCTTTTATTTTCGCACGTAATTTTTTCATCGTTTTTTAATGCACGTCCTTTTCAAAAATACTCTTCCAACAACAATTGTGAAATCAACAATTGCTTTGTAATGTATTCTTTGAAATTATTACTTTTTTTTTTTTTTTAATAATTTCGTTTGTAATGTAAATTCACATAAGATTAAGATTTCAAATAATTAACATTAATATTTCAAGTAATTGAAAAAAAAATTTTGCTTTTTATCATTTAAAGGATGAGAATCTTAAAATTGAAATACAATTAAAATGAGTGTTAAAACTTTCATGGATATATAAAAAGTGATTATAAGATTAGAACAGTTGGTGGGACATTAATGTTAAACATTAAGTTGAAGAATTTACTCTAAACGGCTTCATACCCTTCTTTATATAGACACTTTAATGTTTTGCCCATATATTTTTCTATGTTAAGAGCCGTAAACTTTAAGTTAGAAAGCATAACATCGCCGTTATATATATATGAAAAAGGCAGATCCGATACATATCGTTGAGGTCGTTTAAAAGTCTAAGCTTTTTATAATAGTAAAATCTGTAGTATTTTGCATTTTTTCATATTTAAAAATATGGTGGTTTTGATCACACAGTTAACTAAGGTATCAAATTTATACACAAAAAACAAATTTATTTTATTCAAATAATCGGTTACTTGACTATTAAATAAATATTTACTTGAATCAAATAATTTTTATTTGAATATTATAAACTGTATATTTGAACCAATAATTTCTGTATTTGAAACAAATACAATTGGCTCAAATAATAATTATTTGATACAAATAAGTATTTATTTGATAATATTCAAATTATTTGAATCAAATAAATTTTTTTCCAGTGTAATATAATGAAGTATTGAATAAAATTTAAGAAGTTTTATTCATATATATATATATATATATATGAAATGCAGTAACTATTTTTGTAGAAATTGACAACGATTATTCTGATAATTACGATGGCAATTGAGACTGAAATGGAGGGATGGTAAAAATCTCGAATGTTAACGGGTTGCCGATGCGACGCGACATTGGAATGTAATATGTTACAGATTATTCGATACCTTTTGTGAATCCATTCGGGCATGGATTTAACATAGAGAGTATGCGCTCGGAAATGCAGATATTCGTCAGGAAATTGATAACTGGAATAAACTCGTTGCAAAACATCGAAACTTACACACAGACGTTCATATCCATATATATTTATATATATATATATATTTACAATGTTGGTTTTATAAGCACACTTTTGCATTTAGTGCATGGATTTTCCTCTTCTCTCTTTCCACAAAGTGAACTATTTACGACTAGTTTTTCACGTGAAAAATTAAATAGAATTTTATTAGGAACATCACAATTGAATTTTAAATATAGAATATATTTCAGGTGAAAATTTTTTTTCTCCAAACTTTTTCCTTTAATAATATTTTTTTCTTTATGAAATACTTTTTTTTGACGCCCTTTCGATTGGTGAAATTTATTTTTGAAAAATTTTAATAGAGCAAATATTTTTTTATTGGTGTGCCGTTTTAGTTTGCGTTAAAAAAATATATATATGTATAATTAGATAATTTAAAACTCATGTGACATTTTGATTGTCGTAAAATGTATAAGCATTTTGTGCGCATCAGGGAGATTACATCGGTGTGAATAGTTAACAAAAATGTCTTTTTATACGAAAGGCATGATCCAAATGACACTTTCATTTTACGCACAGGTACTCTTCCCGTAAAGCCGCATTATTCCTGAACGTAATGCATGTAATGTTATATTGGCTATAAAATGTGGAGGGTATTTATGTGTATGTATATATATATATATATAAATTGAGTTGGGCCAAGCATTGAGGTCTATTTCATAACCAACATCTGACGCATCTCTTTTTTTTCTACACGCTTTTTTAAGAAAGGTTATTCTCATCAAGTTATTTTTTTTTTTTAGAAAATTTAGTCATCTGGGTTTATAAAAACATTTTCCAAATTTTAAATTATTTTAAATACTTTGAAAATATTCTTTATTCCACAAAAAAATATAGATATATATATATATATAATTAAATAATAACTTTTTAGGTGACAAATGTTTTTTACTAGATACTTAATTTTGTTAATTTTAGGCGCGGTAATTATTAAAACAAAAAATAGATGTTATTAATTTTACTCTGTGCACAGGTGGAAAATTTAAATAATTGGATTTTACAACTCTCAAAATGTGTAAAAGGGTTTAATTGTGAAATATATAGGACATACATATAATATGTATATGCGCATATTTTAGCAAAAAACATTTTATTTTTACATTCTCATCATATAATGAAAAAGTATAATAATTTGGAGGAAAATTTACTTTTATTAATATTATCAAAATCTTCGCGATTTGATTTACTCTAAAACGGTAATTATAGTTATTTTTAACATTCAGAGTGAAAAAGGTGTAGGTTAATTTAAACATTCGGTTAACAATACTTAGATAAACTTTTTACTTCTTCGTTACCAGTTTAATATCTTGACTTTATTGAAGTAGTTTTATTTAAAATATACATATGGCAAAATGAAAAGAAACGTCAGTTTAATCGACGTCTCACGCTACCACCGTAAAATAGAGAAATCATCATAAAGACAATGTAGGGAGGTGGTGGCAGCGGCGGCGCTTGCAGTTTTAACCGCAGAATAGGGTGGTGAGAAATGTGATTACTAAATAATTCGTACGACGTGATAGTAAATCGAGGACGCCTCCATCCGTTGCTCTAAGAATACAAATGAGGATAACTGCTTTTTGCCACTGTGGCAGAGCGCACTCACATTTACCAATGTAAAAAAACACATATGCTTTCTCTGCATACAAAGTTCTATTTTATTGTTTTCAATGATTTCCACACATTCTCCAACCTCTTCGACCATATAAAAATGTTATATTTTTATTATTCAAACGAGGAACAAGATAACATTGGTCATTTTTGTTTTTCTCATTTTTCATAAGAGATTCATTTCTTCTCTCTTTCTCTCTGCACAAATAATCCCCAGGAGTCAAAGCTTCAACAGAAAAAAAAATTGTTACGATGTTCATTAATGCCATATTTTTTTAGAACGTATACACGCTCTTTGTGGTTATTATTATATTATTCGCCGTTTCAATCTATTCGTTTTTTCCTGATATCTCGACATATGCGAATTTATATATATGTATATATAGACTATTTGCAGTCGCACAAGGCGCGGCAACACGAAACTCGTTAATTTAACGAGCTGAAATATATATGGGGCGAAATGTAAGAGTTAAATAAAAATTACTCTTCGGATTAAATAAAAGATAACATTGTAAGCCAATCGAAAATTTAATAATTCTGTAATATATTGAACTACATACTGCTTTTATCAGATTTTTATCTTTTTTGTTCATATATAGTCTCAATGATTGGATTATTAACGATTTCATATAGATTCTTCATTTTTCTTGAATTGTAAAATAATATTGTCACTGAGTTAAACACATGCATATGG